TCATGCGGAAAGCGATGGAGCTTAAAAAAATGATTGTTGTCAGGAAGCTCATGAGCTTCCTGACACCCCTGTGACACCCCTGTGACGCACTGTGATACAGTACAAAGTATTCTGTCAGCTTTTGAACAACATGGGAAAGGTTTATTTTTTACTCATGAGCTTCCTGACAACAATCATTTGCAGTTTTTAGATATTAACATCACCATCAACGAACGACGTGTGTGCTGGATGTATCGACCTCGTGCGCGGAAAGAGTTACTTCCTTTTGATTCAGCGCATTCAAAGACTGTTAAGAGAGCTATTGCAACTACGTGCCTGGAGTCTGCACTGCTGAAGTCTTGTGACCATCAGGCGGATGCTAGTTTTAAATATCAAATTTCTAGACTGGAATTAGCTGGCTTCCCGTGTTCGGTCTTGGTTTCTGTGGCGGAGACCGCCTTACAAAAAATGAAGGGGTTGAAAAGAAAGGTCCCAACGAGGCAGAGAACAAAAAGACCAGAGGTCATTCCGTACATACACAAGGTTGCCCACAATCTGAAGAAAGTTGCAACCAAGTACGATGTTCCAGTTGTATTCTCTGCCCCAAAGAAGTTGGCTGGGTTGTGCGCCCGCATCTCTGATGAGGAGGCAAAAGCACCGTGTGACAAAAAACACGTCACCCCTTACGTGGACTGCACAGTAGGTGTGGTCTACGAAATCCCCCTGAGTTGTGGAAAGGTATACATTGGCCAGACGGGGCGGTGCATCAATGACCGAGCACGGGAGCACGCATTATCAGTAAAAAATAAATATGGCTCGCCTTTGCCTATACACCAACTCATGTTTACAAACAAACCGGAGCGCCCGGAGCGCCCCTAGCGGACGCTACCGGCGCCGCGCATGCGCGATGGGGGTGTGGGCAAGGAGCTCGCCGTCGCCCATAAACAAACCATTGAAATGCGATGTTGTCGGCGTCGGTGTGAGTTCCCCTGCCCTTTTTCGCGTTCGAATTGTTGGTTCTACGTCTTCCTGGCGATGTCTGACAATCTTGAGCGGTGTTAGCGAAATTACCGAGGCTCGTTACACCGCAAAACTTCACGTAATAATTTGACATGTGGCGATTCATTCCGCGTGGACGCCGCAGATTGTACGCTGAAGCCTGATTCACATGATGAGATTTCGCTCGGAATTTTCAGTCGCGACGTCGCTCGGGCTGCAAAAGCGTGAACCGTAGCTGAGATGGTCGACGACGATACTGAAGTCGCAAGCAGAATCGGACCAACTGAATTAGGCATAACAACAAGTCGGTGTTGGTCACTGGTAAAAATGACTAACATCTCCTTGTATCTACTGTTTACATCGAGCCTGCTTACCAACCTTCAAATTTGAGTCTTTTGAGGCCTGCACTCACTTCTTATCGCAAGTACCGGGCCAACATTTGGTCTACGGACCGGCGTCGTCTAAGAGAGCAGACGACAAGCAGAAACGTTTGAAAGAGCAGACGACAATTCGAACAATCAGGCGGCCGTTTGAACTTGAAGACGCACTGAACATAGTCCACAGGTGGTCTGCACAACTTGACAGTTTTCTGGCGTTCATGTTGGAACAAAACAAATAAATCTGATGACCAAAAGTATCCGTGAATTCAACCCAAAGTGCTTCCCGCGCAAGCAATCGTTGTCCGACGGCGTCTGCTTTTCCCTTTTCACGGCACATATCCAGATTCTCGACGAACCGAGCGCGTGAAAACTGACCTTCAAACCTTTCTCGACACTTCTGGTTCGGCCCCAGTCGCGGCGTTTTGACGAGAAGGCAGGTTTTTGCCTGGTTCCTTTCAAAACAACGCAGAAATACACGTCTGGCATGGGGACTTCTGCCCACAGCCCCGGACCGGAAGTGCGACCGACGCGCCACCACCGCGCCGTGACGTCACAGAGATGAGTTCGTGTATACATTGCAACACGTGTGGCTGTGTTCCGCAACTTCAGCAGATGCGGATACTAGGAAGAAGCCGAGAGACGGTCGCTCGAGAGCTATTGGAAGCTTTCTTTATCAAAAAAAGTGGGACGGCATGTGTCAGCGACACTTCTATTGTTCTTCATTGTAATGAATTTCAGTTTTTGAATGATCGGGTGAAAAATTAATCAACTTTTACGTGGTGCTGCTTTGCCTGTCGTGTGTATATATGTGTTCGATTTTCCAGAATAAAACTAGTTGAAAGTTAGCGCCTGTCCTGTTTACTTCTTGTCCTTGTTTCTGTTGCGCTATTTTATATGTTTTACTAAGATGAACCAACTAGCCCAACAACGTACCTTACTTATCGTCCTCGGTTTTTTTTTTTTTTTTTTTTTTTTTATATATATATATATATATATATATAGTTGCTTTGCGTTTTTTTTTTTTTAGGTAATCATGAACCAACTGGCCCGAATTGTCTCCTTAAAGGGGCCCTGCAAGGACTTTTTTACTGGTTTTTAATTTGCACCGAACCTGAGCGCACTGAACGCAGTAACTTAGTGAAACTTTTCTTTTCTTGAAATTCGCTTTATTTTAAAAGTTATAGCCAAATTAAAATTTAAAAAAAAACAAAAAAAACACCTCCCTTATGACGTCTTTGGTTGCTTGAGTAGCCGTGAACGAGAGGGGTAGTGAGCTCATCGAGCGCTCACGGCTGCCGCTCTCCGTGTCGACGGCGCGAGAGAGCGCCACTAAAGCATGTTCTGGGTTGGCTGTATGCAGTGGGCGGCCAGAGCGGCTCTCATTGCATTTGCTGCGTGATTAAATGACACTTCATTGGCCACAAACGACAGCAAACACGGGATAAAGATCAGTTCAGAATGGGAGCCACTTTGCGCTGCCATACCGCGAAACAGCCAAACCGCAAGACAAAGCTTCTCGCCGAAGGCCTTCGGAACGCTCGGAGCCGGTCGGATCCTTCTGTCCATACGACAGCAGCGCCGCCGCGTACGTCCGGGACCTTTCCGTGTCTGCACCTGATCCCACTACTCCTTTCTAGTATGCGCCGCCTGTCCTACCGCTTGGTGGCGGGTATGTCGATGGGTCATTTCTTGTTTCCGTACTTCATAAACTGCATTCGTTTCTTTTCTGATCTAAAATACTGAACAAAAACTACTTTTATAAATAATTGAAACAGTTTGCACCACTTATATTTTGTATTTCAACTAAAAAGAAGCTTTTAGCGACTCTGACCTGTAGTAAGCCCAGGACCAAAAACGTCACATTTTTCGCGCTTTCGGTACCGCGGGTCGCCTTCGTCGGTGGAGGAGGTTTCCGCGTCGTCCGGTTAAAATATGACACACTGATATTTAGTTACTCTCTCCGTGCCCGCTGGCTTGCCCGAACCCCAAGAGACAGGGAAAGCGCAAAAAAGGTAGACAATTAAATATGATTGCAGGGCCCTTTTAATTGCTTATTTTTTCCTGCTTTTATGTTTGGAACTATCTCCAATTTTGCCAAACCTTGTTGCACGCTCATTGGTGGAGGAAATATTTGCTGTGCGGGTTTGAGAAATAAGAGCCTGTGTCAGCAGTGCACATTTATTGCGTTGTAAAACGCTTCTCTTGTACCAAATTGAAAATTCCTGATGGTTATAATTTCCTTATTCAGTGTTCAAGCCTTCAACGTAAGTCCTTGTTTTCCTTAAATTCGCTCTTAACACCCATTCTTTTTATTGATATTCATTGTTTGTAGTATTTGTACATTTTGAATGCTTTTATTGTGCAGAATGTAAATGCCTTTGAATTCAGACAGCTGGGAGAATAGTGCTCTGTGCTCTCTTTGTTATCAAATGCGCGTGTAGCCTCATACATGCAAATGATGACAAATGAACTGTGCAAGCCGCTGTCTTCCCACATCTCATAGTCATTGTCCAGTAGTTGAAGTGTACTTGTGCTGAAAGTTATTTGCAACACATATCATTGACTAAACCTGAGAAATGACATCCTTTCGAAGATTGCACGTGCGCTAAGCGAATGCCTCTTTGCAGTCCAAATGGCCACAGAGCAGAGTTCCCTCCCCCTCTTTCAGGACTGATCTAGGCTTACAAAACAATGGATTTTCAACCAAAATAATTCCTATTTGCAATGAATGCCACAGATGTAAAGCTGTTAACAACATATTGTTAAATTTCTCCGACTCGATATGTTGAAGGCAGTTAATTTCACGTAAAGACTCAAGATGGCGGAGAAGTAACTGATGGGCTGGACATAGACCATTGTCCTTTTCATTTATTTAAGCCTAGGATATCTATCATATACTTACGCCAGCTGAAGCCTTATTATCTAGCTTTCAATTACTTAAAAAGATGTTTTTTTTTTGTTTTTCAAAATGAGTTAAATTTTTGTGAAGCGAAACTTAAACAGGAATCTGTGCTTATTGGGCTAGCTTTGAGACGTGTACCGCGGCCACCTTTATATTGTTTTTTCTGACATAATATGACCGATTTCAGAATAATACCTTTCAGAAACAGTACTTCGAATTTCAGCCCAAATTAGCATTTGTTTTGGCTCATTTAAAAAAAAAAAAACACGAATTTTTTTTTTTTTTTTTACACAAGTCTTTATTTTATTGCATTAACATACTGAAACTTAGACTTTCTAAAGGTTTGCCCAGCATTTTTAGATGTAAAACAAAGCACATCTGGCTTGAAGAACCTAGTTCTGTAGAAATCAATATGATATTGTGGTAGGAATGTATGTGGAAGTTAGTTGACCGCATTATAAGACTGCTTCTAATTTTTCTAGGGTTTTTCAACTACTACCTGGAACAACAGCACACACCCGGAGGGAAAAAAACTTCTGAAGGAGGAACTACTGCTCGTCGGAAACAGATTGGATGGTATACCTATCACAGAAACTGACAGACATTGCCCGTGATCACTTCGCTCAGGATGCAAGCTAGACCTGATTACCAAATGTTAAACCTGGTACCATTACCCCTTTCCGTATACCCTTCACCACTTTATATTTATTAAAGTGTGCTTTGTAATTTATAATGGGCAAATCTTTTTTTTTTATTTTTTTTTTTTTATTTTTACCAATTGACCATTTTTGGAAACACTGGTTCAGGAGGTTCTGTGTGAGCATGTGCTCGAGTGAGTGCCTCGACCAAGGAAGCTAGACGGCTAGATCCTGCTGGCTCCATTGAGCTAGCTGCTGTCCCCAACGTCCCTTCTGCCTGTTGTGGCAATCGTGGCAATGGACCTTTTTCCAGTAACAAGCGCCGTCTGGGGAGTTGTTTTCGAACAACAAATGAAGGGCAGCTCAACTTTTTTTTCTGCCCATCGGAGTACATTAGCATTGTGCCATTGTATTGATCTATTGATCTTCGTTGCCTTTTACGACCCATACTAGCGTATATTCAAACATGAATGGCCAAAAAAGACAAAATACACGCAAAGATGGGTGCTGAATATGTTGGTCGACCGGAACTTTGCCCAGCAAAAATGGCGACAGCGGGAGGCAGTGCCAGGAGAAGGGGTGTACGCATGTGCAGAAGCTTACTGGAAAATGGTCCATTTGTTGTCCCCCAAGTTCCTTCAAGGAGCTTTCCTCTTCCTCCTAATGTGATCAGCAGTTTCATCCTGGGAATCCTGGAACCCCGTTTTTCGCCAGGTGGCACCAGTTATTTAAAAAATGGTGGATTGGTCAGCTTGCCTATGCAATCTTTTTTTCTTTTTGGGATTTATGGTCTGCGACTTTACTAGACATTCCTGTGTGCAGTGTTGGGAATACTTTTAAGTACATTGTACTTAAATACTACTTCAAGAAAGTTTAGAAAACTAGTCCTTCAAGTATTTTTTTTCTGGTACTTTCTGAGAAAAATACAACTCTCAAGTTTAAAGTGCATGCCTCAAATTTGGTATTGTTAAATTTGTGTCACACAATGATGCTTTGTCAGCAAATAAGTGTCTTGTAATTCGATTTTATGTGTTAAATAGTTTATTGGCGAGTGTAGAACAACTAGTCTGTGACCACTTGACTTTATCCAATATTCGCCACCATTTCCAAACATAACTGATGCACCCCTAGTTATCTCTGGAGCAATGTATACCGGTTTAAAAGGTGCATGGAAGATTGTGTTAAAAAGTACTTTTACTTTACTTTAAAAGTACATGGTATTTATAGTACTTTAACTTTAAGTACATCATACCTGGAGTGCTTACTGTAAAATCTCGAGCAAGCAGCGTCCTCAAAATCTGGAGATAATCATGTTAAACTGGGGGATGGGATGTTGTGCATTTTGCAAATGTTGCAAAATTGATAGGTGGGTGCTTATGTGGAATGGGCAGATGTTTGGTATTTTACAGTACTACTTTACTTGAAGTGCATAACCTCCAATTTACTTTTTACCTTACTTCAAGCACTTTATTGGTGAACTTTACCCAACACTGCTTGCAGTCGACCCTCTTCAAAAGTCTGTCTAGCATGGGCAGATTTAAGGGGGGGGGGACACAGCCACCCCACCCCCAAGGTCCACTTTTTTTTAATGAAAGAAGTGCCATACATTACTTGAAAAACCAGGACAACACTTTCCCTGCGCTATCTCTTAGCAGACACCCCCCCTTCCCCCCCACCACCACCAAGCTTGACCCATAAATCTGCCCCTGCTGTCTAGTCACCATCACACACATACCCAAATTCTAGCCCACCACATTGTGGCTTAGCCTGTGTGGGCGTGGACAAGCATGTACCGCTTGCATTGAGGTTGTTTGTGAAGCAAAAACTTAGGTGTGAAATTAACGAACACAGTGCAAGCTCCCATGTCAGCATGTGCTCGCATGTCAGGGAAGGCTATATGCACAAGACCTTGGCTTTGAAGCGGGTTTTTGTGGAACAAATGCATGCGTTAAAAAGGCATGTTTCAAAGAATCCTTCGGATGTTTTGGGGACATGCTGGGGTCGGACAAATTGGCTTTGACATGTCCTCAGTATGTAATTGTGTTGTCTGGGAAGGGGTGAGGGCTGGTTCATGTTTGTCACTTCAGTGCATTCACACATCACAGACAAAAACAAGCAGAAGTTGAAGGGATTCGACGTAGAAGAGGCTTCGGTGAAAACGCAAAAATGTTTGACATGTCAAATGGCTTTGGCTTACAAGGCATACAAGCCAGAGCAGTGGCACCCTTAGATTTTGAATATCATCATGCGGAGGTAAAAACTTATATCGTGATAGGGGAAAGACGGGCAATTGCAACACCGTCTCTGATGTCCTGTTTGGTTATTGTGAATTTGTTGACCGGAGTACAAGACATATAGACCAGTGCACGACTTACATCCCTGGGCGCCTGCAGGCTTGAAGACTGTACCTGTGCAGCTGGCCACACGCATGTCCCAGTGCTTTCCAGATCACTGCTTTATTAGAGTGGTGTGTCACAGGCGAGCTGCACACACACAGGCTTGCACACTGGCACGTGTTCTCGTAGAAAACAATGATATGCACCAAGCTCCCCAGAAGCAGCTAATGCAGCTAACATGTTCACAGTTCTTATAAGGAAACCTGACACTGCTAACTTGGTCCATGAAAATGAAAATCTCACAAACGTTCAAACATCCTTGTGAACGGGCGATGCCTGTAGTGTGACTCGTTAAGAAGGAAGCAGATATTTTTTTCTTGCACTTTTTCTTCAACAGCAAACAAAAATGGCCGCACTTCATCGACATTCAGTGTATCTTGCACTAATATTATGCTTATAATCAGTGGGGCAATTATTTATAGCATTGACCAGAGCAGACTCATCAGAGTGTAACATTCAAGATTGCCTATGTTAGCACTAAGTTGCTGTAGCTATATAGAGTCAAGTTACAAACCATCAAGTTTCACTGCCTTTGCTAATCATTTGTGATATGTCCCCAGAAACTTGTGTGCTGAACGTAAAAATACTTCCATCGTAGTTCCACTGAAAAAAAAAAAGTATGTTAGAAACTTGAAGAGAATGAGTATAAAAAATAGTCAATATATACACTCAATGAACATGATATTTGTTCACCAATAATGAAATTAGAATATTATCTGAGCTGATTTAACGTAAGACTAATGCGACTCTAATGACACGGAACAAAAAGAACACGGCAGGTACACGGACATTTATCAGAGGAATGCCGAACACCAGGTTCACGAACACAAGAAATATAATCACGGATTGAGATTGCAGGTGAATATGACTTAGTCTTTGCTTTCTGTGCAAGTGTATGTCATTGCTCCCAATAAGAGAATCGAATGTTGCGTTATCTGGCTGATCCTAGCTCAGACTATGTACGTACGTTGTCCTAAACAGCTAGACAAGTGTAGCGAGGGAACATTACTAAAGGTGGTCCCCCATATTTTGTCAAATACTCCATATGTGGCTAATTGGTTCGGCCAGTTTGCTTCAAAAGGAGTAGCATAAACTACTCCGTTCCAGCACAACTTGACAAAGAGCAAGCGCTGCTGCGCCCTCGAGCCTGTCGGAGCGATGAAACAAAGTGTGTGACAGCTCCCTGTAGGAGGTGTGCACCACAATGGTACGTTGTCATGTGCCCGACGCTGATTCGCTCGCTAGGTCCGTAGTTTGCCAAGTTGTGGTGAAACGCAGTAGAGTGGGTATTTGATTCCCTTTCCTCAATATGGCAAACATAAGGACAATCGAGGGTTGAACCAGGGAGGCCCATTCCATCATTGTTTGCATACCCTCACTTTGCAGAGTAACAAACAAAATGCTGAAAAAGATTGGTTGTTTGCTTGTTAAGACTGCCATCCATAAAAAAAAAAGGTATCTAAAAACACTGCAGACGTGTGCCCTCTACAAACAGACTAACAAGTGTCCAGCTTTTTGTGGCATTCAGAGACATGCACACTCACAAAGAAAGGGAATTTTGATGCAAAGGCCTGCTTTACACACACACACATTACTATGTACAAACGCATAACTGAGTGCCTTTCTGCATGTCTGCGCACATAGAATCCTCGCACTCTTTCAAAAAGTGCACTTTTTACCATCACTGTTTATGGGATTTGTTGCTTTGATTTGACATTGGCTATAATTAGGGTTCCGTGTTTTCGGATAAATCCGATAAAATCCGAAAACCCATGCCAGTAAAATTTTTGTCAGTTCAGATTTATCCGGAAAATTTAAAATTTCGATGTTACAATGGCAAAAATACAACTAAAAAACACATTATTCTATAAGTAAAATTGGCCAGAGCACAGGGTCAGTAATCCTGAGAACAGGCAAAGTTTTGTTTTAAAATATCCGACTTTTGACAAAAGGGGGTTCTCCATTTATCTCGTTGTGTTTTGTTCGGGACAACAGGTCACTAATTTTGGGTCACGACAAAAGCCACTGTCCTAGTTTTCAGTTTGGGCTTCTTGGAAGAAGGCGGGGTTGTGTTTTTATCACAGGGAAAGCTATGATCATGGGAGAGAGGGGCACAGCTAAAGGTTCTATCTCATCGCTCCACTTTGCTCAGCAGAGAGGTGGACTGGGATGGGAAGAAATTGAGCTTTCCAAAAAGTATGTCAAGAATTTCAATCATTCTAAAATATCAAACTTACTAAAGCAATGCTTGCAAATTTGTTGTGGGACAGTTAGTATTATCAATGGCAAGGGCATGAATGCCCAATCCAGCTGGAGATATAGTCAATATAGGTGAGTTCTTGTGAATTTAAGGCAGGTTTGGTCCGGATAATATTTGTTTTTTATATTGAATTCTTGAAAATTGGGCCCACGGCAAAATGAAACACCAAATTTCGGAGAATCGGGAATCTATAATAAATAAACTGAATTTTTGGAAAAAAGACTTTCCGAATTTTACGAGAAGTAAATTCGGAAAACACGGAACCCTAGTTATAATACACAGGCTTCGTAAGAGCGTCAGTAATGCTCGAGCCTCCGCAGTTAGATTAGGATAAAAGAAAATCAGGCACATACAGTAAATCCTCATTTCTCGGCAAAACACAAAAGCATAAAAAGTTGAGGACAACCAAGCTTGGTTGTCCAACCATAAAATACACCAAGGACAACCAAGCATGCAACAAACTGTACAGCGACATCTGTTCCAAAAGGATTGGACATTTGATATACTATGGAACTGGTGGCAACCCGAGCACGTTCCCACTTCCGAATGGCCGTCCTACGGTACTGCGCCTAGACCTTGCGGAGCAGGCATGTCGATGCCAAGAGTGCTCTTTTGGACAGTCTGGGAGGCAGAGCAGAGCCGACAGCGGGACCCCACCAAATGCGGCCACAACCTTGGGTGCCTAACACTGTCCTCGAGACGTCTGGGCATGGCAAAAGAAATGGCACACTCAGACGAGCCAGTTGGTGGCATTGCTGGGCCGGTCACTTTGTGGCTGGGTAGTAGAGGCTCTCCTGGGGAACGTGAAAGCCGATGCCGGACGCTGGGGGGTAGTTGTTTCCAGGGTACGGGGGAGGCTTTTCGCAAAGACGTTCGGCCGTGCCTCCGTACACGCCTCCGCTCCCAGGCTGGTGACCTGCAGACGGAGCACGGCCATTAGAGCGCACACCCCTACCCTTGGTGGCACCCGCAACAAGGGCCTTCGTTTGTACACCTCTCTTTCCGACTTGGAGCGAGGCGGGGCTGAGACACGTGGGGACAGAGAGGAGGGACTACAGCATCCGAGCACCTGCAGTGCAGCCTCAAGATGGCGCCAAAAATCTGGCACCTGACGGGTGGCTGCGGGGACTGCGATTCCAAACAATACACTTGCATCGTTGCGCCATTGCGACCATGCAGGGGCCTAAGCTGAATAGGAGAAACCTACTTTTAAAGCCTTTTTACGCTTCATTTAAGTTCACTGAGTAGGGTGTGACAAGAAAGAACTTTGTCAGTGCCATCAAGTCTTAAGGCTCATTCACACAATTGCATTTCACTGCTTCAAGACTACTTGCGTTGAGCTGTTGCTATGGTGACCTTTATGACGAGCGAATGGGGAGGCGCTGCGCTGCTTGACGCAACACAGTCAATGCAAATGTGTGAGCCAGCCTTTACTCGTTGCTTTTGTGTGTGTTGTGCGTCAGTTTGGTGTACACACTGGAAGAGGGAAAAAATAAAAAAGCAAAGCGAGGAGAAGACATTGGGGAGGCTGCAAGCTTTGAGGTTGACAGAAGAAGAGAAACATTGGGCCCTTGCTATCAACCCTAGTTCAAGGATGGGCTAACAGCCCCAGCCAAGCATCATTCCCAACAACAGGACCAAGACTGCCCAAGACAACCCTTGTGAGTGATCAGACTCAATTTTTAGTAGGTGCATGCGTAAAATAGACATGCGATGATTTCCACTTTAACCTTCTTGCTGCGACAGGACCTTACCGAGTCATCTTCAGAACAGAAGCATCCTTTGGAAAACAAAGCTAGATGCGTGAAGGATCTTTATGTAGAGACTGATAATTTGAACTATGCCCTGTGTGAATAGTTGCTCCTCTTTGTTGAAATTATTTTATCCATTTTTTTTTCTTTTGGCTTCCCCTTCAGCTTCAGTCGTGTTCTTTCTTGAGAGACCTCCTTACTGGAAGGACTCGTTCGCATAAATGAATATATGTTGGCGTCATAGCAGCTAGTAACGTCACAGGCTCTTGAACTCCAAAGAAAACCTTTGCACAAATGTCGCGTGTTGCAACTTGAGCATAGTGAAAGCATGGTCTATGCAGCGGATTCAAAGCAGATGATGACCTCCGTTAGGATCAGCCTGGTGCAGATGGGTGAGCTGTTCGTGCCTTGTGGAAAACGTCGGAGGAAGGCACCGACAAAGTAGTCCTCTGTGCCTACTCGCGCTCACAGTGTGCTGCCACCATTACCGGTGGGCAGCCACGCTAGCCACACCGTAGTACGAGTAGCAGCTAAGTAGCCAACGTTAGCTTATATCCTGTTCATCGCGTTTCTCCAGTTTGCCGATGCTGTGCGTTTAACTTCGTCTACCATTATCGTTGACATGGCAAAAACAGTGATAGCTTTTCTCGTTTCTTCTAGAAATGCCATATGTAGTGATACCATTCTCTTGTTGCGCAGTTGATTGCTCAGATCGAAGGGGGAAAGAAAATGGTAATCATTTATTTTTCGCATCCTGTCGCCCAAGGTGCACGTCGATCAACAACGAAACAAGTAGATTGCGGATGTTCTTTTGGTGAATTCTGAGGTTCGGCCTGGCAGCCGAAGAACAATGCTTGAATATGCAACGCGTCTGGATAATCGAGCGATAATCTCCTTAGTCGTTGATATTTTCTAGAGAAGAAGGCACAAGGAAACATTTCGGGTGTGGAAGGCTCTAGAAATACCCTTCACCAGCCATTGTCGTTTCCAAACGTTTTTTTGGGGAGGTCTTCGAGACTTGATTTTCTTTCAGAGTGTGGTGTAAAAACGGCTACGAAAAAGATTTTGACAAAAATACTAACCAAGTAAGAAATGACTACTAAATAAATACTTTGCTTAAGACTTGGCGATTTAATAAACTAATTATAACAATCGCATAGTTCTTGGCACGTGTGGGACTTGTGAGAAGCTCAAGAGAAAAAGCAAAAAAAAAAACGTGACGTGGCAGTTAGTTGCCTAAAGTCACAGTAATGAAAGTGAAAGAAAAAGATGACTAGGTGAATGGATATGGTTGAACCCTTTTAATTGGGTGGCGACTTGCCCCACCTAGCCAAAGGATAATAGCGCCGTCTAGCGGTTTTCTGACAACTACAAACGAGGGTACTACAAAATAGACAATCACTCTTGTTTCCGAAAAACACTGTCGGAAACAACAAGAGTGATTGTTTGTTTATTTTGAAGTGGCCTCAATTTGTAGTTGTCAGAAAAACTGCTAGAGGGCGCTCATTACTGGAAAAAGCTCCATTGTAGAGCAGTGCGCTGGCCATGGAAATGGTAAGGAGGCTGTCTTTATGCTTTCCTCCATCTAAAGGCTTATTCACACGATGCATCTTTTCAACGCGTCACAGTTTAGCGAAATTGAGATTTTGCGAAATCGGCCTGTTCACACGTGGAGTTTGACGCGCGAAACTTGTGATGGTATTGACTCACGAGAATTTTGCCAAACCTTGTCATCTGCACCGGGAATATCAAGCGTTTTGTATCAAAATGATACGAAGTACGCACAGTGTGAAGAGACAGTCTGTTTTATTAAAACCACTCAATAAACTTCGTCAGATTCGGCTCACTGGGTTTACTAGTCCTGCCGAACCCGGGAAAGACCGCGAACGTCAAAGAAGGAAGTCATCCCCAGTCATGTTTATATGCAGTGCTGGCACTCATTGGTCCTGACTGTTGATGAATGTGCACCACGCCACCAACCCGTACTGCTAAAGCGCCGTTCACACACTTGAAACCGAGCAGACCAAGAATAGTATCGCCCGTAAGCACCGCTTGTCGCTCGCTGCCATGTTTGTTTTTCTTTTTTCGGCTTCAGCTCGGATGCGGAATCAGCCAAAAATCAGACTCCTCCAAAAGCTCGCTCCGCCTCGAAGGTCAGACGTCATAGCGAAGTTGAGCAGCCGTTGGCAGCATCCGCGTTTTTCCTTCAGGTGATTCACAGGCCACGGTGAGGTTTCAGCAAAAGATTGCTCCAGAAGCGAGGAGCATGCGCCACTTTTATCGGAGGCGCGCCACTTTTTTGGTGGCGTTCACACGGGGACCCCGTTTCTCGAAACCTAGTTTTGCGACACAAAATTCGCCAACAAGATGCATCGTGTGAATAGACCTTAACACACTGTGTTCCGGTGTAACATGCACATTTTGCCTCTCGTGTCATGTCAACCGCGCAAAGCATTTACTCAGTCAACACTCGGTCTGCTATGGGCAAATAAATGAAAGCGATGCCTCCAAGAAAAAGTATATCTAGTACTACCGCAATCAATGTGAGTGTGAACACCGCTCCCCCCCACAGTACTACTACCGTAATATCCCGAGTCATCGCCCATCCCCGAGCCATCGCCCACCCCATTTTTTGGGCCAATATCGATTTCCGAAAAAACACCAAGTCATCGCCCACCCCTTTAAATTCCCTAGCGCGGACTCTGCGATCCGCGAACACTCATCCTACCCGAATGACGCGGCCGCGGACCTTGCAGTTGGAGGACGTCCGTGACAAAGTAAAACGAAGGAGGGAAAGACACTTCTTTTTGTTTACTCATTTCCTCCGTGAGCGACCCCGAAGTGGTCGTGTATCCGTGCGAAAAGAAAACGATGGAGATAACAAAATAAGAGTTTGGTAACGTAACCGCGGAGTGTTAGGTCAAAGTCTGTCTCCGCCGAAGTAAGGTCACCGCGAACCCGCTCCTTCTTCCCGCCCATCGCGACCGCGGTTGTGCAATATTTTGGGCAAAGCCAAAGCGTAAATAAAGCTTTGCTGGAACGTCCTACACAGACGTTTGCAGAGCGTCCCAACCGCGCATTGATAGTCCGCCGTGCACGGACGCACGTATGTACGCACCAAACAAGAAAGTTGCGCAAGAGCTTGCAATTGACAAGGCGCCCGACTTGGCCCGACGCCAAAGTATTTGCCAACGCGACCGCCGGCTTTCCCGCTTTCCCAGCATTGCTCTTGGTCGCTTCTTTGGTCCGCTCGCTCGTTGCGCCTGGTCGGTTTTTCTATTTTCTTGTAGACTTTTCTTTCTTTTTTTTTTACTAACTAGGAGAACATAATGGTGACATTCTTTCACGGAACAAACGTTCGTGCTATATGCGGATCGGCGGTGTTTCTAGCGCGTATGCAAGCAACAAACTTCGCTATAGTAAAATATTCTTTCGTGAGCATTTTTTTTCTATAAAACAATGAAACTAAATCGAGTTTTGAGCTTGATGTATCTCTTGTGCATCAGCGCTAGATACACAGAGAAAAATAGGCGGTTTTTTCCGCTTTTTTTTCAAGTGTTTGTGCTCACCCACCGAGACATGGCCCACCCCACTTTTTTAACGAATTTCAGGCGGTTGGGGGGTGGGCGATGACTCGGGATATTACGGTAGGTGCGTCTCCGACCGGTGACTGCGTCCAAAAAACTGGTCCCTCCATTTCCGCCTGATGACCTCGTACAAGTGTCGTGCTTTTGCCTGTCCTACTGCAGGTCGCTGACCAGCTTGGTAGCCCACAGAAGCTTCGGTGGCCACGAGCTGGGACGATAGCGATGCTCCCATTCTCTCGTTTCCACAACTTTTACGCCCCACCACCAGAATAGCACTGCGGCTTTTGTGATGTCATTTGTTGCCACTTCGGGACCAATTTCGATACATGCAGGGGAGGAGGCTAAACACAGTGCCCCCTAACCAATTCGATAAAGGCACTTTGCGAATGAGACATATCATCTCAAACGATTGTTGTACCACTCTGCACTTCTGGATAGTCTACTGGTGAAGAACGGTAGGTGGAACTGTGAAACAGTTGACCAATGACAGAGAGCCTTCTTTTGCCAGCAATGTGCACCAGCAAAAGTAGATTATATAAATATTTTTTGAGGGTAACTTTTTTATTATTTCCTTATCGTGCGCTTTGCAAAAGCAGAAAGCCGCAAAATGTGTTGTCACATGCAAGAAGTTATCGCGGTGCAAGCATAGGCAGTGTTGTTTGTTCCCTGAATCCATTGTAAACCCATTGTCAACTTTCTCGCAGCAAGTTCCACGTCGCTCCAAGTTATTCTCACGCGATAATCATTCTACTTCAAATGGTGGAGGTCACGGTGGGCGCACGCAGGCGACCTGGAAGTGAAAGGCGGCACAAGGAGCGCTGAAGGCTACTGTTCTTGACCCCAGCATGCATTAATGCAAGGTGCACTGGTAGTACAGCAAATCATGCGGAGCGGCCTTCACACTCATATTGGTCATGACAGTACACACGACACCAGCGAGGGAGTGGCCACGATCTAGCTCTGTAAAACTGCCCGTCCTCCAGATTCTAGCTTGTTTCAGGGCAGCACTGGCTTCCTCATGGTGCCATTGTCTAGCACGTTAGAGTGGCCAAGCGGGCACAGGAGGCATGCGTGAAGCAGGCAACGTCCATCCAGGCAACGCACGGGGGAAGAAGCAAGGAAGGCGGCATTACACGCTTACTGGGGAAGGCGGCCGCGCTGTTGTTGCCCTGTGCCTGCAGCGCAGCCGAGGCCACGCCTCCGCCCGGCAGCAAGCCTGGGGTGCCCAGCCGCATGCGTTGGCAGAGGCAGAGCACCCCGACGCACAGCACCAGGCAGGACACGAGCACCACCAGCGTCAGCGTCACAAACAGGCTCACGCCCAGGCCCAGGATCTGGCTGCTCGATGTTTCGTCTGCGTGAAAGGCCGTTTGTCCGCTTAGCGCAAGACATATGGGCCACCAAAAATGCTCTCAAGAGAGCCTTCATGTGGCACGGTGCAGTGCTGCAAGGCAGTTCGAATCCTCATTCTCCACACACTCGAAAAAAAAAAGGAGGAAAATGATTATGCTTTTTAGAAATGCGTTATTAGAAGTACAGTAGCAATAAGCAATAGGATGTGCACTGTGGAAACAATTGTAATCAGTGTTTGCTTTTTTTAACAACTCGTAGTATGTTTTCAACCTGTTCAACTTTTTGCTCCATATATAAAAACCTAACACTGGGAACAGATAAAAAGAAAAAAAACGAAACCGTGTGTGTGTTGCTTGTCCATTTGTTTTTATATGTTCCCAGTCTGGGGTTTTTCCTGCGTTTTTCCACTCTTCGTTGCTTTTTGTTGCAAAGCTGGTAGCAATTTACTGGCGTTCCAAGACCTGAAAGCTGTGGATTATTGTTGAAACACGAGACTGATGGGAGGAGAGAGGACGAAAGGTCTTACTCCCATTTAGACGTGGGGCCCTGCCCAACAAGTGACTTGTGCGGGTGCTACAGAAAACACAGGTGCAAGCCCGGTACACAGCCTTGAGTTGAAACAGATTGCTTCTAGAAAGTTGCAAGCAGAAACCTGTCTTTTATCCAGAGATGTATGGATAAAACCCTGTATTGGGTACATTGTAGGTCTGCGAGGTACACACATCCACTGCGTGACAATGAGTGATTAGGACAGGGCTACCTACCTAAACAACTGGTGCTATTGTTTGCTCTACCTTAAATAGGGAACGACCTAAGGCCTCGCCAGTTGGCAAACGTCTGCAAGTGACCAAAAAGCGCACCAATGCAGGAGGCGTAGCCGGTCTCGTCACTGTTGTCCCCGCAGTGGTTCACTCCGTCGCAGGTCAAGTTGCTCGAGATGCAGAAGGTGTTGCGGCACTCGAATTCCCTGCACTTGAGGTCGTGCTTGATGTCTGCAGCCGCCAAAGAAAGAAAATGACAAATGAGCTAGTCAACTTCCAAACAAAAACAAAGCGCTTTGTGGTCCCCCACCTTTGTCTTTTTGTGGTGCTTTTCGAAGCACTGCAAGAATAAACTGCACCCAAATTATTCCCAATTATTCTGCTTGCCAAGTGATACTACTGCTAGTTATATTCTGATTTTGTTAATCTGGCGTCGAGCTCGTGCTGAGACACAGCCGTAGTCACCATTTCAAGAAGGGTCGGCTAATCTATCTTTTTTCATCCCTTATTATCGAGTGTTTCAAACATTCATAGATTTTAAAAATCGGCAACACATGCAATCTAAATGAAACCCATTAAATATATTCGTGACATAATTACGCCTTATATCTTGTATGCACCTTTAATGTGTGGTGTGGAGAATTTTCCTAAGAAAATGAAACTTGCAAAAGGGTCAGTGCTGTGTAGGAACAGGAATGCCCTGTCCAATTACAGACCTCTTATGCCTATTTTTTCTAAGGGATTGGAAAAGCTTATTTTGTGTCCTTTAGATATGTTCTTCGTTAAACACACACCATACTTTCCGAGTCTCAGTTTGGCTTTAGGAAGGGAAGATCTATAGAATCTGCACTCCTCTTACAAAAGGAGGTAAATAACACTGAAAACAAACTTTTGATATTAGGCATTTCTATAGGTAAAGCCTTTGATTGTATTAATCACCAACTACTTGCTGACAAACCATTATGGCATTCATGGTTCATTTGTTTCACTTTTGTCTTCATGTTTAGAAGGATGTAGGCAGTCTGGTCATTTATTGCCTCTTCTGCCGATCAGATATGGTGTCCCCCAAGGTAGCTTATTGGAGTCCTTACTCTTTAATATATATAAATGATATTACTATAATATTGACAAAGGCACTCATCTTATAATGTATGCAGACGACACCAAGTCTGTTCTTTTGCGATGTGGATGCTGATAACTTAATAACCGAAGGAAATATCATGCTCTCCAAATTTGCAAAATTAATTAAACAAAAACCAAAGCAATTTTATTTCTATCAATCAATAAACAAGGTGTCCTAAACAAAAACTTGCCAGTTTAATTGTTTAATTTTATGCTGATTGAGCTGGTGAAAAATCATAAAACATTAGGCATTATATTTTCAGAAAATTTGTCTTGAGAAAGTTATGCAAAATTGGCGGTGTCCTTGCTAGACGTCGTGCGATTCTCCCCGAAAATATTAGATTACAAATATAATGTGCATTATTTAAATCTCAAGAACTAAATTATTGCCATCTTGTCTGGGATACAACAACAAATCAAATCTTAATAGAATACTATTACTTCAAAAGAAAGTTTTGCGCTCTATCGGAAACGTTTATTCTTTTAGAAATACAAAATTATCAACATATATCAATTGTATGAATATCTCCTGACTAGGTCACCTAGTTTTTTATCCCCCGAAGTCATTAGTTTTTTAAGCATACATTAAATTTAACCAGAAATACACCCACTATCTGAACCCACTCCTTAGAGGAATCCAATGTCTCTCATTATCATACAAATTAGTTTGCAATCCCTCCATTAGAACCAGTGTTCCTTGTTTTCTGAATTTAATTTTCATCATATTCTGAGTTTATGCGAGTTTTTTTTTTTTTTTTTTTTTTTTTTTCATATTCCCAATTTTCCAAAATTCAGAGTTTAATTTTGAAGTGTTTTCTATTTTTCGAAAATAAATAATATCTGGATGTAATGTGTGCTAGATTCAAAAGAATGCACTTGTATCAAACAATATTTGGCTGGATTTGGCGTTGGTGCCCCTGCCATTGGCAATACTAATGTGTCCCACGACAGAACTTGCAAACAAGTGTAGCTTTGATAAATGTTGATGGCTTAAAATCACTAAACCCCTGGAGGTAGTCGCTGGGAAGCCCATCCTATTCGATCGCCCTACGCCACGTGGGGTGGAGTGGTAAAGGGTGTAATATAGAAGCTTCAACTGTCCACCCCCTATTCCCCCATTATGAACTCTATATGGTTCATAGCTTTCACTGTTACAAAAACGCAACCCTTCCTTCCTGGTAGCACGATAGTATGGTGCAAGCTAGAAACCGGAGCAGTGGCTTTTGCTATGATCCAGAAGTACAATGATCACCTGTTGTCCTGAATGAACTTTGACGAGTTAAACGGCAAGACATCTCTTGCCAATGATAGGAGATTTTAAAGGAAACTGGGAACCTAACCAAACTTAACTTAAATCCGAATTGATGAAAATTTTACCGGCAGATGTTTTTCAGATTTATCCGAGAACATGGAGCCCTAATTATAACCTACTTACATTACTCAATAAATATTGCATAGATATATCATTGACATTTATAGTTAAAGAATGGAAATCACCATACCTACTTTTTGTATAATATATAGGGTGTTTGAAATGCCGAGGCTGGATTTATAATGGGCCGTAAAAATCAGTGCCTGCACGTAGCAGTCTAAACTTTTCGTCAAAGGTGTATTTCGCAGGTGGGTTTTACCTTGTAAAATTACAAGGCGTAGCGCCCTTTCTGTTAAAAAGAAAAAAATGGGGCCGAAAAACTTGCCAGGGTTAACGGCAGATGGCAACGCAGACAATAGTCTAGTGGCGGGGTATGTTTGGCACGCATATTGATAGACGACGCTACCTCCCATTCCAGCTTGCTTTAAAAAAATATTGAGACTGCCCTTGACGACCGCGGTCTATTAAAATGAACCTAATCTTTTTGTAATGTGCCTTTGGTTTAAAAATAAATGGGGACAATGATAGCAAAAGTTGAAGTAACAAAAATAAAATGTGGTTGCATTGCTGCCGACGGATTTCGTCTGCTTTCTTTCGCTGGGGCATGGTCAAGCTTCCAAAGATTTGCTTCCTTTCCACAACTCGGCATCTGTACATGCAGATGCAAATAAAATTATTTGCGAAGAAAACTGATGTGAACCAAAAAGCTTTAAAAAAGCAGTGTCTCTCTGCCCATGCCCAAAGGTGACGTATGAGAGATGCAGCGTGCTTTGGTGGCATGCAGAACGATGCACTGCACCCAAGAATTATCTCCCAAGACTGGAAGGCACAATTGAAATGCTGGGAACCTCTGAGGTGACAAAATGCCTGCTTCGATAGCTATCCGGTCGTCCAAGGGCAAATAGTCCCCCTTGGTTTTCGGATAGCAAAGTCCAGCTCTAAACTGCACTTTGAAAAAGAGTGTTCCCAATTTGCCTCGTGCTCAACATAAAGTGGTACCAGGAAGAGAGTTGTCCTTGTACGCCGTGATGATGAGCTTGAAGCCGTTGCCCTCGGGGCTCCAGCTGTCAGTCGTGTACTTAAGGGTCACATAGTTGCCCTGAGTGAAGATGGTCCCGACGTCCGAACGCGTGCTCCGACATGAGAGATCCACCTGCGAGAGGAGGGACCTCATTAAAACTGGTTTGGGCTGTTGGTCCATGGTAGGTATAAGGTTTAAAAGCGCAAACTGACAGGGACGATAGAAAATAACACAAACGACAGGGACAAGGCGCTACTCTCAACTTATTTATTGCAAGACCGTTCAACGCTTATATGCACAGCTCATCTACCTTTTACATTTCATAAAACAGATGACCCCCCAATCATTGCAACCATTCGGGGGGTCATCTGTCTGAGCATTGTAAGCGTTGTGGCTGCAAACCGCTTTTAGACTCAACGACGTTCTAGAAAAAAGCAAAAGAAAAAACAGAGCGGGAGATTATAGAGGCTTTCTTTATTAAAAAGAATGACAAGTGCATCAGCGCGCCATCTGTTAGCCTACTAGATGAAGAAGTGACTTATCTAGATGGGTGTCTGTAAAGTGTTTTATTGGCTGTTGGCATTGTTTGAAATGTAAAAGGTAGATGAGTTGTGCATGTAAGCGTTGAATGGTCTTGCAATAAATTAGTTGAGAGTAGCGCCTTGTCCCTGTCGTTTCTGTTATTTTCTATCGTCCCTGTCAGTTTGCGCTTTTAAACCTTATACCTACGAGGGACCTCATGTTAGGCCACCTCTGCACTCTGCTGGAATCAAGTTCCCAGAACAAGGATTTTTTGCCCAGGAACCTTTTTATACTACGACTGAAAATTACAACTTGGGATGAACATAGGCTGTGCCATGGCATTCTCGCTAAGCGCCATTGGACGAATCTGGCACCCACGCTGAGAAAAACTGGAGAAGTAGGGCAAATGCAGGCCGACCAACTTTTCCCTAGGTTCCGCCCACATCAGTTCGGGCGTAATCCAAAATGTCCCCCTAGTAATTCAAAATGTCAAATGGAAATTTTGTTTGGGTTTGGTGCCCCTCGGCTAAGTTCACTAGGAAGACCCAGTACCTGAAAAATGGAACTGTGCGAGATTTGCAATCGTTCTGTGGCACATTGTGCGCAGCTCTTGTAGGCACAAGGACGCTTACCTTGTGATTCCCAATGGTGTGGGCACTATCAAAGATGACCAGATGGTCGTGGCAGTCGAGGGCGAGACGCTCGAAGCGTAGCATGAAGCGCTGCAGGATCGAGTCAGTCTGGAATGTCACCGCACACTCCAGGTTGTTTTCGCTCTCCGAGGTGAGCACGGCACCATCTATCTTCTTGTACTGGGGATAGTGCCGGTCTCCCATGCAGAGTGACGAGATGTGAACTGAAAAAGTTGCCGGTCTATGAGTTCTCATGCTTCAATACAAATAAAACAAAATTTTCAGCAACCCAGGGGCAGCTGAACAACCAAAGAGCTACAGAGATCTCGGATACCTTAATAGTTATGTCTGGGCATCTAGTCTTTGAGACAAGGAATTATTCAAAATATCTTGTAGATAAAGTCATTTTGTGAAATACAAGACAGACATTAAGCAAACATTTTCACCGTTATCCACAGTATATGAACAGGCGAGCAAAAGCATTAGAACTGCTTTTGCCATCATGCTACTATTTCATAAACATCAGGATGCTTATGGAATAATAGCACAACATTCCAAACTACATTAACAGTAGAACCATGCACTAATAGAAAAAACATGCGCCAACAAAACGTAGCAAAACATGCATCAGCTGGAAGAGCATGCGACCTTGTCTTCTTAAGATTCCCGGGTAAAGAGCTCCACTTGAATACTTCAAGGAAACTTGATCCGATAACGATGTTTTGCAATATCTGTCAGATGAGCATGTGCTGGCAGCATGGGGATGATTCCCCATATTGATCCAGTAATACATCTTGGTGCGAGTCTCGGTAAATAACAGGAAGCTAGCTAGCCAGACCCTTTTGAATGCGTATAAAACAATTCACGTACAAAAAAGAACACGAAGGAATATTAGGTCACCGGATCATTTTATGCGCTCCTGGGAAATTCTCCCATGCTTTGGCCATAAGAAAAGCTCGCGGTAGCGTTGGAGGGAATATTCGAGCGAGGGAAACTCTTCCCTCCATTTTCTGCGTCGGGGAAAGGTGAGCGACGCCAAAGGGCACTCACAATACTTGTTCCGATCCGCGAAGGAGCCGTGCCTGCATATGAGCAGCGAAAGCAGCAGGAACTGGAGCACCACGAAGGACCAGTGGTCCCGCTGAACGCTCGCCATCTTGACTTTGGCCGGCCTCGCGAATGGGGACCCTGCGGGGGCGCGCTATCCCCTCATCGACGGCGGGGGCCGCTCTCTCCGACACGCTCACGCTTTCGTCTTGCTGGTCGGACGAAACCTCGCCTTCGAAGGCATTCCTGCTCGCGGCCTCCGCGCTGCCAAAGGAGTCACCGCCCCCGGGAAAGAGCGCTTCCCCCTTGGGCCCCTGCGAGCTGTACTCGACGCCGACTGAGGGCGCCACCGCCTTTTCAACGCTCCTGGGCCAGCTCCGGCCCCCATCCAGCGCCCGAACCCGCCGCCGGCTCGCTCGTCGACCAACGCAGCCCATCTCCGTGTTCACAGTGGGCCAACGAAAAACACGCGCGTTCATCTGCCTCTCTCATTATGCAAACTACGGCAGAAATTGATTTTCGCCGCAATATTGCCGCCTTAGTCGTGCACTGAGGAAGCTGCTGACATTCGTCCGAGTAGGAAGCGACGAAAGGGCAAAAGCGCGCTCCCGTTCGCCGACTTGACGCAACGTCAGCCCCCTGCAAAAACGGTTGTCGTCTTCGCCCACGACACGGCAGCGAGCGGCAGAGCACCCTTTACAGGGGTTGCGACTGGAGAGCACGTTCTAAGAGTTCCCGGAGCGCGTTCCTTTTAGAACCAACTATGGCGTTCGATCTTGCATCGGTGGAACGGGAATTCGTTAGGTTTTCGAGAGAACGACTAAATGAACGGCGTCTATTTATAATGATTTTTTTTTTCTCGACTCGGTGGGATGAGTCCGAGAGATAGTCGAGAACAATTAGAACTGGACCAAATGTGATCGTGGCGACTCGTTCACTTGCTTGCTTTATTTTATGCCTACGGATTATCTGGAACAATATTTTATTAATATACGCAAACGTAACGTTTAAAGTACGAATGCAAAGGGATACGATCCCCCGGAACTGGTAAAGGGAATTCGTTCCAAGATTGAGAAGGGACGACATTTCGTTCCTGTTTCCGTGGAACCTGTACAACAATGGGCACGGGTCGTCGGACCACACGTGTGTCCACCGATATAGCTTTCATTGGACTTCATGTAAGCTCCCTACGGGAGCCAGAGTTGCGGTCTGTTTTCCACGTGCCGCTATTCGCCGACATGGATCACGTGAGGAGCACAGAATCCTTCGCCGTGCAGAAAAAACACCGATACGGTCGCTTCGCCGTCGTTGCACGCGCCCCCGCGTATGTTCCCCAGCGTTTGCCTCCTTCCCCTCCTTTTGATGTGCGGCGCCGCTATTTGCCGAATTCAGTCACGTGACGAGCAAAGAATCCCTGGCCGTGCAGGAAAGCCGGCGCTACGGCCACTCGCCGAGGATGAACGCGCAACTCTGGCTCCCGTAGGGTGCCTATACAGGAACTCTAGCTTTCATTTCCCTTGTACTTTTTGACGTTGCTGCCCAACGTCCCCAATAAAAAAAAAAAAAAAAGAAAAGAAAAGCCAACTTCTTTTTCAGGCGAAAGCCTTGTCCCATTACGCGAAAAAGCGGCGGCGTTGAGCCCAAAAGATGGCCACACCAATAAGTCAAGCCTGCGCCCCACAAATAAAAAAATGCTTCGTCACGGAAGCCGGCGGGGTTCGCTGCGCCTGCGCAGTGGGGTAGCGTGACGTCACCACCGGGGTGCAGTGTGCGAAAGAAAGACGTGGCGCGCCGCTTGTAGGACTGAGCTGCGTGTACGAATGCTTTCACATTCCTACACGTAAGCTGTGTTAAGTTTCTCTGCCGAATTTTTATTTTGTACAAAATTTGTTTTGTCGAAGAGAGGACACTGCTGACTGGCTGAAGGTGGGCATCTGTAAGCTTGATGACGCATCGTTGGTCAAGGTTAGAAATGATATGTTAAAGGGCTATGTAAGAGCTTGAATCTGGAACAGCTATCGCGAGCGATAAATACAACATAGAACCTGTGTTTAGATATATGTTCTTTTCGGCAAACACCCATCAAATCGAGTGCCCGTTAAGGGTAAGTGTCTGAAAATGAAACTTGGCAGAAATCTCTCGCAGTTTTTTTTTACAAAAAAAAAAAAAAACAAAAAAACATTGGATTTGCTGAACATTGACGACCTGTTCAAAGTCATGAACTCGGAAGATGTCGTAATATTTTTAAGTGAAAATCAAAATAGGGACCTCTCAGCATTTTCCATCTACGTCAAAAAATGTGTATTCTAAATCGTGTCACCATATTTATTTTTTACTGACAATGCGTGCTCCCGAGCACGGGAGCACGCATTATCAGTAAAAAAATAAATATGGCTCGCATTGGCCAATACATTGCAACACGTGTGGCTGTGTTCCGCGACTTCAGCAGATACGGATACTAAGAAAAAGCCGAGAGACGGTCGCTCGAGAGCTATTGAAAGCTTTCTTTAACAAAAAAAAAAAAAAAAAAAAAAAAAAAAAAAAAAAAAGTGGGACGGCATGTGTCGGCGACACTTCTATTGTTCTTCATTGTAATGAATTTCAGTTTTTGAGTGATCGGGTGAAAAATTAATCGACATTTGCGTGGTGCTGCTTTGCCTGTCCTGTGTATATATGTGTTCAATTTTCCTGAATAAAACCAGTTGAAAGTTAGCGCCTGTCCTGTATACTTCTTGTCCTTGTCTTTCTGTTGCGCTATTTTATATGTTTTACTAAGATGAACCAACTAGCCCAACAACGTACGCTACTAAACAGATATTTAAAATGGAGATGAACCTACCACCGAGACAAACTAAAAGTAGACCATGAATAGTACCGAGCATGAGTACAGAGCCTATCGCGCTAACCCAGGTGCTCACCCATGTCGGCCGCTGCACCCATCACTCGGGTGCAAGGTGGTGAAGCTCGACACGCGCACGCTGGTGAGAGGTGGCAAGGAGGCATGCGGCTGACACGATAATCAAGTGATCTCGTCGGAAGTACGAGACCCTGGTTCTGTCTTACCACAGTAGCCAGCATCCTACCATTGGGTTGTGTTTTCTTGCAACTTTTAGCTCCTCACATCGTCTGGACATTTAGACGACCAATCCACATACACCAACAAGCATGGTTAACGAGCAATCTCGACACTTCGTTTCGCCTTAATTTAAGGTGCAGCCGCTACTAGGAGCCAATGGGACCCACCAGCGTCAAAGCGGGACATCGTGGCAGACCTTCGCGTACATTGTTTCATCGACTGCAATCCAGCGCAGCGAATGTACCACGACCTGCACTTTTAGTATGTGTCTTGGTGGTAATGTGTGTTCGAGCCTTCGACTGTACTGACCTATACGGTGAGTAGACACACACCAAGGTACATATTTGTAGCAGTTTAATTTCCTCTTCTCTAAATATTAGAGTCAACCGATAATTTTTTTTTTTTTGCTTTACTTATTTTAGTGTAGGCGTGGCGCAATTCTCAGCAAAAACAGACTTCCGTTCATGGCACAAATGGCGCAGCACTTCCATCACGAGCTAAAATAGAGCAGCAAAATTTCAGATTGCTACGTGCAGGCGCCCTCTTCTCTGGCCCATTTTAGAGACAGCCCTCGGGATGCATAGCACCCTATACAGATTTTTTTTTTTCTCGAAGGCTTTACACATTTATCTGAAAAAGTGTCTCAAAGCTAGACTAATGCCGTCTGTAAGGGCGAGTTATACGGGTGGGGGGACATAATTTAAGAGGGGTAATTGTCACCTTAAGTCGGTTAATTAACTGGATTTGTTTATTAACTTTTTACTTAGTAAAGATATGGTCCCAATCAGAAACTTTCTAATCATCGTCGAAAACCACTAAATAAGTAAATTTTAGAAAGATTTGGGGAGTGTGGTGGTGCTCTAGAGTTCACACTTGTGCAACAGGCGCAAGGCTGGTGGTGCAAAAATGTGCCTGCACGGCTTTTCTGTTGTCAACATTTATGCACTGCCAGTCTTGCACCCCCTACACCAATGGCAACGTTAGTGCACTCTCTTCTAAAATAGACTTTAGTGGTTTTCGATGACCCTCACCAAGGTTCTAATTGGAACCATGCGTTTATTTTCACAAAGTAAAAAGTTGACTAACAAATGATGCAACTTATTGTGGCGATTATCGCCCTTTGCCCTAGCCTTATAACTCACCTGCAGACTGAATTAGTGACTGTAAAGACTAAAAACCAAAAACGCACTGTATATCGTGCAATGGGACACTCATTAGATGTGCACTACTGCAAAAGTCCAGGCACGAGACTTAAGCTCGAATGCAACGTGCTTTATTTGTGCGAGCACTCGCGCAGGGAAGGAGCATTTTAAAACCTTTCAAATGCCGCCTCGGTGGCTTCGAGGCAAAGCGCCGACCTACTGATCCCCATTTGGCAGGTTCCAATCCCGGTTACACGTCAAACGAACGTTGGTCCAAATGAATCCTCTGCTGGGGTGTGCCAGATACCATCTTAAAACTTTGATTGCTTTAAAATGCTCATTCCTTCCACAAAACTGGCCACAACTCTCGAATGTAGCACACTGTGATAATGAAATGGTCTGTTCTGCAATATTTGCTCACTGGGTTGCGATGCCTCTGGTCTATAATGCTTCTACGCCATGACCAGTGACCACTGAGGGCAGCGAAATTCCTCCTCTCCATCTGGGCAAACCATTGCGGATAGCGTGCGTCAGATTCAAGACTTGTGCCCTTGAAGTATGACAGCGACCGTTTTGTATTCCACCACGTCAGATATACCGTCTGTGTTGTATTTCAACTTATAAGTGAGCGAGAATGTCATGTCTTGCAAGAGTAATGCAATTGCAAGCAGAGTTAGGATCGCTTGTAGTTCGACAGATAGTTGTGACCTGCGATGAAACATAAAACATTTAGATTGAAAGTCTGTGCAGTACCGGTTATTTTGGGGCATTGACGCACACCGATATTGCGCATACTCGTTTGTTGTAACAAGTGCTTCAACGTGCTTCAGGTAGATTAATAAAAAAAGGCTGTGCGACGCATTTCCAGGCAGGAAATTGAGGAGACTCGAAGCACTGCCAACTCTTTTGTCAGCCTGTAAGGGTTTATTTTATCTCCGACAAAAGTGTGATAACTAAGAACGCTATTGCACAATTATGTGCAAGTGCGCCACTCTCGTGGGCGCATTTTACGATCTTCCGGGGTTGATCCCTGCAGACGACTCTGGGTCTCTGGTGGAGAAGACGGCAACGAGTGTGGGGGGAACCCCCTTCAATCCTCGATTAAGTCTTCAAAAGTCGAGAGCAACGTTTCATTTAATAATGCAAATTAGTCTACACTGAGCACACTTGTTATAATCACTCGAGACAAAACTAGGCAAATATCTACAAAGAATTTTGTGACAAAGCATTGACTGAACATTAGTGGCAGTCATTGCGACGCTTCTGCTACCAGACTTCTTTGAAGCCATTCGCTCTCGCTCTGCTTCCGGCGTCGAGTTTCTTCCGAAAAATGTTCCCCATAGTTGACAGAAAGAAAAAAATAGATTTGTGCACTCGATGGCAGCTGGGAATGAACTAACAGTACAGAGTTTGCGTCAAAAATAAGGAAAAAGTGCCACACGTGGGCAGCTGCAGAATCGCTGTACACAGCGGAGCAGGGAGCCTCATCCTTGCTTGGTTTTGATCACGTGACATTAGATTGCGCTACCTTCAGTGTGGGATGAGGCTATTAGGGGGCGTCACCATCATGCGTGTCGAACCCGCTCGATTGGTTTCGAACGATGGAAAGACCATCTTGGACGGACAGTTCTATCAACAGCTCTGGGATCAAACGGAGGTTGCAAACTTCCAATTCCTCGTGGATTGGCTATGAGCAGCATGTCGCCGCCAAACTTGTGCTCAAGGGAAGCTGCTGTGTTGGCGGATATGCAGGTTTGAGTTTGTCAGGGTTGAAGAGTGAAAGCACAAACACCTTCAAAACTTACAAAAACGATTCCAATCTATTCTCGCGGCATTGACTGCACCTTGTATTGCGGAACTTAATGTGCAGGCCTGGTACGCCGCCGCATGTGCCTATGGCCTATGCTGCTACGGGTTCATTGACCAACCAGTGCAGCAACGAAAATGGGCAAACAATGTCTGGCCCACAGCATGCACTTCGAGGATCACCAACCCGGACGTGTGGTAACGACAAACACTGTCGCTAGGGGCCGGTGCCAGAATGTGCATTTTGACTGCGAGTTGAGGTTAAGATTACTTCTTTCTCTGGTGTTCTGCATAAGACAATGCATGTGTCTTTAGAGATTTTTTTTTTTTTTTTTTTTTTATGTCAAGAAAAAAACACATGAAATAAAGAAATTTGCCCTTCTAGATAACGGTGTAATAGGCAGCAAACACAAGTAGAATGTGATCAGTAGTAAACTAATTATAATTATGGTTCCATGTTTTGGGGGTTTATTTTTCTTCAAATTCCTAAATGTTTTTTCGGGGTTTATTTTATTTTAATTTTTTTAGGACCTGTGTTTTTTTGGGGTTTTTAGGGCCAGGCAAGAAATTGGGGTTTACCAGGGCTACTGTTATAAAACTGCCTATCAATAAATAGTAATTAATGTAAGCAAGTGGTGAGGGCACGTCGAGCAGGCGAGCAACTGCGCTACCCTCTCTCCGCCGCCACGCGATACAAATGCTGCAAGAGCAAGGACGAGAGGGTGGTTCCACACTTCCTTGTACTGCTTGCTCCCAGGGCATTTTTGCAGAAGCCCGTCTAACTTCGGTGCAGGAATCAGTCACGGCTGATAACATTATCCCAAAGGAATCATTTCCTCATTTCAAGTGTCCTTTTTTAAATATTTCCAGTAAAGATCAAAGGGAACAAAACCTCTATACTATATAAGTACCAAGATTTCATTCTCAGCAGTATTTAGCGAGTCAAAGCCATTTCATGATCCCTTTAAGTGGCATATGATGAGTGTATGAACCAAATACAAGTTACAAATAGGCTAAACAAAGCAACCAAGTTTCCCCTAGGTCACACTAACGAGACTGTGGAGACGACGACGGGTTTGGGTCATATCAGTATCGTCACGAGACAATGTGCGTCTACAGTGTCCATGGAATGCAGCGTACCACTGGCGCCATTCAATTGCCAAAAGGGCTTGCATCCCAGAGGAACAATGGCACCAGCCGTGAACCGCCTGCTCTGCTATTCTGCCAAAGCCAGTGCAGCACACAACAGTCGCGTTACTGTTGTGTGCTGCACCAAAGACGAGTGTCCATCCCAAAATGCCGACTGCGACATGTCAAAAGCCTGGTCACTTTGCAAGTGTTTACATGTCCGGGAGGTGAACACAAGCACACTCGAGGAAACACTTCTTGGGAGTACTTTGGACCGCAGGAACACAAACTTGGAATGTTACTTGGGGGGTCAACAACACTCCAATTACTTTCAAACTAGACAATGTTACTGTCTAGTTTGAAAGTTTTCTAGTTTTCTAGTTAAAAAGTGCACAACGGGTGCACTTTTTAACTAGAAAAGATATGTGCGAGATGCACGCCTCCCCATTCGACATAGATTCCCGCGAGGTTCGGCACCTGCCCACAAATGCCCGTATCCTCGCGTGCTGGACAACGGGTCAGCCTCGGCAATCGGTTCTCTGCCAGTGAACAGGTGTTGCAAGCAAACAATGGTAATGAGGCCATTTGGTTGCAGAGCTTGTGCCAGTACACGTCGTTTGTATGGTCTCCATTTTACGGCATTCAATCGTTGGGCAGAGGCCAATCCCTGCACAGAGTTCCGACATGGAGGGTCCCAGGCAGTGTCTCCCAATCTCGCGAGCAGCGGGACCCACGTGGCAGGGGTGCTAGGAGGCTCCGGCAGACTGTGCCAGCTCCACAATCTGGCCCAGGGAGAGCCGAGAAGCGTGCTCTAACACCCCATGCTCCGGGCCGTCCCGGGTAGCCGCAGCCTGCTCCGAGTGGCCCGCCAGGTGGGCCTTGTAGTTGTCCTTGCGTACCGTGCGGAACGGGCACTGCTCGCAGGCAAAGAGGACGGTGCCGCTCTCTCCGGGATGCTTCCGGTGCAGGTGGCCCTTGAACGTGCTCGACTGCGTCAGGGGAATCCAATCAGCGCACATCCTACCTTTTAGAGTACACAATTCCCCACTCCTAACAACCGCAATTTCAAAATGTGCATTAAATTACAACTTCCCTGGCGATGATATGTAAATGGTGGAGCTCATTCCTTAGGTTTACTGAAATGTGAGAAAGCTTGAGGCCCCTGCCCATCCTGGATGGATGCTAATGGCTGTACCCTTTATAACAGGCAGTAGCCTGCAGCACCTAGCCTAAAAGCCAAAAGTATTATTCCTCCCTTCACCCTTCTAAGCAAATTTGCTTCCCCTCTGCACTTTTATAATTATCACCAGGCGGTGTGGGATATCGCCAGGATGACCTTTGGGGGATCGGGCAAAAAACTAAAAAACATCACCCCCGCCTTCTCTCCCTGGCGAGGAAGTCGCCAATTTTCCTCTGGTCAAACTTAGTCGGTGCTACCCCAATACCAGGCCCACTGGGAAACAGGGTTGAGACTTTGGGCCGAAGCCACACGTGAGGGAGTCTCAATTTTACTCTGCCCCACCTGTCCCCAGCTGTGCTAGTTAGTTGTGCATCCTTCAATTTTCCCTAGATAATCTCCACCAATCTTCGAACCTCTTCTTTGTGACGGTAATCCTTTTCTCCTTCACCCTTCCAAGCAAAATCCAGCACCCCCACCAGATCCGTTACCTCTTCAGAAATGGCAGGGCGAAGCCCCGTGCTCTTCAAAACCAAATGTTTGTGTCTCACTATGGCACATGGCAGATAATGTGTCTATCTCTTAACACTCCCGTTCTCGCCTGGAAGAGCAACAAACTCCTACGTGAATTATCAAACACCTTTTCCTTTCTTCTCCAGCGGCACCTCGAACCCTTTTGAGGCCAGTATCACTGGTCCGCACTTCTGCACCCGTCCCAAAAGGTGGCTGGGTGTTCCCATTGTTTTCATAAAAAGGCGCCCCCGGCAGGGAGTGGGCAGTACACTTGGCAAGGTTGCTGGGATCCAAACACCCGATGAGGCTCACCTTTTTCAGACTTCTCGTGCCGGCCTTCCAAATCGTATTCCAGCCTCAAATGCAACTTTTATGTCGCACTAGGACACGTGTCCTAGTGCGACACGGGATGACGGACGAGTTGAATTTATGCGCCCGGAACACGGGACGACGGCTGTTCCGGGCGCAAAAACTCAACTCTTCCCGATAAAAAAAGGACTTGGGACAAAGAAATGTGACTGCGGGACGAGGGCGGATCTCAGGCCACGAGCGCGGAACTGGGGAGCAGATTTTAGCAGCCTCACCTGGATGCAGGCGTACGGGCAGTGGGGGCACTTGTAGGGCTTGGCACCCGTGTGGCGCATCTTGTGGCGCCGCAGCGAATTGTGGTCCCCTGTCCGGTAATCGCACAGGTGGCAGGCAAATGGCTTCTCCCCGGTGTGCTGGCGCAGGTGCATTTTGAGCGAGCTCTGGTCCGACGCCCGGTGGCCACAGTACGAGCACAGGAAGGGCCGCAGCTTGCGGTGCACCGAGTTCCGGTGCAGCTGGAGCAGGCGCCGCTTGCAGAAGCACCGCCCGCACTCTGCACAGCTCTCAGCCCGCATGCTGCCCCCCGCGGCACACCGCTTGGCCTGGACGTGGATCGCCTGTGACCAGAGGGCTTCGTCACTCGAGAGCCACCTCATCGAGCACGCCGAGAGCGCCCAAGCAGGACACAACTGGGACGGTTTCGAAAATCTTGGAGTCCCAGCACATAGAGGTGGGGGTGAGCGACATTTTGTGTCCCCCTTGCCCCCCCCAACACCACTGCTGGCACACACCGCAGGCACTAGAGTTGGAATGGTGCTGCTGCAAGGGGTGCTATCACCAACCCTTGTTCAGGCAAGTCGTCTCCTGTGCCAGACCGCGATCCATAAGGAATTATGGCTACATCCAATTTTCCCCAATGCAGCACGTCCCGGCAGAAAATCGTCTTTCTTCGGCAGTGCAGCATCTCTTTCTGGGCGTGTAGCCCTGAATGCAAAAATGGCCAGCTACAGCAGGCAGTTAACGGAGCGAAGACTAACCTTGTGGTTTCGTAGCTGCTTGCTTGTCTTGAATCCCTTGCCACAGACGTCGCAAAGAAAAGGTCGCTCGTCCCCATGAATACGCTTGTGCAAGTTCTCCAGCTTGCTCAAACTGTAGGTCCTGTTTTACATAAATCAACAAAGGTCCCCATTTAGGGCTTCAACACCCATCCCAGAGAAAAAAAATGGAAAGCAATGACAGAAGCTAAAGCAAATGACAGCTGTTTTCATACATCAACAGGAAACTTTGTTCCTCCAGATCCACTCAATTCTTCCAGACAAAGCAAGAAAAAGACCAGCGTGTGGCCAATTCACGAGACATCCTCTGTTGCGAGCAACTGCTTCGAAATGCCCACACTCCAGCATGCAAGAGCAATGTGTTTAATTGGTCAATTTTCTGGTTCTGTCGGGCTCGGGCTCAGTAGTTGCACTTTTTGTTTCAATTCAGCTCTAATGCACACAAAACAAAATATCAGTTCTACCGCTGTTCACTCGAGACGCCATGCCATGGAAACCACCGAGCTGTTTTTTGCAGTGGGTAAATGCAGCCGGCAGAATGATCACCATAGGAATACCTCCTGGCAGCAACTGCCAGACTGTTCCAGTCCCGAACCATAAGTGATTTTCTTGAGGGAAATGTTCAAACCAAGGGGCCTTGGCTAGCAGCAGGCATCGAGCCTCGACTCTGGCTCACAGACAGTGTCATCGCACGCACTACTCCCACATCTGTGAACTGTAGCTCACGCCTGCTGCCAACGAAGGGCCCTTGCATTCAGGTAAAGCCCAATTGTAGGCTCACGAGGTATGCTCCCTCTGCTGGATTGGCTACGATGGCAAGCAGTGACAGGGTTCAACACCCTGGGCAGAAAAAAATGCCACGCTGATGGTTCGAGCAAAAAGAGTGACCTCACCGGAAGTTACACTGGTCGCAGCAGTGGAGCTCCATGTCGCAGAGGTGCTGACGCCACAAGTGCACCGTCATGGTGCGCCACCGGAGACACACCAGTGAGCACTCGGGGCAAGCGAAGTCTGCTGCATCTGCTCGATGACACCGCACATGGTACTCGAGGTTTTCAAGCTCGCGAAAGCGGACGTTGCAGCCCTTGCGCTCGCAGCTGGAACAAAACCAGGCGTTCAAAATGCATTGAAAGTTGGGAGCTGAAGCGACAGTTTACATGGATGTCTAGTTCAGCAGCATTACAACTTGGGAACATCTCAAGTCTTGTGGGGCTGGCTTCTGGTCTCCTCCCATAAATTGGCAAATAGATTTTGGGGCTGACTTGGTCATTGCTAATAGGCTATTATAGCACACCTATATTGGCAACAATCAAAATCTTTTGTTAAAATAGCAAATTAATACACTATGCCGCGATCTCTAGTGATTTACTTAAAATCTTAAAAAAAAGAATGGTTTTGGTGGGCAAACCTACACATGAGAAAAGGCAGCACACATGATGTGCACTCAACTTATCATGGAGCTCCTAAATCTCGGTAAGCAACTGATTTGAGGTACCCACATGAAGCTTTCTTGCTCCCTGTTCACTTTCCGTCTCCACGCCTTTTGCGAGGACGACATGGGGGCATCCACAAACTTTCTCCCAGAGTCCTTTTTGGATGTAGACCGCACCGCTTCTTTCTGTAGACCGTATTCGGGTGCGCCGCTTCCCTGCAAAACAGCTGGCACCTCGGCAAGGACCTCTTCCGCTGGAGTCGCTGCCCGCATCTGGTCCGGCTGGTTGGTGTATATCCACTCCAGTCGGATCTTTTTAGACTTGGCCTTGTGAGCCTGTTTGAGGTGTCGGCAGCACTCGTCCAATGTGACAAAACCGCGCCGACACTTGCCGCACAGAAAGCGTTTCTCGGCACGACCAATGACCGCGTGGCTGGACGGCCGCCCTTGGGCCCCTGGGCTGTGGAGCTGGGCAACATGCTCGATGGCCTCGGCCTTGGTCTCGTGCAGGGATGAGCAGACGGTGCAGCGGAAGCAACGCACCTCCTCCACAAGACTCGCTGCCCGTCTCTCTGCCTGCCTCGCATCCTGGCCAGCAGAGCACTGCACCGGGGCCACGTTAGGGCAGGCCGGTGGGTTTCGGTCCTCTCTGAGGGGTGGCTCCGATTTACAGGCCGCCTCGATGCTCGGCAGTCCAACCCCCGGTCGGGTCAATGCAATGAGGTTGCTGTGGTGAGCGGCTGTTTGTAGTATGCTACTATTGTTTTCTGCCTTTTTGTGTACTACGGTGGATGGTTGTATTGTGCGAGGAAGACTCGGCTTTGGTGCGACAGAAAACAGAGAGTCGTCCACAATACGATTGAGTGTCGTCTGTTCTTCCGAGGTAAGCTGCGCATTAGAAATAGACAACAGTGGGATGTTTGAGTATGGGTGGTCTGGAACATTCTGGTACGATGTGGAGATGCCACCAACGTTCAAAACTCCATCCGTTGCATCAATCTGCTCAACGGAGGTCCTGAGTGAACTTAGGGCTTCGACAGTGGCTAGATCAGACCTCGAGATCTCGCTGTAGGCAAACATGTTTTCGGTAGGATAGGTTTCGTGGGCGCACGGGGCTCTCGAAGCGGCACCGTCCACTTGGTAAGGCATCGCTTCTTGCCTCGCAAAGCCACCCATGTCGTCCTTCGGAGAAGACGTCTGCTGGTAGGCCGTCTGGGCGGAAAGCGCCCACAGCTGGAGGCCGCTTCCCGACCGAATCCCTGGCCGCAGTTCGGAAACGGGGGGCAGGGCGCCGGTCGACGGCACATCGGACGTGGTGGTGCCCAGAAGGCCGTTGGAAAGCCACGTCGGAATCGCGCTGGCTTCGCCCGCCTGGCTGGAACACAGCGGATCCCGGGAACCAGCCCCGTAGTGCCCGAGGCAATCCGCTTTGCGGGACGGCTGACGAGATGCGCCGCAGCTCAGCAGAACGTCGGCGCGGGTTGCGTCAAAATCCATTGGGCTGGCCAGTCGTTTCATCAAATCCATCCCACTCATCAAGGAAAACGCGGGGCTTGCTGCGTTCGCATCTCAAACATCCATTACAATTTATCAGCGCCCAACCCTGAACAAGACGAATGCTCCTTTTGTAGGGGGGGTCATTTTCTCATCGTTCTCGTTCATTAGCCGTCTAACGCACTAACGCACACACCATACTGACGAAGACGGCCCAAAACAGCAGCACAAAACCACGACCAACGTCGTTCCGTTAAGCCTACAGTAATATTAGGGGAATGAAGCAAATGAAGTCGAAGCTCTCGCCGCTCTCGCTCTCGGCTACTTCCGTCCGGCCGTTGGATCCGGCCACGGTGGATCCGGCGAACTTTTTCCGATTGCCGCGCTCCCAGCGGGTGTGGGTATACGTTTTGTTTTAAATAAATATGATTCATACAATTTATAACGTTAAATAGCGATGAAGTTATTTTGAAGGCATGACTAGCTTTGAAGCTAGTTATGCCTTCACTTTTTCTTTCACTCTTTCAACGTGTCTGGGCGCGCTTTCTCTCTAAAACCGAATCCTATCATTGTTTAGGATTACCCTTGTTCGCTCACCGCGAGAAATGTGTCATTGTCAACTAACTGGCGATTTATATGTAATATCAAGATCGAGCTCATATGCTCACTTCATAAGATGGTGCACTTTTTGCAGCGAGCTGTTTATTTGGGATTGTTGTCAGCGATTCACGCGTCTGTTCGTGAGGAGTGAAAATGAGCCTAAATATTTTTCGATTAACTGAGGATGAGCGATGGAGCGATCCGTACTGGTTTCCCGTTTCGTTTAGTAGTGACGCACTCCCTAATTTAAGTGAATATTAAAAACTAATACAGATATCGATGAAGACTCGATACCAAAGAGCTGAGATAGGTTTTCTTAACCTCATTGCTTAGTTTCCTTTAGTTGCAAGACACCGTCGTCGGTCTTTACTTACGCTTTCTTATATAATCAAATTAGAAATGATTGTCAATTTAGCGTGGAGGCATTTAACTCAAGGCTGACTCAAGGAGAAGAAAAACGGAGGAGACACAAGTATTTAGTGTCGCTGTGTTGAACTTGAAGTACCGTTTTTTGAAAGGAGGTGCAGAATATGCTCGCTGGTTTCACATGACCATGTCAGGCACGTAAAGGCCAATCAAGCAAGTAATTAAATTTTTTGTTTCTAGGCTCCACGCCTGTGATTGAACGGCGTAATGCTTGTGAGTATACGCCAAGAGGTTGGAAAGGGTCACGAACCTACAGAGAAGTTATGTAAATTTAGAGAAGTGTTTTTGCAAGGTCGGATATCATCACCTTCGTCGCACGTAACCCTAACGTTTTATCCTGTTTTGTTGTTCATTTCTTTGATTCTTTTGTGAAAAATAGTGAGTCATTTCTTCTGTACTTTCTACTGCCTGTTGAATAAAAATGAACGCAAAAGAATAAACATTGCATATTTTTTGTGTATGTGTCACTTTTGTTGCTTTGCTAGGTTTCTGCTGCTGGTCTCGCGTTTCAGTGCTGGCTTGTGTGCGTTTCAACGCACATTAACCAGCATTGAAACGCGAAATCCAGCCGCAAAGCAGCAGAAGCCTAAAGTAACACAAAAACCGCGCAAAACAAAACAAAAAGCTACAATATTTATTTGTTTGACTCTAGGTGGCGCAAACTACCACCCATCCATCCAAGCACAATGGCGCTGCCGTATGGTTTCGGTTTCGCTGTGCCGCCATGCTGATTTTCGTACAGCCCCCTCCGGATACCAGGGGATTCAAATGGCGCTGCGGACACCCAGGGTTCAGAGCCGTATATTAGGAGAATTTGGACAATGGGTGGAGCAAAGGCCGCACCCAACAAAAACTCCCCCCCCCCCCCCCCCCCCCCCGCGGTTAGAGTGTAAACTGAAGGTACGACACTGAGTCGATCAATCAGAAGACCGCGACGCCACAATATTGCAAACGACATTTAAAGCGTGAAATAGAAGTGTTCAATCTGCGCCTCTCTACTCCATCTCACAAATGTCTGCAGTAAAGCCAGAGGCACAGGCGCATGAGCCTTGCTCAGCGAAATGATTTTGTTTGTACGCAAACTCGTGCATAGGAGGCACTTTCCAAAGCCACACGCTCGTGCCCGTGCCTTTGTCTGCACTGCAGATGTTTGTGAGATGAAGTATCGTTGACCGTTTGCTCCCGGCCGGTTTGCTAGAACAGCGTCTAAGCTACAGCGTCTAAGCTGAGACCAGCTGAAAGAAAACAGTGCAAAGGGTGGGGCGCGCGAGCGTCTTGAAACGCAGAGTCCCCCTCGGCTCGTGCGCTGGCTTTATTCTACACTTGAATATTGGCATGACGAAAACTTCATACACGCAAAGTTTTCAGTCACCGAGAGCTAAACCTTTTCACTCTAGCGACGTTAAAACGGCTTAAATTAGTCGTGTCACATATTTCTTTTCCTTTATACCTTTTCTGACGGCGTACTATCGGCACCCTACCGTTCGATCGATGAATTCGTTTTCAGGCGAGATGCACAAACAAACCTTTTCTGGAATGCTAATTGCTGTCTTGTCTTTCAAAACAAATCGTTTTTACCTCCTGGATGAAGCAGTATTCAACTGAAAAGGATCAGCGGTCCACTGCGCCCTATGTCTTAACAATGTATCTCTCAGTGCAGCCATCTTATTTGTGAACTTTTGAATAAAATACCGGTTGCTGAAACTTTGAAACCTGGTTCGCACTGCTAGTACTACATTTGGGCAGAGAATGAGTGTTCGGCAGTGCTTAGTTTATTTTTGAAATAAAAAAAGCAGCATACATTTTGTTGTTTTCGGATACCCCGTACAAATAGCACAGAAAAGGCCCGAGAAAAGTCAAAGATTGGCTCATGTGGAGTCCACAAAGCGTCGTTTATCTCCCGGAGGTGATCTAGCTGAGGAAGCGTGCTGGAGCCTCAGCAGGCCCAGGTGCGCGTCCAGTGCAGCGCAGCATTGAGGCCCGCGCACCAGCGCTTTGCCTCCTCCCGTGTGTCGGCCGACAGCAGGCGCTGCCCGCCTGCCACAGCCAGCGCCAGGGTGTGCGGGCGGGCGCACACGTCACGCGACACCAGGCGGCTGTCCATGTCGCCGCTCTCGTACAGGTCCAGCCAGCCCTTGGGCTCCTGCAGAGTCATATTAATAATATAGAGGGAAAGGTCCCACGCATTCGGGGCACTTGGGAACGGCAGGGCATAGACATGAACATTGCTGGTCCCAGCTGGCGGTCCTGATGGGCCCATATCGCTGGCGACGCCTTAATATGCACAAAGAAGCAGTAAAACATCCCCTGCAAGGTCTGCACCTTGTTCTTTTCGAGCTGACTTTGCAGAAAAACACCGTAATCGTATAAAAATAAATAATGTTGGCAAGCGCTCAAGCAACTTCAACTCGTTGCAGCTACACAAACACGCCTAATAAGAACCGTGCGTAGGGACACAACCGCTTGCGGAGATAGTTGAGAGGCAAAGACGTTTATTTGTGCGCTTTTAATTCTGACTATGGAGGGCTGGTGGTGCTGTTTATGCTGGTAATGCACATGATGATGCCATTGGCTACATCTCCCTCTCTTTAATGAAAGGAAACAAGTCTGGAACTAAGGCCTCAGTCACACTCTATGTACCGACGTGGCTTGCGGGACTGTCCTGAGCTTCTCCTTGGTGCCACGGGTTGGGGTCCCGAAGGCTGTGGCATCGTTGCTGCCATTGTTGCGGGGCTTTGGGAGCGGGTATGCTCTCTGTTGTGACGAAGCTGTTGTCCATCTTCACTCGCCACTATGTAGGATCTGAGTGCGGGGTCGTCTGTGACTACGACTGCTGGCGACCCGAAATGCTGACGCTTCAGACCTCTTTTACCTTGGTTGTAGTACGTCTGTTGGCGCTGGCATATCTCCTTAAGTCTTGCAGTTACCTGCTGGGGTGGCACTGTCTCAGGTTCTAAAAGCTTGAGGTTGGGTAGGCAGCGGTGTCCTCGTCCTTCTTCCCATCAGACGCTGGACTGGGGACTGCAGGAGCCTGTCTCTTGGCATGTTCCTCCATTCCAACAGGGCGGTGTAGAATTCTGCCGTGTCGTAGGGAGTCTTGCTCAGAAGCTTCTTTGCCTCTTGGGCGGCTCACTAGGCCAATCCGTTTGGACAGGGGCAGTGTGGACTCAATGTCGCGTGGATGATGTCACAGCGCTCCATGAATTCGGCAAACATGTGGCTGTTGAACAGTGGCGCAGTGTGACTGATCAGCTTGTGGGGAAAACCATGTGTAATGAAGACCTCTTGGCAGAGGTTTATGACAGCATCTGCCACTGTGTGTTTCAAGCGTTGAAGTTCAAAATAAAACATATAAAAGTCCACAATGATCCCATACTCTTCTCCTGCTTGCTGGGAAAGGACCATGTTAACTATCTGCCATGGCAGTTCTGGGACATCATTGCTCATCATTGGCAGCAGTTGGTTCCTGGTCTCGTGTTGTCTGCAGAGCGCACATCTTTCCGCTCTCTCTTGGATGTCTGCTGACATTCTTGGCCAAAACATAACGTCTCCGGCACATTGTTTGATCTTTTCTGTACCCCCATGGGCTGCGTGCAAGAGGCCTAGGACTTCGTTCCTCATAATGCTGGGAATGATCAGTCTGTTTGATTGGAGAAGAAGGTCGTCTTCTGCATGGATCTCATCATGGTACGGCCAGTAGGCTCGGATTTGTTCAGGGACGGCATTTTTCTCTTCTGGCCACTTTGTGCTTGCATACTCCCTCAGAGTACGAAGATTCTCACCTTGCTTCGTTGCCCGCTTGATTTGCTGTAGTCTTTCTGCAGAGACTGTCAGCTCTTCAGTGACGTTCCCTTGGAAGTGTTCTTCCTCTGGCACCTTCGCTATCGATAGAAACCGAGACAGGGCGTGTGCGATGAACATCTCGTTTCCCGGATCATACTTTATCTGCAGTGAGTACTTCTTAAGAGCCAGGCGCATTCTTTGCAGACGTAGCGGACGTACACTGGTGAAGTGGTTTCCTGAAGATCGCCTCGTGAGGGCCATGGTCACTTTCCACCAGGATGTAAGGCCGAGCGAAGACATAGTTGTGAAAACAGGTGCAACCATGCACAATGGCTAGCATCTTTTTTTCAATTTGTGCATCTCTCTCTTGCACTCCAGTCAGCGAGAAGAGTAGGCTAGGGAGTGTCCATTCTGCAGGATGACAGCTCCTACACCTCGTTGGCCAGCATCTACCTGCAACACAAGGGGCTGCGTCTTGTTGTAGTATGCCAGAACCGGTGCCTGTGATAGGGCTGTCCAAAGATGCTCAAAGCTTTCTTGCTGGGAGTCGGTTCAGACCCAAGCATTGTCCTTCAGCAGGTCTCGTAGAGGTGCACTTAACTCCGGCATGTTCGGGAAAAATCTGGCAACGAAGTTCACCATTCCCAGGAACGTCTTCAGTTCCTTTGCAATCTCTCGTACTTGAACTGCAAGGTTATCCTCTGCTCTGTTCGGGTCGATCGAGAGTCCCTTGTCGGTTAGCACAAACCCGAGGTAGCATACCTCCATTTGGCAGAAGTGGCACTTGGCCAGGTTCAGCTTGAGGTTCACTTCTTCGCACCGTTGCACGACGTTTTGTAGACGTCTGTCGTGCTCCTTTTTTGTTGAACCCTGTGCCAGTATGTTGTCCATGACCACCTCGATACCGCTGAGACCTTGGAGCACCTGGTGCATTGCTCTTTGGAAGACTTCTGGGGCAGTGGCAATTTCGAATGGCATCCGGAAGAATCTGTACCTACCGTAAGGCGTGCTCACGGTGCACAAGTATAAGCTGGGCTTGTCAGATCGAATCTGCCAAAAATCTGTGGCAGCGCCTAACATAGAAAAGTACTTGGCACCCTCTATGTTTGTCGAAATGTCCTCCAGTGTCTGCATATGGTAATGCCTTCTCTCTTGCATGCTTTGATCAGGTTGACAAGGTTTAATCATATTCTTATCTTTCTTGACTACAACTACCACCTGGCTGGCCCATTCGGTTGGTTCTGTAATGGGGCTTATCACTCCATTTGTTTCCATCCAGTCGAGTTCAGCATTGACCTTGTCACGGAGGGCCAGTATGACGTTACTGGCTGACTTGACTACACCTAGCGATCTGTAGTGCAGTTTCATGTGGTACCCCACTCCCACGTAGTTCACCTAGTCCCTTGAAAGTCTCTTAGAACGGTCGTGCCGCTTCGTAAAGTTGGCCCTCTTCTGTTACTGTAGTCACAAGTTGGATGAGGCCTAGCTCCTGGGACAGTTCACCACTGAGGGTTGCTTGCACCGACTCCTGCACAACAAAGAACTGAGCTCAAGCAGCTCCGTGTTTGCTGGACACTTGCAGAGTCACCTTTCCGGCTGCTTTCTTTTTCTGGCCGAAAAATGTGTTCAGTTGTTGCTTAATTGGTTCAAACTCCTTGCGTGTTATCACCTTCAGTTGCTTGAGTGAAATCACTGAACAGTTTGGTCCAGTATCCAAGTTGCAGACCACTGGCTGGTCTTCAATGTCGATCTTGGCTTTCCAAACAACCCCTTTTTGCGTGTGGCACGATGAGACAGCATGCAGAAAGTAGCTTCCTTCGCATTCCAGGCTTTCAACTTTCCGGGTCTTCATCTGTCTGGCGCGCCTTTGTTCGGCTTCTTTGATCAGCAGACGCTCGCGAAGTGGTTGAGTTTGCCACACTGCTTGCATTTCTTGCCTTCTGCAGGGCAGGCTTGGTTCTTGCGGTACGCATAACTGCACTTTGCGCATGCTTGGTTTTTTTGTGCTAAGTTGACCTTGTTAGTGGCGTCCTGGTGCTTGTCGGCATTGCCGCGGCCTACTTGGGTCGTTTTCTGTATCTCTTCTACCTGCTCCTTGCTTTTCTCTCGCGTGCCACAAATTTCCATGAGTTTGCTGAAATCGGGGTTCTCAATTATCAGATGGCTTTGTAACTGCTTGTCCTTTATGCCTAGGATGATGTGGCTCTTGAACATCCTTTCTTTGAGCTGCCCATACTCGCAATTCCGGATGACCGTATGAAGCTCCGTCAGGCAGCATTCCCCCTGCTTTTGAACTCTCAAGCCGAAAACAAAGTCATGGTACATGAGGTTAACGATGGGCTTGCAGTGCTCCTTAAATTTTTCAAAGAGCTCGTCTGTGTCATTGCGATCCGCTTCCGTTTTGAAATTGAACGTGCGGAAGATCCTCCGTCCCTCTACGCCAACCACGAACAAAAACGTTGCTGCTTGAATTTCTTTGGGCTTAGTTGCGAGCCCAGTCGCAGTCGCATGGAGCTTGTACTCATTCGCCCAAAGTTTCAGTGCCACCCAAAGATCTTGCGACGTATCCAGGGACTTCAGGGCTGGTAGCAGGGATGTCACGTTTCCCGCTGTCGCTGCTGTAGCCAATTGCAGCGGCAGGGTTGCGCGGCTGTTCAGCGAAGCCTACTTCGCCGAAGTCTTTGTGTCTTCTGACACCATGTCGACCGCACGTAGGGACACAACCGCACGCGGTGATCGCTGAGAAACAAAGACGTTTATTGGCACGCTTTTGATTGCGACTACAGAGGGCTGACAGCGCTGCTTGTGCCGGCAATGCATATGACGATGCCGCTGGCCACACTTAACCTCCGCTTTTCTGTCGCTCTCTCCCTCGGGACTAGCGATGTTGGCACTTGGGATTTGCCGCATTCTACACCCGGCTTTACTCCCCTGTGCAGGGCCAGCCACCAGACATGGAGAAATGCCCCACGCAATGCACACTCTTTTGGCCCATACAAGAGTTGTACGGTACTCATTACGAGTAATCAAATTACTCCTAAATGATTACTCTTGAAGTAAATACATTTATTAGGAAATAATCCGATCACTTTTGAAACTATTACTCATAACCTTTTACTTTTTTCCCTCCCTTTTCAAAAGGTTTGTTTGCGCCAATATCCTACCACGGAATTCTTGAACCCAGTCTCCGACAAGAGGACGGTCGCACTAAAAGCAGACGACATGTTGCCGAGATTAAACGGCTGACCATCGGTTTTATTTGCTAGTTCATCCGTTTTATTGGGCGGGTGCCTCGCATGATTCAAAAACATTGCCCGCTTTTGGCGCAGCAACCTGGAGGTAAGGTTGCGCCAGGGGGGCCGCCGCCCTCTGTCGGTTGTTTCGCCATCCACGCACAGAGAGTGCGTGGATAGCAGACGGGCACCGTAGGTGGGGAAAATCAGTTCTTGTGTTTTTACTTTTTACTCGTGTAAATGAGTTGTTTGATGCGATGCTTCCACTACCTTCAGGCCCCTCTGCGGTAAATCGTAGCGCGATACGTTACCGAGCCGATTTATGCAGCCGCTTTACAGGTTTCTCCCTATTCGTGGGCACGCTGCACACTCTATCATAACGAGCATTTGAATGTGGAAAAGGAAACCGAGCAGAACCACCCTGCAGAAGACTATGTGTGCAAGACTCAGCTCTGCACCGAGCAGAGGTGCAAGGGCTCTGCAGCCCTCCCAGAAAAATGGCCAATGCAGCAGCCCCGTCGGCCCTGCCAAGGTGAGGCCAAACGCAGTGGGGCTGTACCTACGGACCGTGCCTGACGAGGGAGCGACACCCACCTTGGTTCCTTCATCCTCGGGGTAGCGCCAAAACGACAGCCGGTTCTTTGCCAGCAGGCACCAGCGACGATGCCAAGCACCTAAGCCGCCAACGTCCTCGAACATCGTCTGAAAGCGTCGGAACATTGCCCGTTTATTTCCATAGCCCTTGGGCCCAGGCTCCACAAAAAAAAGTAAAAAAAAAACATTTGTTTCTTAAGTTTAAATATATCGCTTATGTATTTGATTTAAATCAGATTAATTATATTTAAATTGCTGTAGCTAGAAAATAGTGACTGTTGATCACTGCATGTATTTTTGAACGTGGCAGAAAGATTGATCAATTTGTCCGATCCTTGATAGCAATGCGAAGAAATGATTACTGTAAATTTAAAGTACAGCTTGTTTAACAACTTTTTATTGATATAACACCCATCATATTAAAACGCATAGTTAGCTAAAAAGCTTTGATTGCGTTTTCCTTGCAACATGATGTTACGTAACCGACAAACAAAGTGGAATCTAGGAAGAAATCCCAATGTTTCGATTTGCTCAGAAGAACACTGCTTTCTGTTCGTGTTCAGCCTAACAGAAATCTTTTACTCCAGGATTCTTTGATTTCAGTACAAAACAAGTGCACAGAGGAAACATCAAATGACAAACGAACAGTAAATAGGACTTGTTCCGGTTTAAATCACAACTTAAATCATCTTGATTTATATTCTCCACCCTCGCACAAAGGATTCAGCAAGTACAGTGAATCCTATTACAATCTTGCGGAGTTTCACTCAATGGCCAGAAGGCTCACAAATAACAGGCAATTTCTCAACTGCACCGTCAGTAACATCCTCCCTGGTTGTGGTCTCCAAGGGGTGGGCCAGCCTTTTGGAGACCAAAACCAAGGGGTGGCCAAATTAAGAACTTAGCCCAAGTTCTCAAGAAAACATTTATCGAGTCAAAAACGCAGTTATGGAAGCGGCATTTGACCTTTTGTAGTAGGATCCGTAGCAGGGAAAATATTGGTTTAAAGCAGCCACTGACGCTTTCGGACCAGATGCGAACATCTGTGGAAAAAATTGATTGGATCGCTAAATGAGTTCATCTTTGATAAAGATTGAGGGTTCCTTTTTGGTACTGTAGCATATAACTTACAACCTTTTGTAATAAGAATAGATAGGGCACAAAAGGAACACAGAGCCTTCTTTTTTTAGAAATAAGGCTCTACTCAGAGTAGTTCCATTTATAATGGGTACTAAAACTGGATGAAAAATGAATCACAGTTCAACACTTGAGTTGGGATAAAGACCCTCTCTCTCATCCAATTTTTACACCCGGTAGTTTATTTAGTTCATAAATATAATTTCTGTAAAGTGCCAACAAAAACCATGCAGTATATTCGCTAATGTGTCTATCAATAAAAATATGTCTTCCAAGTTTCATAAACCTACCAAAGTCAAGACTTTAGTCCTATAAACTGCAAAAACAACCACCTACAAACATTATGAAGACCTCCACTCGTGCTTGAAAAGTGACACTGCTCTTTAGCGGCATTGGAACCTCGCTGCTCTTTCGACAGACAGCTGCATGGGAACTACCTGGACTTATTTATTGAAATCTAAACACACAATTTGTTTTTCTCGTCGCAGTTTAAAAAAAAAAACTTAGAGATTAATCTACAATCAAGAGCAAAGAACAGGGGCTCGGAAATTATGCTGCCTCATTTCCGAGCATATTGTGCTAACTGAGGCACTCCCCGTGGCAGCCGCTGCTCCTAGCACTCCGGTGCAAAGCGGGGAAGCTTGGCGTGCGTGCGCTGGTGAGAGGCGGCACGGAGGAATGCAGCAGGCATCATAGTCGAGCGAACTCGCGAGGTGTACAAGGCCCTGGTTCTGTCTTATCACAGTAGCCGCCACCCTACCATTTTGCAGTGGTTCCTCGCGACTTTTAGCTTGACAGTGCCGACATCGTCTGAAAATTTAGACCATGTCCGTGATCGACCCGCCGACGCATCATCAGGCTGTAGCACGGTTGACGAGCAAGCTCGATACTTTGCTTCACCTTAATTCAAAGCTCACCTGATGGTATGAGTCAATGAGACCGACCAAACGTCATCAAAGTGCGACAACATGGCATTTGTCAATCTTCCTGTACGTGTTCCTTCGTCGTCTAAACCAGTCGAGTGCAGCAAATGTTTCGTGACCTGCGCTTTTAGTATCTGTGTTTGTATGTGTTGAAAGCTTAGTCTGTAATCTGACTGTAGAGACGCTGTGAAATACATATTTGTTCTTCCCCCTTACTTCCCCAAGGGTCGACCAACGATGAAATATTTTAATTTCTTGCTCCAGCCCACCTGAGCGCGAGTGTGGTGCAATCCTTGTCAAAAATGGCGCAAGACGTGGCAGAGCTTCGTTCGTGGCGCAAACGGCGCCACTTTAGACGGTCCTGTTGCAATGATCTGAAAAAAGCCACGGTCATCGTAATTGCGCGTATCCCCACTTGGAGATCCTTTCCCAGTTATTTTTTTCTTTTGATACCCTCGGGGCCCGGAGGCATTACAGAGGAGTGGTTGCAACAGATAAAATGGTTGTCAACCTTCTTCAAGTGTGTGGCTTCAGAGATGGTATAGCCATGGAGGCAGGGAGCTGGTTTCAGTAATTTGCTCTTTGTGGAATCAAAAAGTCGAAATACCGTATTTGCTCGAGTAATAGTATTTACTTGCATAATGAACACACTTTTTTTTCCCGAAAAATTGACATGTTTGGGGGGTAAAATGTTTGCATTTACACGCTTTGTGCAGATGCCATATTAGGTGCCAATATGACACGGCAAGGTACTGTGGCACCAGGGCTTAAAGTCTGGGGGACCTCAGGGGGTCTCGGACCCCCCACTGACTTTAAAGGATGGTCTGAGCCCCTCCTTCACAACCCCAGCATTAGTGAAAGCAAAATCATATCTTCCAATAAAATAGCTTGTTTTCAGGGATGTGACAGTTGGGGATTAGCAATTTGGGGGTTGCAGGTGCAGCGTGGGTAAAGTTAGCAGTGGGGTTTATTTTATGTGCATCTAGTACATCTCGTTTTTCACGTGTTTTCTGTCTGCTCGTTTTGTCCAAGAACGTGGATAGGGGCCGTGAAAAAGAAAAACGAGCCACCGTCGAACCACTATTGCTCACATGGGAAGCACTTTGGGTTAAATTCAGGGATACTTGTGGTCGTCAGATTTATTTGTGTTGTTGCAACATGAATGTGGGAAAACTGCCAAGTTGTACCGACCACCTGCAGACTACATTCAGTGCATCTTCAAGTTCAAACGGCTACCTGATCGTTCGAACTGTCATCTGCTCTTTCAAACGTTTCTGCTTGTTGTCGTCTGCTCGTTCAAACGACAGAGGCCTGTAGACCAATCGTTGACCTGGTAATTACGATAACAAGTGCAGGGCTTAAAACACTTTAAGAGTTTTGAGGGTTGGTTGAGGGTTGGTTGAGGGTAAGTAGGCTCGGTGTAAACAGTAGATGCACGAAGATGTTGATCATTGTTACCAGTGGCCATCACCAACTTATTATGCCTGATTCACTTGGTCCGATTCTGCTTGCGATTTTCAATATCGACGTCGACCATCTCAGCTACGGTTCACGCTTTTGCAGCCCGAGCGACGCCATGACTGAAAATAGAGAGCAGAATCTCATCATGCAAATCAGGCTTTAGCGTCCACGTGGAATAAATCGTCGCATGACACATTATTCACGCAAAGTTTTGCGGTACAACGCATTAATTTTGCTGAGGCCACTAAAGTAGTCAAACATTGCCAGGAAGACGTAGAATCAACAATTCCAACACGACAGAGAGCACAGGGACTCGCACCGATGCTGGCAACATCACATTTCAATGGTTTGTTTATGAGTGACGGCAGGGTTCTCCCCAGAAATTTTTCAACGGTGGACATAACCGAGATGTGAGCGGCGAGAAGGGGTTTGCAACGCGGCACTATCTGGCTTGCCGACAGAATGCACTTTGTGTAGGCTCTCTAATATCGCGGCCCTGCGAGTGGCGCCAAGCCGCAGGGCCGCGTGGCGCCACTCCCAATTGCCCTGGGAAAAAAAGAAAAAAAAAAAGATGGGGAAGGAAAGGCGGGGAGCGAGCGAAGAGTCGATGATAAAGCAAGCCACGGCGCGAGCAAGCATTGAGCAGAGAAAGAAAAGTCGTCTAGGCTTTCTGCTCTCTGCGACTCACCGCCTGCGGAGAGAACTGCTGCACGGTGCATGTTCGTTACCTCCGTTTATTTTGTGTTGCTCCTCGGCCGAGCACCCCCCCCCCCCCCCCACACCATCACTACCGGCGGCGCTCTGTGGCTCCGCTCTCCTTGTTTGAAAGAGTGGCGGCAGTGGGCAATGCGATAAGACGCGATAAGAAGGTGGTTCACAGGCTTGCTGAGTACGACAGTCTGCAGCCATGTGCGCTGGCAAAATCGCATCGTCATCCTGTGGCATAATTGAGCGGTAAGTGGTCAGTGGGAGCGGTGGGCGGGAAAGTGACTGCCGCCCACTGCGGGGAGAGCCCTGGGCGACAGCGATCCTCTTGCCCACACTACATTGTGCACATGCGGTGCTGGTGGCGTCCACTAGGGGCGCTCCGGTTTATTTGTAAACATGAGTTTGTCTATATAAAGATTGAGAGAAAATGACGATATAGCTGAGTTTCAGACGTCTTCTCCTGTGCCTTTTTTTCTTCGACTTTAAAATTTCCTATTTTTTTCCCTCACCACAGTATCGGGGTTTAAACACCATGAATGCTGACATACTTCGTGCCATGTTTTTCGATTGGGGGGGTATTGCTAAAAAGTTGGGCAGAAACATTTGTGATAAAGGGATAAAGCGAGCGATCGGCCAGCAGCAGTAGTAGCACCCCCCCCCCCCCCCCCCCCCCCCCCCCCCCTTTGAGAGAGATGCTCCCCAGTGCCACTCACCAGAAATCCCCGGACTTGCGGATGCTGCTGGGGCCTGAGCTTGAGCTGTGCCAGCAGGGTGCCCTCCAGAGGAGAGTGGGCGGGGACCTGCGTGCATGCCAGAGACAGGGAATAAAAATCAAGGTGATTTATATCACCATCTCTACTCTATACCGGGGCACCGAGGTGTACCCCATCGTCTTCAATCAATGGTCCTCGATCAAAACGCGAACCAAGAAAATGGACGGTGTGCCGGGGTGCAATCCCATCGGGCATTCCGGCCAGGAGAGGGAATCGAGGAGATGGCGGGAATAGCAGACGCACAGCCGATCGAGATAGCGACTTTGCGAAAACGACGCCTCGCAGCGGCATTCTATGAATTCCCCAGCTCTTCCGACAGCGAAGACGACGAGCTTCTTGCCATCGTTGCGATTACCGGCAATTGCTGCGGTGGCAAGGAGCGCCCGAAAGTTAAGAACTTCGTGGAAAGCGTTGCGAGGCGTTTCAATGATACCGAGGCAACCGAGGTACGGCTATTATCTGGTGGTTCTTTTTTTGAACCAACAATGATGGGCAAAATATACCTGTGGAACTGTTACCCGCTTCGTGACCCCATCGACAATCATGTCCACAATGTTCGTTCGTGTGGGACCGCTAAATCCGCGAGTAAAAAGCCGGGAGAAATTGACAGCAGATGGCCGCTGTGTGTGGACATACGCAAGAAAAACAAATAACGCGCGAGGTGATGCATCGTGGTGCTCGCCGCGGTGCACAGGCATGGCGCAGTTTGCCCCCTATGTTGCACCGACTTCGCACTGCATGACCGGGGAGCGCTGCGCACTGTCCTGGTTTCAGGGCAATCAGTTGTGTGCAGTGCAGGCGAAGGCGACGCCAGGCGAGGGGAGAAAGGGCAAGCACTAGGAAGGCTGGAAAGGAGGAAAGAAACTTCTCCTCTTTAGAGTTCCTAGTGCTCTCCCTTTCTCCCCTCACCTTCCATTGCCCTCCTCTCCCTTCCCGCCTTCCTAGTGCCCGCCCTTTCTCTCTTCGGCTGGCACTACCTTCGCCTGCATTGCACACAACTAGTGACTCGGAGTACAAATTGCACCGACTTGGCTATGATGATTGAAATCAAACATCCACAAACAATACTGAAAATATTTTTTATTTATTGTTTGTCTATCAGTTTTTGCATTCCATTGGCATTTACTTTGTATGTAAAGCTAGCAGAGAATGGTCAAGCATGAAAGATTTATACTATATCAGGCAGTCCTTAAAGAACCATATCTAAAGATAAAAAAAGTCACTCTTTTCTAGCTGAAGTGACTTAAATCGTACAAGTTTGATTAAAATGAAATATACCTGATTTAAATAAAATAAACCCAATTCATTCAATTTTTAAACAAAATCATGATTTTTTTTTTTTTTTTTTACTTTGGCCAGAGACTTTTAAGGCCACATACTCCAAGGAGGTTTCCGAGCAGCAGGGTAGGAAATAAATCACGATTTCTTCTTTTTAAATCAAATAAACCAGTTTTATTCGCGTGCTTTACTGTCAAGCTTAATAAGAGACAAATTTCTTTCTTTTCACGGGAATTATTTCCTCTATTTCTAATCTCGCTCTTTCGTTTCATTTAAATAACTGTTGCTAGAAAAAAGTGGTTCTTTATTACTAGACATATTTTTAAACATGGGAAATTGGTCGATCAATCCATACAATCACTGAAAACAATGGGAAAGAAGAACTTACTGTAAATTTAAAGTATGGTTTAATTAACGGCTCTTTATTGATGTAAACCCCGTCATACTAAAACAAATGCAGCTTGATCTCTTCTAGTGCTAAAGAGGCTTCATTTGCTCTTTTTTTTTTTCTTTTTTCGTGTTTTGATTTTTTTTTAGAGTTTATTATTTTGCTCGCTTCCGTTTCCTCCTTTCACTCTGCGATTTTCTTGCCTTAGGACATTAGACAAGTGCCAAACTCAGATTTTCCCAGAAGAGCACCGCTTTTAAAGCATGGAACACATGAGCGGTGACACTGGGCTAGGTGCACCACAGATGTACCACGCGGCATTATCTGTATCGACCAGATCCGAGCGCCGCGCAGAACTGACGCAGGGACGCACCGGGTGCTACGATACTGCCGCACCCGTTTTCACTGCTCCTTTTCATCCTGCTATAAATATTTACGATTGATTGCATCGATGGAGGTTTTATGGAGCAAAAGCATCTAGCTGCGCCAGAGACAGACTAAGAAAAGGTTTCAAAGAGCAAAGAGCTTTAGTAGCTTTCTATAGTACCAGTTGGAATATAAAATCATAGTCGGTGTAAAAGACCAATAACTCTTACCAACCAAAAAAACAGAGTTATGCGAGATAAGTGGCTCGTCAGAGAGTGGGATTGTAAGGTGTAACGGTATATGTTCATATATTTGAGAAAAATGTTCACGTTGTGCAGAGCCATACGCATTCAAGCAATATGTGTTCAACAGTCAATGGTTTCCTGCGCAGAAGATGGCTGTGAGGGTGGTACATATGACCTATCCTCAATCGGCACAAGATCTCATAGAATCGTTCACGGTGCCTTCTCCCACTTACTGAGCAATGGCTTTACTGTATGGTGCTTTATTTATATTTTCACCCCGCTCTTGCTGCCAGTTTTGGGTGACACAACATTTTACGAGTTTATGGTAATCCTTATATGGGATAGTATGCCAGTCCACTTCTCTCTCGCCAGCAGAACTTGCTGCGAAGTCTGCTTAATTTGCAGACCTCGCAAGATTAATTTTTTTCTGCAACTCTATGATTATCGGGTTTTTAGAAGCTCTGAGCTTGTAGAGAACTAAGTCCATGTATATAAAAGAGATCATGCGGTTTGTTTTCGCAATATGGTCAATAGAAACACGTAGACCACATAGTTCTGCCATTAAAATGGTGGCTGCAGATGCAATTCATTGGGTACAGCAAACAGAGGGTCCAACCATGCCACATCCAACTAATGTATCAGACTTGGTGCCATCTGCGTAGTGTAAGCTGTGCACAGAACATCTACTGTGAAGTTAAAAAAATGCTTCTCTCATGCACTCTGGAGAAGTGTCTTTCTTATTGTATTTGGTTAGTGAGTTGTAATCCCATGGGGCTACTGTTTGTGGGATAGGAGGTATTGGCATTCTAGTGCTCAGTCAAATAGAATCTGCTGTGCATGTGTTTCCCATACTGAACGGAGGTATAACAGTGGGCTTGCTTATTAAGCTGTGTTTGTATTTTGTTTCTACTACAGCACCTTGGGCAGGGTGTAGAGGCACTGAACGAATCCAAGACAGACCTTTGTCTCTCCAGCGACCATTTATTTGATTCTGCAGAGGCTGGCAATGTGCAAAAGGCACCAGTAGATCAACTCTTGGGGATGGACAGGATCAAGCATTTTTAGAGCTGAAGGCCTCGCCGATCCATATATCATGCTGCCATGATCCATATATAATGCTGCCATAATCTAAAAACGAGCAAATCACTGATCTATACATCCGTAGAAGCCAGAACCGGTCAAAGCCCCAAGATGTGCGAGAAAGCACTTTAAGAATGCGTAGTGCCTTTTGGCAATTATACTTAATATGAGAAAGGAAAGACAATTGGTGGTCGAAAATAAGCCCTAAGAATTTGTGTTCTGGTTTCGTTAGAATTTGGGTGGAGCGAATAGCGACTGAGGGGTCAGCTAAGGGTCCCTGCAGGCGAGAGAAGCAAACACAAACACTCTTTCCAGGAGAAAATTTTAACCCCTTTTGATCTGCTTACGTTAGTAAATTGGTTACAGTTAGTTGAATCCTATGTTCAAACACAGCAAGGTAGCAAGATGAGACCAATATTTGGAGGTCATCAACATAAAGAGAGTACTAGACAGACGATGGAATGACCCGGGATATAGAGTTCATTTTTACTATAAAAAGGGCGACACTCAAGACGCTTCCTCGAGGGACTCCGTTTTCTTGGCAGAACTCTTGAGAGTAGGCTGTGCCCAATTTGACTTGGGAAGTATCCATAGCCAGATAGCTCTGAATTAGCGCTAACATCATGCCTCGAATATCAAAACTATACAAATCCTGAAGGTTACCATGCCACCATACAGTGTTACAAGCTTTTTTCCAAATCGAACAAGACAGACAAGCAATACTGCCTATCTACAAAGGCCTCGCAAATAGTAGCCTCCAAACAAATCAGGCAGTCTAATGTAGATCGAGATCGCCGAAAATCACGTTGGTATTTATCGAGGATGTTTTCTTTTTCCAACAAATACACAAGTCTCTCGTTAACAATCCTTTCTAATGTTTTACTGAGACAACTGGTTAGCGCAATTGGGCAGTAACTGGATGCACATGATGCATCTTTTCCTGCCTTTGGCAAAGGAATGATGGTTGCCACTCTCCATGATGATGGGTATGTCCTCTCCTGCCAGATGCGATGGAACAGATACAGGACTAAATCGAGTGTCGAGTGGTGAAGATGGGTAGGCATATGGTAGTGGATTCTGCCTGGTCCAGCAGCCGTAGGTTTTACTTCGTGTAGCAGCCATTTCAGCTCATTCAGATTAAGGGGAGAGTTGTAAGCTTCCCGGGTACCACTGGATGTTTGGACAGATTGGCACTCTGCTTGAGCCTTGCGTTTCAAAAAAGCCGCTGAAGAATGCTGGGAACTCTATACGCGCTGAAAGTGTTCCCCGAGGAGATCTGCCTGCAATTCGAGGCTCTCGGGGCACAGTCCGGTTTCAGAAAGAAGCGGCACTGAAAAAAAGTGGTAGTGCCCATTGACACTATGAATTCAGTGATGCGATTGACCCATTTTGTAGCACCTTTTGGAGCCGCCACAATTCAATTATGAAGCAGCAAAAAGTACTTTTTCGAGCACAAGCACACATTTTATATTTATCCATACTTACTGTGAATATTATATATTAAGATTTGTGAGTTGGTTTATCCAACTAAAAGACATGCATGCTTTGCCTTCACAATTCTGTGCAACGGCAGGTTTGATTTCCTTGTTTAGTTGCACTTAGAAGCACTAGGCATGGCAACAAGATGCTGATTGATGAAAGACAGTATGAACTGCTGTGAATGGTCATTTTAAGTATGAAATGAAACATAAACCAAATAGTATATTCCACTAAAATAATGTCAGAATAATGTTGAGGTCGCAAATTGATGTTTCATTGAAGTACTAAAGGTTGTAATAAAACAAAAATTCTGAAATCAGATGAAAAACAAATACTTCTGTCATTAAATTATAAACATTAATGACATTTTGTATGTAGAACCTCATAATAATAGAGATCAGCATGCGAACGATAAGTATGCCTTCTTGAAAACAATCCAGCCAAAGTTGTTCAGGTCACTCCCAAGCTCCCTTCTACTGCTTTACCTAATTTAGTTTGTTTAATCTATACTCACTGAAACTTGAATGGATAAAACATATATAAAGGTGATAACTAAACAACAAAGTTCAAATAAAAAGAAACCTACAGAGCAGTTCCTGCAAATGTTCTTGTGAGTACCCTCACTAAATTATGAATCTGAAAAAGATATCGCTAGAACACAGCAGTCTATCATAAATAATAGCCACAGTATAATTCACTCTTTAATTCAAACTCTCCTAATTCAAACTTGCGGATAATTCAAACTAACCTGCTGGTCCCATCCTATGCGTCTCTATGGAAAAAAAACTCCCGTTGATTCAAACTTTGCTTTATTCAAAGAAATTTTCGGTCCCCCTAGAGTTTGAATTAATGAGATTCGACTGTACTCACGAAGTTCCTTTTTTTTTTAATATACTGGACGCTTGCGTGCTTAACGTCCCGCTCTGGGGGAAGGTTTCCCTTTAGCACTTGGATGCACTGCGGCGAAGCAAAATGAGCAAAGTTGCGATGCTTACTTTGCGGTTACCGCTTCACTGCAGTACACAAGAGCACGGTAAGAAGCGCACTTAACGAAGCTAACTTACACGCCAGAGAAAACTAAGAACATGAGAAATATTGAGGAAATTTCAAGTACTGTCAGTGTTTGACACTGATAGAGAGATCAAATAGGATAGCATGCTATTTGTGGCTAAAATTAAAATCTCTGAAAATTCGCACAAGCATACCATAACGATCTGGACGTGTAGCAGGGCCAGAGCCATTATATTTTCCGTATTTAGAAATCAAACTTTGGTGCAATGTTGGAGCAAGTTCATCACATTTGGGCTAAATGTAGCAGGATAAGCCCTTTAGCACAGTTTGGCCCAAATGGCACAGCAATCACATCACTGTGAGCCCACTTCTTTGCTGGTGGCAGTATTGTTAATAGAAGAAGCACATCCTTGAAAACTCTGGTGTTTTGTGTGGCGGCGGATATACCTTGCGCAAGCCTTCGTGATCTTGAAGCTGATTAGGTTGGTCACTGTCGGATAGCACCTAAAAATGCCCCATGCTCAGTTCTGGTTTTTTCTTGATTCTTCACAGTCGGCCTTCCACCATGGTTTTTTAGGAGGAGAGGGTAGGTGAGGTGACGTCATGGGAATAGATACCATTGCAGCATGAAGTATGCGACTGCTAAGCAGATTGGTAACTTGGTCAGTTCGTTAAATGATGTGCAATCAAACTCCTGTCTGACCGATTGATAGCCATCTGTTCTCTCTACGTTCCCTTAAGCTATCCTTTAACCCATGAAAAGCTCCAATCTCTTAATGATCAACTTCCCCCACCACCCCTTGTCTTTGGCGATTTCAATGCCCATAACCCTATGGGGGGCGGTGGAAGACGTGACACATGTGGCTTAATGATAGAACGGTCTTCCACAGCTCTATGCTTCCTGAACAAAATGGAGCCAACATATTTCAGTGCCTCAACTCGATCCTTTACATCCATTGATTTCTCGCTTAGCGAACCAACATTGTTTCCTTTCCTCTCCTGGGCTGTCGACCCCAATCCCTACGAGAGTGATCTTATTCCAATAATTTTAAACCGAGAAAATCCGCCTGGCTGGATTCTCTTTAAAAGCCTCAATACGTCGCTACAATCCAAGTATTTCCTCCACTTTTCCCACGCTTGTAGGAAAAATGCGGAACATGCAATCTACTCTTACAGCAGTGCAAATCCAGAAACTGCTAAAAACCATCCAATGCATTCTCAAAAAAGGCTAGGAGGAGCAGAATTGCCTCTAGAGGATCATAGGTTCTCGCCCAAAAGACGAGCCAAAAGAGTGGCGGGAACACACAGTCACAAGACACACAGTAACCCACTGGGAGCACCCTCTGAGCAGCGGAGGGAGTACGGTAACGCGACTCGTTTCTTTACAGCCCATACATGGAAGGTTTTCCACAAGTGGCAACAAGTGAACTCAAAAAAGTCCCAAGTATGCCGCGTCACCATCCTGGTGGTTGGGCGTTCAAATACTGGTGTAAAGCACGAGCCAACGCGAGTGTGGCTGTCCACATGGTGTCCCAACTCCAGGCTGCGGGGCAACTGCCACATCCAGCACCATTGCTGAAACACTGCCAGGGCCGCGACCAACAGCGCGACACTTGTACGAGGCGGTGTAGACAGACACGAAACGCAGGTACCATAGCGGGAGAAAGCCTCACCTTGTCCAAGTGGAAGGTGGAGCGGCTCCAGTTGGCCAGCGTCAGGTGCACCACTCCAACCAGGCCAAAACTGGGACGAAGGGGCCCACAGTCGGCCGCCTGGCTCCCTGCAAGGATCCCTCCTTCACAGCTGCACTGGCTTCCCACAGTTCTCTTTAGATATCAAAGAAAATTCATCTAATGTAATTTACTAGACCCGTTTGCTCGCGTTATACCTAGGGTTCCATGTTTTCAGATAAATCCGAACAACACCCATCGGTAAAGTTTGGACGTCAATTGAAATTTATTCAATAAACTACAAATTTCAATGTCCCAGTAAAAAAAAAAAAAAAAAGAAAAAAAAAAGACGGTATTTTAGAGTTAAGTTTGGTCGGTGCACCGGGTAAATGGTCCCGAGAAAATGGCAGCCCAGTTTCTTTTCCAATCTCAGATTATCGTCAGAATGGGGTCTTACCGAGGGGAGCTGCCAAAAAGAATGCACTTGTACAAAACTACATTTTTCGGTTGGATTTGGCGTCAACGTCAAACCCAGCTCCAGAAGTTTGTTTTTATACAAGTGTGTTCTTTTGAATGTAGCACACATTTGCACCAGTTATTAATTTTTATTTCTGAAAAATAAAAAACACTAAACTTAGTCAGAATTTCGGAGAATTGGGAATCTAACAAAAATAAACTCCGATAAACTCAAAATTTTGGAAAAAAAATAAACTACAAAAACACTCTCTGGATTCAATAAAAATGAATTCAGAAAAAACTGAATCAGCATTATATAAAAACGCTTTAGAAAGTTGTTATTCCTGGGGCCTTCGAAGTGTGTGGGGCACCCTGAAGGCTTCCCAGCCCGGTTGCTGAACTACAGGGCACAGGAGGGGAACTTTTGTCGACCACAAGTTGCATCAACAGGCAATTAAGAATGTTATTGTTTCCACCTTGTCAGACAATTTTTTCTCACTAAAACAGGGACCACCTCATCGGTTCCTGTTGCCACGGCAATCGTCATTTTGGTCCTATCAAATCTTTAAAAAGGTTGTTTTTAACCAATCATTCCAAGGTTGCTACAGAGCTTTGACCGGAAGCGTTCCTCATCAACATTGTCTTTGGCAATGCACATGCAATCAGCTTATCATTCCCACTTATCTCCACAAAACCTCTTACAGTCAAACCCGTTTATAACGAACAGCAGGAAATGCTACGATCAGTTCGATATAGCCAAGGGTAGTTCGATATAGCAAAAACCATTTACAACGAACTTCCACGCTGCGTTTGTTGTAAAACAAGAGCTTCTCTTTCTTTCTCATCTCTTCGCTTTCACCTTAAAACAACGAGCTGTAATTTTTTTTTTTTTGTGTATCTGCACAGATTTTGTTTTTTAGCTTATCTCCTTTTCTGAATCGCTTCTCTTCGTAATGAACCGCTTTGGGATGAAAAGTTGTTTTTGTGCATGCACAGTGTTTTTTTAGTTTTCTCCCCCTTTCTGAACCGGATGCCTTCGCTCAATTTTGTTTGCGGCTTGAACTTTTGGTAATTTCTTTCCTACTTTTTTTTTTTTTTCGGGGGGGGGGGGGGGGGGGGTGACAGTCTAGAAGACAATTGTTTGCGCGTTTTTGGAAGCCTTCTCGGGGTTAAAAAGTTCGATATAGCCAATGTGTTCTTCGTTATAAAAAGTACTTTTTACATGCATTTTTATTGAAATTTTCTGCGAGTACGATATTGACAATAATTCCCTTTACGTTTCACTGTACACTGAAATTGTTTTTCTTGTGTATTTCAAGACAGGAAGATTAGTTTTCAATCCTGCCAAGTGTTGGTAGTGTAAAAGACAGTCACGAGATGGCGCCACGTATTCGGCGCTAAGGTCGCGCAGTCATTGTTTAAATTTTTTTTTTTGCCCCTTTTTTGTATCTCCAAATAAACAAGATGGCAGCTTGACAGCTGTTTGTCGTTTCTTGGCTCATGCCAATCCACTCAATCCGCATCCCCAGAAATTGATCACCCTGCATACTCAACAAAAACCAACACCAAGCACTGACGCAACATGTGGTGGCGGTGCGAAGATCCCGCTCGTCTAGCCGGTGTGCAGATCACAAAATCTCGATGTACAAGAAATAACCTTTGCGAAGCAATCTGTCACCGGAAATTTGGACTGACACGCCAAGAATGGAGAGACCAAGGAGAAACTGGCCACTCCATGGACCAAAACGCCGACCGTAAGGGGAGCTTGGAACTACTTTCCCAGTGATCCAATGGCTTTAGTCTCAACAGCACGCCAACCATGCAAAGGCCAGCACTTTGTTCCACTCGGTGTCCTCAAGCATCTAGCACACACGCTTCAGCAGGCCAGGGATGGGAGTGCACACTCACCAGTCTTGCCACTTGTCTTGTCCCCCCGGGGGGTCAGCTTCAGTTTGGCCTGGGGAAGAATCCTCCCATGAGGCTCACGCTCCCGCTCAGACTGCGTTTTTGACCCATGCCCCCCACCCCTTAGGGATTCTGGGGATACCGACAATGTTTTGGTGGCATGCTCTTAGGCTGCGGTCACGCTGCTTATACTCCTTTTCAAGAAACGCTTGGGGGGGAAAAGAGAACCTTTCACTGAGCCCACTCACTGGGTTTGAGGCTAGTCTCTCACCAGCGTCCCTGCTAACCTTAACCGAGTGGGCTGTTCATTTTGATAGGCGCAATATCAGACACTGCTAGTGGCTAAATTCTCTCAGTTTCCCACTGTATTTTGCAATTCACGGTGTATGTATTTTTCCCAACAAATGTGATTGGAATATTTATTTTACTATGAGTTTTGACGACACCACTGACTCAGCCGTGTAAATCGACAAAGCGCCCAGCTGTCAAAAATAATTTACAGCAGAAGATAGCCAAAAGCCGTGCATATTTCACGCGCACAAATAATGTGTTTATCTATGTGCACGACGGGACTCGGACATGAAATTTAGCGAGTGCTAAAAGTCAAACAATGTATTGCACGTACCACACGGTGCAGCATTATCTAAAAAGGATTTATATTTGGAAAACATTTCAAATAATGCAGCACTAGAGAGTCAACGACAGTCACATGCTGACAATCGGACGGAATCCAAGAGGACCTCGTTTTGGGGCACGTTTTGGGGAGAGCTTCCTTTTTTCACACCAGCACCGAGGCAAAAAAACGGATGCAATCTGATCACCGCAGCCCGAACAGCTATTTTTGCCGATGACTGAGAAAGGCTCTACGCAGATTATCTCAGAGAGTGGGGAGAACAGTTGCCTCTGTTTGCAAAATCGTGTCGAGGGCCGTTGGACATTCTTCCCTTCCTTCGTTTCCCGTGAATGTCGAGCAGAAACGCTTGAACGGCAGGCACTTACCAGCGCTATTTGTCACAATGGAAGATAACAAAAAAAAGGTATGAAGCATGCATAAAACAAAAAAAGTGGGAACTTCCAAGAGAGGTCGGAAAAATTTGAAAGCAAAAGCGCAAAACATAGGTGGAGAATCGCGCAGGTTTCAACAGTCCAAAAGAGTGGCAGAAAATTTGTAGCTGACAGGGGAGTGGCACCAGGTGCATCATTATCAGCAACATGGCGGCGACCAGCGTATTTTGGAAAGGTGCATACGTCATTCAAAAGACAGTCTCCAGCCACTGGCTCAGGTGCGTTTCTCCCTTGTACGACGGTCCTGGTCACATAAACAGCCTGCCAACATGTGCCGAGCAATTCACTTAGAACGATACCCCATACAACCATCAGTTTCTAGTCCAGATACAACGATAATAGGTCATAATGATGCAAATTTTGGGTTTTTCTTGTTATTGTTAGAAGTGGATTGCACTGTATATAGGTAGGGAACAGTCATGCTTCCAAGAAGCTCGAGGCATGTCCGCAGACACTTGTGCCTGCAGCGAGTGCCCTTTGTATGATGAATGAACAGTGGGACTGCAGCTTTACGCTTCCTTCTCACGCCACCACTAGGATTGTCAAATGTCAACAATGAGCTCCATGGCATTTGTAACAAGCACGGCAGAAGCTTGAAGCCGTCGTGTTGATAAAACCCTGTCAGACGCTCCTCTTATTTCCGCAATAAAAGTAGAATAGCATGACCAAAGGACTCTGATCCTACTGAAAATTTGTAGTGCCCGCTGGGCCACTTGTTGCTTGCCACAACCATGCTTTTGCCCCATAATGCCAGGCTTGCTCCTCTCCGAAAGCAAAATTGGGTAACCCTCCCTCCCTCCCCTCTCCCCCCCTCCCTTCCCCCTTCCCCCCCCAAAATAAAATAGTGCTTGTACCCCCTTGAAAAAAGTTCTGTGGACGCCCAAGCTTTTGCCAAAAAAAGTGCACTATTTCTGTGAGCAAATTTCCTTGCCAAGTATGCGAGCCACTGTAAATGCTGCGGCATAAAAAGGCCGAGCGTCCCAACGAGTGTACACGACTAGGGGTTTGTTACCTTGGTGCCAATCCGGTACTTGCGGTCGTGAGGCAGTGTCTCCTTCTTGGTTTGCTGCACAAGACAACAAAGCCACGGCCTCTTTTAAAATTCCACGGGTTATACGCTCACACAAGCTTGCAGACATGGCTGCGGTCCATTTCCTACATATTTGAGAGATTAAGTCGAGCGTTTTTAGAGCAGAAAAAAAAAAAAACACTTTTGGAGCACAACCATAGTGTTTCTTCATTCTACTACAATCACTTCTAGCAAAAAAAAGATTGTGATTAAAAAAAAAATCAGATTAATTTGATTTAAATCACTAGCTTGAAAAAAGTTTATCTGTAGCACTATAGAAGTGTTATTAAACATGGCAGGTCAATCGATCAATCCAAACAATCACAGAAGGCAATGTGAAGAAAGAATTACTGTAAATTTAAAGTACAGTCTAATTAACCATTTTTTACTGCTGCAAACCCTGCCGTACCAGAACAAATGTAGCTTAATTTCTTATTTGCGAAAAAGCTTAATTTGCCTATTTTTTTCGTGATCTCATTTGCTAGCACTATGAGGTTATTTTCCTCATGACGACAATTGTCCCTGGAGAAGGGATTATTACCATCATTCTTGTACAGCTTGCTTGCACCTTTGCATTAATTGCATGTTTCTTCATTTCACTTTCCGATTTTCTTGCCACAGGACATAACCGACAAACTCGCAACTTGCCCAGAATAGCACCGCTTTTTACTCATTTCCACCCTGCTATAAATATTTCTTGCTCAATGTTTATTTGATTTAAATATCAAACAAATGGACATTGAGAGCACCAGATAATAGGCAAACAGTAAATAAACAAATATTTTTGCAAATATTTGTGTGAGAAAGGTTTGATTTTAAATCATGATTTAAATCCATGTTTATTCTCCACCCCGCTTTTTAGCATTCATTGCAAAGCACATTAAAAGTGCATAGCCAACTCAGTTACACGCATCAATGGCATCTCGCATGCAGAGCAGGGACTCTCAAAGCTTTCTCTGTCTCTCGACTGGAAGCCCGTCCCAGCGTCCTAATTAATGCAATAATGCAGTGCACAAATCTAGAGACCTAGCGCACAGCAACGAACCAGGATTATCTACTGGGGCTCAGATCTTCTCAAATAGCGCTCAAACTGGAAAAACATTTTACTTGCAAGCAGGGACGGTTGACTGAGCTCGGGGAAGCCTCAAGGGTACCATGGGCAACCTCTGGCTTTCTGGGAACATTGATGATAATGCAAACTCAGCATGTCTCCCCATTAACCCATTGGCCCTTTGGGACGAGCCGTCCACACGGAGCCGTCCCCAAACCTTTCAGGGTGGCCCTTTCCCCGGTTCACGCACTCGACCGTTTTGGATGACTCAGGCTCGCGCGTAACTTCACTCATTTTTTTTAAACAGTTTGCTCCTATTTTATTTGCCACCAGAAATTTTATTTTGAAGGCAACAAAATTGATTTTAAAGACAACAATTAAACAGTTGAGGGTCCGAAATACCCAAAAATCAAAAAAAGGGGGTTATATACCTTACAGAATCCAGATGAATGCATTAATGTTATTCGCAGCATCCCGTGACAAATTTAATTTTGTTTTAATTTCATTGGCTGCGTTCGCAAACAATTCCATTTAAAGACTACCTAAATATAAAAATTTAATATAGAGCACAGTCACACATCGGCGAAACTGCCGTGATCATAATGTGCTCTTATTGTTCAGGTTGGTTATTGAAAATCTTGTTTCCGTTCTAAAAATCTTTGTCTTGTTGTCCTGCCGTGCCTACAAACGGTTTTCCAGTGCATTTGTGATAGTGGAAGTGTCTTCAAATTGCTCCTGAGGCTATCTGAGGGCGTCGAGGTTAATCCCAGGCCTACTACCGAAGAAATGTTTGGCCAAATTAAAGAAATGATTAGATCCCAGAGGGCAGTTATCAACACCGTTGTAGACAGGCAACAAGATATCCTCAAAACAGTGCAAGAGTTTTAAAGAAAAAAAAAAGTTTGCTGATGAGTCTTTCCAACAATTCCACACTCGGCTTTGTGCAATCGAAAGAAAGCTGTCTGACGTTGGTGACACTGGCAAATCAATCAAAGCACTACAGAGCAAAGTCAGCAATCTCCAATCTCAAATTAACTTTCCAGCAGTGAAATATGATGACATTGATAATCGCTCTCATAAAAACAATCTCATAATCAGGGGCATAAAAGAAGATGAGCACGAAACGGAACAGATCCTGTTAGATAAGATAAAAGTAGGAATTTTCGAGGCCATATTGGGTGTAAGAGATACCCAAATAAAGAAATAAAAAAACACTGGGAAACCAACAACCTAACAGGGATCGTCCGGTAATATTAAAGTTCACAGACACAAGGGAAAAGTAGCAGGGATGAAAAATTGCACTTAGAAGAATGAATAGTTGGGCGAGTTGGTGGGAATTCACCGTAGGAAACAGCGCAAAAAACAGACGAGGATGAAGAAGAAAAACATGGGACAAGTCCCGTGTGTTTCTTCTTTGTCGTCGTCTGTTTTTTGCACTGTTTCCTCAATGAAAAATTGCCATTAACTAAAAGGGAATAGGGTAAGTGTTTCTAACAACTTCTTGAAAAGACTACTTGATATTCGTACGAAGCTCTGGAATAGCACAGCGGATGAAAGGAGCAAGGAGTCAAAGTTAAACTAATCTACGACAAAATTAAGGTAAACAGAACAATTTATGGTTTGGATGTCTACACTGACAGTAGATACATTTGCCAATGCTGTTAATTCTGTATTTCGAATTTATGTTGTACCACTCCTGCTAAAGCCTTGAAAAAGGTGAGCAGTATGAATAAACAAATGTCCTTGCATAACTTTTGAATTAAAAAGAAACCGTGACAAAAGATGCATGCAACTTGTCAGAATGTCATACTGTCTTATAGACTAACCATAGTTTTTTTCTGCAAGGTAATTATAACATAAACACTCACTTAGTTTCTTTGTTTTCTTTTTAATTTTTGACACATAGTGCATTATTTCACCTTAGAGAGTTTTATCCTTGGCATGCATGAGGCTGCTCTGCAGGGAAGCGACATAAGCAATGTCTACTCCGCAGGCATAGCTTCTCTGCAGTGCAACACTGCACAGTAAGAAGCACGCTCAAAGGAGCTACTTAAAATGCCCCAACGGACCACAAACAAAAATAAATACTATCACGAAACCTTCGAGTACCAAGTCAACTTCGATATGAAAATTGAATCAAATTACACATTATTCTAAGCGATACCTGAAAGTTGAGAGAATTGACGCAAGTTGACCAGAAGAATCCCACAATGCAGAGACACCTGAATTATTAGTTTCTGTAATCATAAAGTGAAATTAACTTTTGGTGCAATATATGGCAGCAGATTCCTCACAGTTTGATGAAATGTAGCAGGATGTAGCAGGGTAAGCACTCTGACACAGATATCACATCACTGCCCAGCAAGTGAAGGAAGCATGGCAGGTTTCTCTGACCTTCCAGAAATTGTAGGTTGTTCAAAAGCTAAACGTGCAGTTCAAAAGCTAAACGTCAACCGCAGTGGTTTATTTGACTACTCGTCCATATTTTCTAGCATTTTTTTTGCGAATCCCAATTGTCAAATCATGTAAGTGTGCAGCCACGAGTCTCAACAGCAGAGCTATGACGTGGCATGAAATCTGTTTGCAAAGGCCTAACAATCTGTACTAGCAACAACACGAGAATCATATGGAACTTGAAAATCTGTGTTTGTGTATCTCCTAAACCTGGGAGAAAGCACCAAGGATTTACTAACCTTGCCCAACAGTGATGGCACATTTTGACAATCAAGCAGCCACACACGTGCGACAAGGGCTTACAAGGTTTGGTAAAGTGATTCTTTTGCCACATTGCACCCCTCCCATTGTTGGATGTCTGCATTTTCACAAATTGCATCATTTTTTTTTTTCTCCAGCTCAAAAGTTTGTGGCAGCTAGCAATATCTGGAGACGGCAAATGCGCAAAGCCCCCTCCACAGGGCGGCAAGGCACTGCTGCGAACTAAAGGTGGAGAAGAGTGCACCTTGGCCACCTTGGCTTCTAAGCCGTGCGGTGCAAAAATTCTAAGCTATGCTACGCCAATGCGGACTGCAACAAACTAGCGATTCCTCGTCAAAAACAAACTCTAAAAATTCACAATTTCATTTTCCGGCACGCGGAGCCATGGCAACAACTGCGGGGCCATCATGCGCAGAATCTAAAGAGTGGACGGTACATGCCAAACGACCACAACATGTTGGAGAAAGTAAAAAAAATGTGCGAATGATCACGCGATGTGATGTGAATGGGCTGGTGCGACGTTTCAGCAATATTGCATCGTGCTTGAGCAGAAATTCTGGCGATGGTCGCACGGAGTCTCGCCTAAACCACAATCGTGATCCCACAGAACAGCTAGCACCAAACACGTCCTTGCGGATGCTCCGCACAAATTGCTCGGTCGTGTCGGCGTGCCCATTCTTCACTTGGCAACATTCTCTTCTACGTACTCCGTTGGTTTTCGGAAAAACACTCGCTCAGTGCAAGGCCAATACAACCGACGCTCTAAAATGACCCGAGGTTGTCCCCGGAGAACACGAGGCGGTCGAGAGATTCCCTTTTCAGGGGCATAAAGCAGTGGTCTCTAACTCATGATTAAAAATTAAAACAGCGCAAGGACACGGACAAGAACAAGAAGGTGGACGGACAAGGCGCTGACTTACAACTAAAGTTTATTCGTGCTAACATGAAGTATAAATACTGTCCGTCCGTCTACCTTCTTGTTCTTGTCCCTATCCTTGCGCCGTTTTAATTTTTAATCATGAAATACCAGCTAGCCCAAACTTCTATGTTAGTTTCTAACTCGCAAAGGACAAGAAATATAAGCAAACAGCAGTGGTGTTTCACGTTGCAAAGCAGCAGGCTGCCCTAGTGACACCCCAGAGGTTTTCTAGACAAGGAACCTTGTGCTGTCTGCTTTTTGTAAGCCAACCGTTTGGCCATCTTTAGCTTATGTACTACTTTGGGCCCACGCCTCATGTTATAAGATTTAGAACGCTGCCACACCACAGTACTGACAGTTTTCAATAAAACGCGAGCAAGCACACCATCCTTGCCCTGCCACAAAATTCACTAGCCTCAACACGCACATAAAAATTTCTCTTCATATGGCTGCTTTTGCTTTCCAGACAATTTTTATAGCAGAATTATAAGAAAATGTTTTTCATTTTAAAGGTATTGTCTGGCAGCTACGAGCCCGAGCTCACAGCTTTATTTTTGGCAGTTTCTGCCGCTGAGCGAGCATTTGTGCAATCGGGGTGACTCCTTGTGCAAAGAGCTCACGCTTGTATCCTAATGGTGATACTGCCATTCCGGTTGATTTAGATGAGAAAAGAATGAGAAGCCAATATTTAGACAAAGCGATACTCCGTCCAAAAAATAAGCAGAATAGTGCCAAATGCATGAACACGTTAACGAGCAAAGTTCTCTTTTGAGCAGAAATAAACTGACGATATAAAACTGTCACTCATGGCGCATGTGGCACTCGAGGCATGGAAACGGGGGCTCGCAGCCACGGGATGCTTGCGGGCCGCTTCCCAGAGCGTCGCGGGCCGCGTATTCGAGACCCCCGTAGCAAAGAGTCGAGTAGCTAGGAGAACCTTGGCAAACCCTCGCCATAGCTGCAGTAGGCCAAGCGAGCAGGCCTCCCTCACTGACCAGTGCGCAGACGTGGACGGTCACCAGGAAGTCGGGGGCCAGGTCCAGCAGGGTCATGTGGTTGGTGAAGCGGAGCGTGGACTGGCCGCCCGCCGTCGACAGCATCTGGCTGGCCAGAACGTGGGGCCCCTGCTTGACCAGGCACACGAAGTGGTGCACGTCTCCGCCTGCACAGCCACAACCATGGGGCAGCCGCTCCCTACAACGTCCAGGTCTTAAAGGGGCCCTTAACCACTTCCTGCAATAGTCTATCTAGGGTCATAACTCAAGCTATGGGCTCTAAGCATTCTAAGAAACCAAACATTACGTTCGTGTGTGGCCGATTTCTCTATTAAAAAAATCTGTGTCAAGGATCAAATTGGACGAGGAGGAGCCCTTCTTCTTGTCCGACGGCGCTCTCTGGTGTCAGCGATAGTTCCGAAGTAATCAATCTTTGATACCAATTTTAATAGAGAAATTGGCCACGTCATTAATAAAGATAAGAAATAAAAATGGTCTCAAGATAGAGTCCTGGGGGAAACACGTAAGCCGGCTCAGAACAGAACAGGTTTTAACAGTAGTTTAGGGTGAAAAACCCAATCAAAAGCTTTAGAGTAATTGATGAATATCAACTTGCCTTGACGGTTTAGAACTTTAGCAAGATAACGCGTAGTCGTTCAAAGGCCGCCCCGGAAACCATGTTGGCCATGGCAGACATTCTCGGTTACAAGAAAAATAGATACTATATGCTTGAATCATAGGTCATTATTTTGAGGCGACTTCACTCACACTCACAATCACCCCAGTTTCCCCAGTCAAAACTCACACTCACAATCCCGATTTATTCGAAACAGGGTCATCATAGACACTCACCATCACAATTTATTAAAAACAAGGTCATCACACACACTCACCATTACGATTAAACACGAAACCAAAACTCACTCACCCACGTCATCATCACGGTAATAAGCTACTTGAGAACTCGCCGGTTTGAGTCGCGCTCACTCTTTTCTCCAGGTTCACGTGCCATTTTTTATGGTTTAGACACAACCACCAAAGATAATCAAAGTCATGGGTCATCAAAGGCACACACTCAATACTAAAAATAGAAAAAAAAGTATGATACCCAGTTTTTGTGGCTTCTAAAAAAAATACAAATATGCTGATTGAAGTCAAGCGAATTTCAGCGTTCACAGATCCATCAGACTCACCGGTCATCACGGTCCACCCCCCCCCCCCCCCCATCACACTCACAGCTCATCATGATCATCACACTCATGCTCATGAGTGCTTGGAACTCACACTCATTAGTTCTAATAACTCACCCTCACACTCATGAACTCACACTCACACTCACGAGTTCCCAATACTCACTCACACACACTCACGAGTTTTTAGAACTTGCGCTCACCCTTACACTTATAAGTATTCAGAACTCACACTCATGAGTTCTCAAAACTTACGCTCACGCTCATTCTCACAATTTTCTAAGACTCCCGGCCTCAATAACGCCCACCTCATATCTGGCTATGAGTGTGAGTGAGTGTGAATGATCGCACTAATGAGTGAGTTTTGCCAAGGTATGGCTTGAGAACAATGTGTTCAAGAGCCTCAGAGCATGACGATAGCAACAATACAGGCCTATATTTGATTAGGGATAAAGCATCCGCCGATTTGTAAACACGGATCTCCTTTGCAACTTTCCAATGACCAGGAACAGCTGCATCTTTCATTTCATTGAAGGCATTACATAAGGGGGTACAGTCGAACCTGGATATATCGAATTCAAAGGGGATCGTAAAAGAGTTTGATATATCAATAATTTGATATACAAAAATATGTTAAATTAAGCTAAAATGGAAATTTCCTGGCGTCTTTGCTAATGCATAAGGTCGCAACTAACGGGAGCTTCCCAAATAGAGCATCCAAGAGCCACTAAATACAGTAAAGCTAAGTTGGCGGAGACCGCAAACACCGCCGCACTTACGCGTGCACCTGGCCGGGACCTCCACACAGCATAAACAACAAAACACGAAAATAATTTTTTAAAAAATGAAAGAAAAACGGAAAAGCGAGACGCATAAAAAAACTCTTGATCCATAGAAAAAATTTAAGAAGCAACAAAAAAAGAAAGCTCCCTAAATTCAGGCAGCAAAAAAAGTTGCCCTCTCGTGCTTTTTTGCCTTCCGTATAACTTCTATCACTACTTCTCTTCCCTAAATTTTTATTAAAACCCAGTTGAGAGTACAGTGCTGTCCTCTCTACTTCATGTCCTCGTCTGTTCCTTACATTATCAGTATGCTGAGCTAACTAGCCCACCTCAGTATTTAAGTACAATGCATAGTGTATGTGCAACTTGTTCTTAAAAGCGAGAGCCTTCAATGCCATAATCGCTAGTGGGCGCAAACAGCACAAGCTGGGAATATCACGTACAGCTGGAAACCGGTGGAATCTGGGGAAACCAAGTAGAACCGAAGCACCAGCACATGCCGGGGGAAAAAGGCGAGAAAAGAGGTCCTCCGGGGCCAAATGTGCAGGGGGGAACTCACCCAGGGCCCCCTGCAGCTGGGCGGCCAGGAAGTCCTTCCTGAGTGGCAGCTCCAGGCAGCTCAAGGTGAGGCTGGCCCGGCCCGCGGGGCTCTGCCCTTGCCCCGCACAGCCCCCTTGCGTCTTGAGCCGCTCCGCCTCCGCCAGGCAGGCCTGCTGACGCTCCGCTGCAGGAACCCAACCAGCCAGGCTCACACAAGGCCCCTCTCATCCTCTTTTTGGGGGCTTGATTCCTTGCCACATTGCAAATTTAAGTTTATTCATTTTTAAAAAAAAATTTATTCAAATGCACAAACATTGTTTGGAACCCGGCACTAGCCACAGTGGATAGTGCCGGGTTCAGCCATAAAATAAGTTTTACGATGCGACACAAATGTAAAAAAATTGTGCCAGAAAAAAATGCTAGATAGCTACTGCATATTACGCATTACAGGACTTTAAAAATAATGCTGCTGCCAAATTTGATTAATTGCTTGGCTACAATTCGTCCTCACCGGTGCCGATGTACCTGCCGTCGTCGCTGCTACGCTCACAAAGCGTGTCGTCATCAGATTAAATCCCGCATTTCTCGAACAACTGCACTTAACGCGTTCGCTCAGTGATTGCGGTGCGCGTTGTGGGCAGGGACCAATCGTGCGTTTCTGCTACGTACGAGCCAAAGATACTGAGCCGTCGCAGACGACCGGCCTCCAGCGGAGCCACCGCGGGTTTCTCCCGCACGGAGAATATTGTTGAAGACCCTATTGTTTGAAGACCGGTGGCTTTGCTGCATTTTTTTCCTCGGGCAAGTTCGCTCTTTGCAAGTTTTATAAAAAAAAATGCACCACCTGTGGGCAATGCTGCACAAAATTGTAACGCGATGGGTTAAGAAACCGACTTTTGCGGTCGACTTAAAGAGCCTGGCCGCTATTTGAGACACCCTGTAGGTCAAACGACGCGAGCGGAGCCCCAGAGGGTCACTCACCGGCGAGGAGCAGCAGGCGCTCTCCCTCCACCTGCTCGGCCGACCCGGAGAACTCGGGCATGGCTCGGCACAGCGCCAGGGCCCGGCTGGCCTGCCTCATCACCCCCTCCTGCACTGCAGCCTCCTCGCCCAGTGCCTGCACACCACCGTCCCGCCGCCATCTGACAAACTTGCACCAAAATTCTTCGGACCGAGCCTCAAACCAAAACCCCAGTCCAAAAAAAAAGAAGAAAACATTTTTTTCCCAACTTGAGCCCAAAACAACTCACTGGTAAGCAATATTTCCTTTACTTCGTTTCACCTTAAAGGACATATGCAAAGGAAAAAAGTAATTTTTTTTTTAAACAGCCAGGATAAAAAAAGAATGTCATAAAACAAATTTAAAACTAAACAAAAACATTTTTAGAGCTATATTTACAGCGCAAAACGAATTTGTGGTTGGCACCCCTGGGAGCCCACGGGAAAGTGGCTGATAAAGTCGCGTGACTGGCTGCTCTAGTCAAGCGGTGCTTGCGCTCTTTCGGGAGCTTCCTATGGGCTCTAGAAGTATGAATTCAAATTTATTGATTTCTCCTCACACAAGAAGAGAGGGAGGAGGAGCAAAAAACAGTACAAGAACTGCTCGACAGAGCCGCCCCTCAGGTTCAGGTTCAGGTTGGTTTTATTGTGCGTAGATCAAAGGTAAATACATTAGAAATATTACAGAAGGAGGTCCCAGAGTCAGAGACTGGAAAGGGACCTCCTGTTAATGGTAGCAATAATAATAAAACAAATTTACAGCAGTCAGAATGGAAAATAAATTATGACATGAATAAGTGAAACACAGAACTAATTGCAGTGATATAAAATGAACAAAATAACAGTAAGTTAAACACTCATAATAATTATAAACTTATAAATAAAATAACACTGAATAAACAGAGCAAGGTTATTACAGTTGGAATTGCAAATCAATTTTGAGAATAAGTGAAATGCAGTACTAATTACAATAATATGAGAGACAAAACGGCAATTATCAAAAAGAGAGATACACAATGACGTCATGACAGCAATGTATGACTAAAAGGACTGAAGAAATATGCGAAGTTTCTGCTTAAACACGTGAATTGATGGTGATTGCTTGATGGCTAAAGGTAATGAATTCCACACAGCCGTGGCTGAGAAGTTGGTGGTAAATTTACCATAGTTAGTCCTAGGCTTAGGCAATAACAAGTTATGATGAAATGCGAATCGAGTTATCTTATGCTGTGGAAACTGATTATCGTTAAGAAGTGTTAGAGCGAGTTTGCCGTTCACGAAATTATACACAAGTAACCCGAGGGTATGTTTATTTAAATTGCTAACAGATAAAATATAAAAAGCACGGAAAAACCAAGAAATATCAGATGAAAAGTGACTAAAGGTGATGATACGAAATGCTTGATTTTGGACGTGCTGCAATGGAGACAAATGTGTGCGATAAGTATTTCCCCACGAAGATATGCAGTAGTTGAGATGACTATGTATAAATGCGTAGTAGAGGGAAATCAGCGTATCGATGTGGAAAAAGGCGCGTACTTTGATTAATGCTCTTATGCCGAATGCTGCTTTTCTAGTTAAAGAGTTAATATGCCTGTGGAATTTTAAATGAGTGTCTAATTCAACCCCAAGAAATACAACGTGGCTTGCAGCCGTCAATACATTAGAGTTTAAGTGAACCGATGGAACCTCCCCCAGCACCAACAGCTGCAGAACTTATTTACAGCAATATCAAAAACAACAGCAATAAAAGAACAACCTTTCGTGCACATAATTAATCTATTAAAGTTACTTAGCAATCTTCGTTTTAAGTGCACCTAAAAAAACAAAGATTAATAAGAAACTTTTAGGGCCCATAGGAAGCTCCCGAAAGAGCGCAAGAACTACATGATAGACCTGTGCGCCGGTCAGAAATTGATGGCGGAGGCGCGTTGGAGTGTTCCCTTCTGGCGGCGGCGTGGAGAAATGCATTCAGCCGGCGGCGCACCACGCTCAGCGTGCGGCGGCGGCGTGGGGAATGTGGGGCTTCAGCGGAGGCTCTGAATGGCTCCGGCATAACTCGCAGCAGCGGCGGCGCACAGGTCTACCATGCGACGAGTGGCGGCTCCCGTGGGTGCAAACTAAAAACTAAAAAACAAAATTATCTATATATCCAACTATTTTACGATCTCCTGTAAATTCGATATATCCGGGTTCGACTGCATGTGTTTTTTGGTGTATTTATTAAGCACCGGCGTAATTCGGTGTCTCGTGCAGATGTCGCAATGGGAAAAAGCGGAAAAAAGACAAAAAAAGCCCTGCGGACGAGTTTTCGGATTGACAGACTTGCACCCGTGGCACAAACTTCAGTGCAACACCAAGCTTCCCACGCGCTCAAAGTGATTATAAAATTTATTGATTTAGACTTTCTCGATGATGCCTTGCAAGTTTATAATTGGAATCATATGCATTAATTAAAAAGTTAATAACAAATTTTAGTTAATTAACTGACTTAGCGTGACTAGCAGCTCCCTCCATTATTCCCCCCAGGCTGTATAACTAGGGTTATGTTTTTACGGGGCGTATTTTTCTTTGGATTCGGGAACGTTTTTTCGGGGTTTATTATTTTTTTTCCGGAATCTGTGCTTTTGGTGTTCATTTTCAGCGCCGAGCAAGAAATCGGGGTTTATTGCGGCTAATCACGGATGGGCAAAATACAGGCAAATATGTATCGAAATACAATTACAAAATACTTCGTCAAAAATGTATTTAATTACAAATCTAATTACATTTCCAAAAAAGCATTTAAATACAAGATACAAATACAACCAAATGTATTTGGTCTCCTCCAAATACTTTTCCAAATACATTCCTCAAAATTTGCGTCAGCGACTTCAGGGCACCTGCAACGGGTTTCTGGGTATCTCATTTTAATTTTGCATTGCACACTCGAGAGTTAGTGTGCGAGGCTCTAGTAACATAATAGAAATATATTCACAAAAAAAATGTAATCAGCTTGAACGTAATAGGTGAACAAAGTACAGAGCTTCAAGCAGCTTTTTTTTTCGATTACTTATTGGTATAGACGAGCAAAGAACCGAGACGACCAAGACGTGCAGCACTAGCTAGACAATTTTTTATAGTTGCAACTCGCACCAGTTACGAAAATCTGGACGACCCGCGCATTTAGAATGTTCCAGGCGAAAATATGGATGGAAATCAGGCTGGAAAGCATCACAAGTTGTCACAGGCACAGTCTGCCTGCGAACGTCAATTTCGTCACTATTCTTGCCCTGGACTAGCACCGTAATCACAAAGTCACTAAATGCTTGTGCTTGATTGGGAGACACTGCATTCGGTGCAGAACATAGTTTTCTTCCTGCTCTGGACAGTGACAATAAATTTGAGGGATGTATTTTCGCCCACAAAATTGTATTTAATTACAACTGTATTTGAAATACCAACGTTTTAGTATTTAAATACACACGTCAAATACCTTACCCAATTTGTAATTAAATACAAATGCAAAATACACAAAGCATTTGAAATACTGCCCATCCCTGCTGCACATCAATAATCTTGTGACCCTTTCCAGGGTCCATGTGACCTGCGACCCAAATACTTGACAAACGTCATGTCGGTACCGACGACAGGAGGAGACCCAGTGCAAGGGACGTGGTTCCCAAAGAAAAAACAACCTCAAGGACGGATAGTATTTATTCAAATATAAGTCAACGTTTCTTTTTCTTTTTCGAAAATGTTGTCAAAAAATTAAGGATCTACCTATAATCGCAACCAGAAAATTTCGACCTACATTAATAACCAAACTTCCGGACCCTACTGAGTGCATGGAGCTATCGAGTCACCGAGCCGATGTGGCCGTAGCGCCGCACTGCTTCTTGTTTCCGAAAGCTCTTGGTGCACGAAAACAACCGAAACAGCAGCAGTGTCGACCTTCTTTCTTCCCTTGTTGTCACCATTTTGCAAGGGCGTTAGTGAACTTTTGTTGTAAATCTGTGAGGATGTCGACGAAGCTGACGAAGCTTCTGACGATGATGACATGTCTGGAAGTTCTGACAATGATTGGCTTTGCACTATGATTTAGCTGAGAGCGCAGTAACGTAAGGTTTGCGTCATTCTTTTGCCCAAACTTCTGTTATTTAAAAAAAAAAAAAAAAAGGTCAATCTAATTTTTTTTTATTTTTTTTTTTTATCGATTTATATTTGTGGTTGACTTATATTCGACCAAATACTAGTATGGCTTGTGTTCAGGGTCATAAAAACAATGCCGCAGATTTCCTTCCCCGAAACTGGGGATTTCCCTGTTCAAGGGCAGCTCCGATTCGAGGGTTTTCGGTTTTTCCCGATTCCGAGGAAACCACTTCAGGGGTTATTTATTGGGGTTTATTGGTATGCCCCGAAAACATCGAACCCTACGTAAAATTCCCCCGCACAAACCGGATTAGTGCTGCTTTCGCAACTTTTCGTTAAAACGAACTGTCTAAAGAAACACCTTGTATATCCTATCTGAGGCTTCAGTTTGGGGAATGGAGCGCAAAAGCTAAGCGTTGGGCAATGGTAGTCACACGGTGCAAATGACCGGCCAAGATGTCCGAGCCAAAGAAGGTCCATTTGTCCACGAGCCAGATGGAGCAGCCGCCCAAGAAGCAACTCCGGCTGCGAGCTCGGAGGGCCGCCGAAAAGCGGCCCACAAGCCTCGCCTGCAGCGTGGCTTGGAACTCCTCCCGGGGAGCGGCCTCACCAGTATCCGAGCCAGGGTCTGGTCTCTGGGCGGAGACTCCTCCACGGGCTCCGCTGGCCGGGCGGGGGCCGAGACCAGCTTCCGTCGGTAGACGCTCTGCGTGTGCACCAGGGAGAGCTCCGTGCTGCCACCAGAGGGCGTCGCCAGAGACCTCGTCCCATGTTCGAGCCCCACGCTGCCGAGAAGAAAAGCCCTCACTCTGAGACTAAAAGTCAACTGCTTCTAACGTCCTGATTCCCCCGCAATGTCGTAACACATGTTAGCAGCGGAGAAAGCAATCAATCAATTACCCTGAAATGTTGCAAGACTTTAAGACACATTAAGCTAACGGTAAGCCATACTACGAAAGCTGAACGTTTGAAAGGGTAATCCAAACGCCGCACTTTCGTGGGGTCACTTATCTATATTAGTCGAGAAATCCAGTATTGTCACTACGGATGGTCACGGTGGGCTCCATGAGCAACATTTCCTGTCCTTCAAAGGAAATGCAGGTTCAAATATTCATGTCGACAAATTTGATGTGGGAGAACACGCTGTCTTGCATACGCTTTCCGTAGCCACGCCCAGAGTCGTATATTAAGAGAGTTTGGTCTCTCTCATCATCTCAAACCATGGGGATCGTTTGCAATTCCTACAGAGACTGGTTGCGTGTGCTGCGTCATCGCGTGGCAAGGAGGGAGATGTTGAGCGGCGAGATGTTGAGTGGCGCCACCTCACGGGCACTTTCCCGTGACGCAGTGAGTGGGATTCAAGCAGACGACGTGCTAGAGAATCGCACAAAGTGGTTATATTAGTTTGCGCCTACTCATGCTAACAATGACCCCATTCCGGAGAGCGACTGCCTAAGGTCTTTAACAAATACTTTTCATCAGTGTTTACTAACGAGTACTTGGACTCGGTCCCCTCTCTCTTCCAAAGAGTTTTACGAGCACATGCTTCCTATCGATATTAACTCCGTCGGTATTAAAAAATTTATTGATAAACTAAAACTTCCTTGGTCCACTGGAACCGACAACACAAACTCTAAAATTTAACAAAACACCAGTGTTATTTTTAGTGAGTATTTGAAACTCATCTTTAACCCATCCCTATGAGAAAGCTGCCTCTTACCTGACTGGAAGGTCGGCAGGGTTATTCCAGTTTTTAAACAGGGTAACCGCTCTTCTGCTTCTAATTATCACCCTCTAACTTCCATTTCATGCAAACTACTTGAGCATATCCTCGACTCCAGTATCATGAGGCACCTATCGTAATTCCCTTTTCTTTAAACAGCAGCACGGTTTTTAAAGGGGGCCTTTCTGTGAAACACAGCTCCGCAACTTCATCCATGACCTACACACCAACCTTGAATGTCATGTCCAGACAGATGCAGCATTTCTGGATTTTTCTTAAGCGTTCGAACGTATCCCTCATCAACGGCTCCTTCCTAAGCTATCGTCTCTTCGTCTTGACCAATTAATGTTTGCATGAGAGTTTCTGTTTTCACGCGTGCAGCTGATGTCCATTAATGATCATAAATCTTCTCTAATAAACCTTTCCGGCGTTCCCCAGGGGTCTGTCCTTGGGTCTCTACTCTTTTTAATCTTCATAAATAACCTTCCCAGTGGAATTTCCTCAAAAATACCTTTTCACCAACAAATGTGTAATCTATAACAAAGTAACCTGTGCGCAAAATAACAACCAGCTTCAGGAAGCAGATAAAATTAACAAATGGTGCAAAGAATGGATAATGTCATTAAACAAATCTAAATGCAAACTAATCCATTTGACCGGGAAAGAGGCTCGAGGTCCACCTAAGCACTTCTTATGAGTTGTGAATGCGAAAGCACGCACGCCGCTCTTCGCTCCCTTCTTTCGTCTGCGGCGTACGGCGCGCTGACCTTGGGCGTGGAACGGTGGAGCCACTGCCTCGCGGACACGCAGCGCCATCGGTTGAGCGATCGTTGAAACTGACGCGCAGCGGCCAATGAGAGCCTTGTCGACGCACGCTAGTCAATGGGACCGAAGCCAAAAATTCATCAGCTTTACTTCGCTCCTTTGGGATCGGGGAAACTAGGTGCCGTGTCTAAGCTTTTCGTGTCGTTTCATAGCTGGGAGCTGGCTACACTTGGAAAAAAGATTTAAGGTGCCGTTTTGGCGCTTCAAACTGATGACGTCGGCTCGCTCCATGAGACAATTAATGCTTTCGCATTAAAAATCCACCCTGTCCTCTCAATACTTTTTGGAGTCCGATCTGATTGAGACAGTGGCCGTGCATAAATATCATGGTGTAAGATTAACATCAGACCTTTCCTGGAATAAACCCATTGAAGCCATTACTGCCGACTCATCTAGAACTCTTGGACTAATGAGACGTAACTTAAGATGTGCTTCCCCTTTTGTCCATAACCTGGCATATGAAACATACGTCAGACCAAAATTCGAATATGCTGCAACCATCTGGAACCCCCATCAACTGTACGTCATCAATAACCTGGGAGCAGTTTAGAGCAGAGATGCTCGTTTCATCCACTTGTGAGCTTTCTTTGAGTGTTGCTAAAAGTCAACTAACCATGTCCTCTCTGCAACTTGGCAGGCAAGTCTTTCAGCTCTTTCATAAGATACCAGACACTCTACGTCCAAAGCACTTTGTTATCACCCCTCACCGAATATCTTCTCGCCTCAACGCCTGCACCATCAAACGCATTTCTGGTTCTACTAATGCTTTTAATCCATCATTTATTCCCCAAATTATCAGCGACTGGAACAGTCTCCCATTCTCTATTGTCACCATCGTGGACTCCGATAACTTTTTTCTTCTCAAAAAACTACATCTTTCTCATGTCATTCTACTGTTTTACCTCAAGTCCAGACGCAGCTCACGCTACGAACTGATGGGACCAATCAGACAGCATCAATCACGGTGTTCCTTGTGTACATTGCTCAATCAATCAGAAACAAAAGTGATTGGCAATTTCGATGCTGCTTCAGTGATCCCATTAGCTCCTAGCGCTGGCTGTGTCAGGACTTGAGCTCAGTGTAGCTTCTTTTTTCAATTTTATATAATTTCTCGAGTATGCCCCAAGTGTATCTTGTTTGTACTTGGCATCCATTATATAATCCCTGATCCCCCTCATGTAATGCCCTTAACGGTATGTTAAGATGAAATGAATGAATGAATGAATGAATGCCAATTGATAAGTGTTTACTTATGAAACGAAAGAGTAAGAGATTTTTAAGAGCCTTTTTCTGGACTGTAGCGTCTCCAAGCCGCGTGTGATAGATGCAATCCTTAAAATCCTCAAAAACAAGCCTGGAGCGTGACATGACAGCTTGCACAGTGTGCTTTGACTCTTGTTCTGCAGGATCTATGGAGGCTGCCGTAAAATCATTTCTTTTGCCGCAGTGTAGGACACGCTGTCATCTTAGCTGTGCACACGCGCCCTATTGCATTACGCCACACACTTGTTTTTGGCTAACAGAGCTTGCCGAAATTGGACCTCGTTCGCTTCAAACCGAATGCCAATCAGCAAATGAGGATTTCAGGAATGCGAGGACACCCAAGGTGCTCAGCACCCAGCAGTCGAGGAGGGGCCGTGGGAGGCCAGAAACACTCACGGGCCCTCGTGCAAGTCCGCAGGCGGCAGCACTGGATATAGCCGGGGCACCCTGCTTGCACCTGGCAACGTCTCCAACCAAAGCTCTGGCGAGACCTCTGGTGAATCCTCCGACGACTCCTCCAGAGAGACCTCTGGCAAATCCTCTGGTGGTGTCTCCTCCACCATGACCTGCGGCGAGACCTCTGGCAACTCCTTCGACGGGACCGGTGGCGCCTCCTCCACCAAGATCTGCGGCGAGACCTCCGGCAACTCCTTCAACGAGACCGGTGGCGTCTCCTCTACCACGACCTGAGGTGAGACCTCCGGCAACTCCTTCGACGGGACTGGTGGCATCTCCTCCACCAAGACTTGTGGCGACTCCCCCGACAAGAACTTTGGTGTCTCCTCTATCACAACCTGTGGTGAGACCTCTGGCAACTCCTTCGACGACACCGGTGGCGTCTCCTCCACCAAGACTTGTGGCGACTTTTCCGACGAGACCTCTGGGAGGCACTTTTCGAGGCTGTCCCCACAAGCCCAGGAGTCCCGCCCGTCGCTCGTCCCCCGGGCGCTGGCCTGTCAAGAGAAGGAGGGACGCCAATTGGCCCCTCTCCAGTGCAAGTCCCCCTACTGGCCCAGCCAGAACGCAAACCACTTCAATGGACCCTCACTGCACTCGTAAAATTCAGTCATGAAAGCGGCAGTTGACCTCTCGTAACAGGCAAAGTACTGGGTCTGGAGCAGTGACCGACACATTGGGAGCAGATGCCAATGTTAGTGCGTCGTTTGAAAGTGAAAAAAGTAGTGGCATCGCTAAGCGAGTCCATCTTTGGTAATGACTAAGGGTTCCTCTTTGATACTTAAGCATACTATGGTGCAATCCACTTAGAAAGATAATGAAAAAACCCAAAAATTCAATCGTTATAACCGATTATCGTTGTATCTGGACAAATCATTTCTAGTCTAGAAAGTCACAAAACTGATTGTTATAAGAAGTACATCGTTACTCGAGCTATCGTTAAAAATACTTTTTGCAAAGAGAACAGGAGGGACGCAAGAGGAACACGCAGCCATCTTTTCAGAATTAAGACTCGGGTCAAAGCACACTTGCAATGGGTAGTAAAGAAATTATCATAAAATTGAATTGTAACGCAACACTTTACTTCATATAAAGCCTCTCTCCCCCTCCTTTACACTCGGTCGTTTATTAGACCAGTGTCTGCTCTGTTCCATGGGCGCCGCCATGTTTGCTTATGCCAACGCCACGACACAGTAGGGGGGGCTGCTCTTTTTGCGAGACTCCATTTTTTTAGAAACCTTCGCACATATCGTAGCGCAAGAACATCACATAGTCATGAAGCTCCAAGAACAACACCGATGCCAAGAGTGCCGTAAAAAGCAAACATTGTTTTATGCGCAGCCCCTCTCTTCCCAAGAGCCTGGCACACTTGATATTATTCTTTCCCATTTTTATCGCTTGGGGCAAGGCCATCATATCCAATGAAGCCAAGCAAGCGGTGCCAAAAGTGTATAATGCATTTGTTCCTTTTCTATCACCGACTAAACTAATCGGCACAGCAAACGATCCTGCACTTTATTCTGAGCGCGATTGTTCGGTGCTAGCAAACGCACAAAGGCGACGAGCGCCAGGACAATTTTGCCGCTGCTTCATTGACTCCCAAGGACCCTAGTCCAAAATTATTGCCAATTCCGCGACCTCACCGCAAAAAATTACTGTCCAAATATTCACTCCATGATAACAATTCATTAGAATGCCACTCCCAATGGCACAATTCTGTGCCCACCAAATATTCCCAAAAGTTGCATTTTGTAAAATATTTGCTAAATATTTAGCCCGCAGAAATAAAGTTGTTGACAGTACTATACAGTTCCTACTTTGGGGACGATTCAAACTCATGACAGGTGAAACAGAATTGGCCAGTTCCTTCAAGTTCAAGTCTACCGCAAAAGTACACCACCGTAAAAATTTCGTAAGAATGCCCTCTTCCGAGAGGTTGCCCATCTCATTTTTCTGGCTCAATATCCGTAGGGTTGAAAATCTCTAAACATGTCCCCCGCTCCCCCATTCGCACCACGCAACCTTGGACAAAAATCACCATAGCCGCACAATCTGCACTAGCGGTGCATATGACGTGAGTGGGTTCCTGCGCGCTTGCTGCACTGGGAAACGCAAATCTGGTGCATCTGCGACATCAGTTCCTCTCCTCCTCACCATGGGTCGGTGTTTATTCGGTATTTTATGATAATCACGAGTCACTCAATTTTACAAATGTGAATTCCGAAAGCAAAAAAACAGGTATGACCATAAAGCGGTCTTCTACAACTACAACATGCCCACAAATCCAGAGAAGTCTTTGAGGTGACTGCAAAAGTTGGCTCGATAATGCATCGCGCTAAGATTTACCACAGAGGTGCCCAAAGGTGGTGAAAGCATTGCATCAAAATTTCAAAGAACAAGCTTACCCGAGTAAAAAGTAAAAAGAACAGTAACTGATTCTCTATACCTACGGCGCCCGTCTGCTACCGATGCACCCTCTGACTGGCACCACGACCGACAGATGTGGCAGCAGCCTGGCGTCAGCTTACTGCCCAGCTGCGCCAAAAGCAGATGACATATAATTGAAATTACTCGACAGACCATCGACCTTATTTGTTTCGTGTCCTAATGCCTTTTATTGAGCGCGTGCTGGTTTTTATTAAAAACTATCTGCTTTTGGTGCGACCGGGCGGTAAATTTGAACCTGGGCAGCTGCTGCCATCTGTCGGTCAATGCTCCCGTCAGAGGGTGCGTGGATAGCAGAGGGGCACCGTAGCTAAAAAAAAATCAGTTTTTTTTTTTTTTTTACTTTTTACTTGGGCAAGTTTGTTCTTTGGATTTTTTATGCTATGCTTCCACCACCTTCGGGCACCACTCTGGCAAGTCTTAGTGCAATGTGCTCCCAAGCAGATTTATGCGGCCACTTTAAAGGCTACCCCTGGATATATGGGCATGCTGCAGAGATGCCACAAAAAGTTCCCCAAGTTCAAACTGGAAAGGCTAGGAAAATTGCAAACTTCATCGTAGCTGTAACTAGAAAAGTGAGCAGTGCTCACTTGCAAAGTTTGGGAGATTTTGGCAAGGATGTGGGTCGAACAAGCAGGTGCCCACCTGCGAGGCAGCGGCCAGTCTGGCGCGTCCCTCGAAGAGAGCCCTCCTCTGGGCCACAGAGAGCAGCTCGGGCTGGACAGGCGTCGAGGGTCTTGGGCGCCCCGGAGGAGACATTGGTGGGTCCTCGCCAGCCCCTCCGAGGGACGACAATTGGGGAACAGACTTTCTTTCCAGGGTTCCAGAGGGACACTTTAAACCAGCTGAAAAAACATCCATCCTTCTGTGGGAAACATTTTGGACGAGGGTCTTTAAAAGGATATCGCAGCTCCCCAGGCCCCATGTATTTCCAATGGCAACTTTTTGGTCCGACTGCTCAGCAACCACCGGACGGATCGACTTCAGGATGGTTTCATTAAAAGGAGAATAAAGAAACAACTAGCAGGCGGTCGCACATTTCCCGGTTTTGGGGCTAGAGATTTTCTACGAGAGCTTGAATTCCTACAAACTGCCATTCGTGAGCACTTCTGAAAAGAACAGAGGCACAAATACATTTTCTGACATGACGTTGCGAAAGGTATATTCTTTCTTAAAGGGGCACTGACACCCCAAAGGTCGTATTTATTTTTATTGTCTAAAACGATGCAAGTTGCAGTCATAGACACGCAAAAAAAAACGCATCGCAAAAACAAAAATTTCCCACGCGCGCGCGCCTTTTTATTTTTGGCGTTTGATTTTCCCGCCTTCGCCTCCTCGCTTCTTTTGATCGGTGACGTCAAAAATCAGGAAATTTAGAAGCTTTGTAGGCGACATCTCTATAAAATTTAATTACGGCAATCCTAAAACATGTTTTTTAACGCAATTGCGAACGCACTACGGCCCTTCTTTTTGAAATACCAAAAATCGGGAGTTCGTTGTGGTGCCGTCTCCTGGATTTGTATCCTCCAACGGAAAACAGGCGACACCGCTCAAAACCGGTCCGCCGCAACGCCGCCGCTCACTCCTTTCCTCCTCGCTTTGGGTCGCCGTGGCAACAGCAGGGAGTGGTGAAAGAAAGTGTGCTCTCAGGTCTCCGCAATTTTTGACGTCAAGGCACCAGCGCCGATCGCGCGGGAACTTCGAATTCGGCATTTGGAAATTGTTTTTTTACTTCACAAATACTGAAGTCCCAAATTTCAAATTTTGAGGGTAATGTCCCGGCATCGTTTTCAATCGTTTCGGATAATAAAAAAAAAAAAGATTTTGATGTGTCAGTGCCCTTTTAACGTATCTCCAACAAGATCTTTGTTCCGTGTATTTCAATAGGGAAATAACAGGATCAAGTTTGCACTCCAGTGAAAGCCTGAAAATTGCCTTCCCCGATGGATTGTATTATCCGTCCCTGGCTCCATCTGTGGGCAACCTTTCATAGTTATTTCACAACTGAGGTCATCTTGTATTAGTGCACAGCAACGGACTACTTGCATAACCCAGTTTTTTTTCACTTGTGTTCACGGCTTCGGAGTGTGCATTTCGGTGATTATATATATTGCGGAGCCAAAAAATTGGCGGAGCCAAAAATTGGCGGAGCCAAAAATTGGCTCCGCCAATTTTTGGCTTTCGGCGGGTTCCTGAAAACTTGGATTCTTTAATTCATTGGATTAAGTACGGTTCATTCATCTGCACATATTCGTTTATATATATATATATATATATATCTTTTTTTTTTGTGTGTGTGTGTGTGATTTTGTTTAAGGATATGAACAGAGCTGCGAGTAAATCACGCAGTCGTCGTTTTCACAGGCGCCGTGTGGGGAGTGTAAAATTCGCGACACTTTTCGTTTTGTTTAGCCGCTTCTTTTGTTTTCGGTTTAATGCTGCGTATTGTCTGCTCGAGTCAGTGGCATAGCCAGGAATTCTTTTGAGAGGGCCTGGGCGGATGGGGTGCCCATAACTTGGGGTGCCGGGAGGGGAGGGGGGACTGACGCCCCATAAGCCCCTTCCCTGGCTACACCACTGGCTTGAATCTGTGCTTTTTTTCTTTTGCATTGTTTGCGCTGCCGTCGCCTTGATTGCTCAGGGCTCATGCTATTTGATCCGAGTAGTCCCGGCATGGAGCCGCAGTGGCGGTGAGCAACGTTTGTAACAGGGCGCCGGAACAGAATGAAAGCAAAACCGAAAAAGAACAATATTTTTAGGCGGAATGAAAACGTAATCGAAACATTCTTGAATATTTTGCTTTGAATTGAAACTAAAAATATGTTCTTAGCAGTTTTCGGTTCAAGAGGAAAGTTCAGGTATTTCGGCGTCTTCTGGTCCCCAGAGGAACCAAAATATGCCCTCGAAGTGTTCCTCAAAAGAAAAGAAGCTCAAGGCTCGTTCACACAGTCGTGCTTGCAGCGAGCCAATGGGGAGGCGCTGTGCAGCAAGTCGCAACGCAGCCGACGCAACTGTTATGAACAAGCCTCGAGGCTGGCGCGCAATTTCATTTGACAAGCGAGCTAGGCCCACTGGACATAGCTCAAAATGCTCCAAAAATGGCCAGCGTTCCAAGAACCACGAATGTATTGAAATTTTGCGAAGAGCAAAAAGAATGACAATTGCAACTGTACACTTTAGCGCAAGTAGTTCTGGGTATATCATCCACACAGGCCAGCGTGAAGCGGGCATCCTCGGAGCTCAAGTTTATTTTATCGGAACAGAGCTAGGTCTCACATTTCACCGACTACATTCGAGGATGTCTTGTTTTTAAGATCATGATCAGTACCTTGGGGCGTTCTTCCTCGCGGTGCCTTTGACCCCGATTCTTTCATTTTCTATCGTCGCAATAAGAGCACACTTGCTATAACTTTTTAATGACTTACTCTTTGATAAAAATAAGCGTTTTGTTTTCTTCTTTAATTTTGGTTGCAAATATTTTTGCAGATGTACATGTTTTTTCGTTCCAGGGCAGAATCTGAATGTATCTTTTTTTTCTTTGGAACGAAACTGAAACCAGAATCCTCGAGACTGGCCTGCTAGAGGTCAGCAGCCCATGGCGGCCTCATGAAGACTGCAGTTAGGCCTAGCGCTCTTCACCCTTTTCAACCGCAACATCAAACCCTCACCCTTGTCCACAAGCTCCATTTAAACCGGGGAGTCTACACATTTTTTGGCCAGATTAACAATCTGTCCCTGTTTTGAAAAAAAAATAAATTATAATTTTATACGAAAAAAAAACTAGATAAATAAACCTAGACAAGCATTTAAATGCAAAAATAAATGTTAAAGTGTTAAAAAGCCCTATTAATACATATGGTCGAATTTCAAATTTAATGTATAGTGAATTATGACACTACAAAACACGTGTGGAGGAAAAGAAAACTCACCGGTCATTAATTATTAGCACATAGGAACTTTGGCACATTTGTGCATTGCAAGACAATGAGACTGATAAAACTAATGCTGACAATATGCAATAGTTGCAATAGAGGACCTAAGTAAGCGCGATGTACACGAGAATGCAGTGAAATTTTAACATAGTTACAGGGACATGAAGGACTAAGAATGGTAATGCTGATGATGGCAATGTTGCTTTAAGCGCACTTCATTTTGCACCACTGGAAGTGGGCCCTGCCAAAATTCTTATCGTGGCGAGGGGCAATGAAGCAAAGATGACTGTTCTTCCCAGTCAGCAATGTTCGCTTATATCCCACTATAGGTAACTAGCCGCATTTACACCGAGGCCATCATTGATCCAAACACTACGATTACTAGAAGTGGGCTGTCTTTCGGTGTTTAACAAAAAATGGCAAATCAAGCCGAAAATAGGTGGCGGGTTATCTTTTGGGGGTGGGGCCCCTTTTGAGATATTACGGTAACTGTTTTGAAGGATAAACTTGTAAACTTAAAATTTTGCATGTCATCCTCCTTCCGAGCTATATCATCCCTGCAAATTTTATACAAATAAGACTCCTGGTTAAAAAGTTTGCCTTCTAGGTAATGTCCTCCCTTAAAGAACCCTGATAAGAAAATTTTTTTTTTAAGCAATCTAGTTGGGACACGCATGCAAAAAATTAATCTTATGCGAAAAAAAAAATATAATTTTAGAGCAATATTGAAGGCGCGAGATTTATTTTAAATTCTGCGCACGAAGTCCATGACGTCACGGAATGGTCATACATTCTTTCAACCTCAATGTGCTGGCCAAGCCAATCCACCTCTCCTCCGAGCACCCGAAATGCCGAGAGAGAGAAAAGAAGTGGAAAGAAGGCGACTACCAACCAAATCACGTCTCACGCCGTCAATGTTGCTCTAAAATTTTATTTTTTTTCGCGTAAAATTAAGTTTTTGACATGCGTGTCACAATCAAACTGTTTAAAAAAAAAAAGACTTTATTTTCTTTTCTTTTAAGGGGCCCTTTAATTAAGGGGTAAACACTAGCCTTGGTGCTTTTCTTTCTATTGTTAGAGCGAACCCATTGAAAATGCAGAGGCACGCGGTTTAGAGAAGCTCGTTTTAGCGAATGCCGTTTTACCGACCTGCCCTAGATGTTGATATCCCCAATGCAAATATGGAAAGAGCCCGAAATTCGCACTTGGAGAAAATGCCATTTCAGCATAAACTTGAGTGCAAATTCAACCTGCATAAAGATTATAAACTGATATTATGGCACCAATATTGATCCATAAAATTAGACACTTGGCAAGATAACTGTAAATTCCAAAATCGTCAAAAAAAAAAAAACATTCTACGAGACAGAGGAGTATGCCTTTTAAATTTGTTGCAGTATATCAAAATGTTGCACAATGAATGCTCTTTTTAAGTATATTTAATAAATTCTACATTGTGACCGAGACAACGAAAATGAGAAAGATATGTCTGGGCCAAAAATGACAGCTCAAAAATTTCCGAATCTACCAAATAGGAATCTGCGATGGGAGGTCCCAAGGGGGCAACAAAACCCATCGCCGGAGCCCATTCTGTCTGGCGGTGGGTAGCAGCAGCGCAGAAGGCGCGAGAGGCGTTTCCCAACAAAGGAAAACTGCCTAAACCATAGGTCCACCTCGTTGAGCCACTGCATCGTAAATTTCTTCATTTCAAATACCCTCAGGGCCACGAGAACATTGCAGAGGGGAGGGAGTATCAAAGTGAAAGACATTTACAATTTTCTGAAATTCTGAATTACAGCACAGCTCTTGAGGAGGAGGGGGGGGAGGGTACACCCTCCTCCTCCCTACCCTCCTCTCCCCCTCTCCCCCTCTCACATTCCCCTCCCACTGAACAGAAAATGTAGCGAAAATTTCCCACTAAATCTAGCGAAAATTTTCCTGCTAAATTTAGCAGGTTAAGTTTCCCTGCTAAATCTAGCAAAAAAATTTTCTCCCTAAATTTAGCAGGAAAATTTTCAGCGCTAACTTTTGCGGGCAAACGTCCCATAATGCAACGCATGGTTCCACAGCCGCCGATGGCGACGGCGACGACGCTCAACCTGCAAACGGGCGCCTAAGAGCTGCCCTCTAAAAAAAAACAAATTCTAAGAATGCAAATAATTTAAGAAAATACTAAAATAGTTAATGCCGTTCTAAACGCGATGCCATCGGACAAGGTTACCAGAGACGCCAGAAACTGGTTCCGTAAAAGCATGGGGCATGAATCAACTGTCAGATGTCGTAGTTTTACGATGCCTATCCTGTATTGGTGGTCGAGACGCGATAATATGTAGGAGGGAGGCATTAGTAGCTTTTCACTCACTTTCGTAAAACAAACACAGACGAGAAGGTTCCTATGTCACGCAAGGTTAGGTAGGTTCAAACTAGACTTCATGGGGGCAGGATAGAGGTGGCTCCTTATGCGGCCATGCCAGACTTGATCAACGGGGGTTTATGGGGTGTTTTCACGGACATAATTTCGTCCACCATTTTGTTGTTGTGAGCCGTCTGCCGAGTGCCGAAGGCGAGCATTCTAAGGATTTATACCGGACCCCTCAAATGCGTAGTGCACAGAAACTGATGCCTTACCACGCTGACATCTCCTCAACAGGTTACGATGTAATCCTTCAAATCAATAAATTTGTCTGAAAACAAAAAAACTAACAACAAAATGGCGGATTGTTGTCATGTGGAAGCATTCTATAGGCCATTGCAAGTAAGCTCCCGACTGGTGCCCCATGCGTGCGAGCACATGCAGCTTACATGTGAACATAGCTCTGACAAGCTGGCAGTTGCACGGGCTTGTCTGCACGAGCAGAGACATGGCGGCGGCCAGTCGCCTTGCTTGCAATCGTCTATAGAACGCTTATTCCTTTCATATACCTAGGGCCCTTCCTTTTCAGGTAAAACCCAACATTTCCCTCTTTTTACACACCCCACATGTTTTTTGATAATCGAGCTAAACTCGATTTTTCCCCGAATTCAAAACAGAAATTCAAACATTCTTACGTTTTTTTGTGTCGTAGAAATGTGCAGCTCATTAACGAAACCTGTTGAAAGCGCACATGACAGAAACAATGCAGAAAATATTTTAGTACTTTGTGAAAAAATAAAAAATTGTTTTCACGAAGGCAATTTTGATAAAATTGCCTCATTACCTCAGTTAAGATTTATCTGAAGACTGGACGGGTCTACTACCGTGACAGAAACGGTGTGCATGCAGATCATTATGCACGTCAATAAGAATTTGTGGAAAATTTACATGACCAAGTGAGTTCCTCTATGACGTTTTAATCCGATTATCTGGACATGAATGACTTGTCTGTGTGTATAAAACAATCAACACACTAAAACTGCTCAAAACTTTGTTTGGTTCATTACTGTAAAATACCGCAGAAGCACCCACTTGGTTCAAGGGTCCACTATTAACATTTCTCAAACTTGGGGATTGTACAAATTATACGTTAAGCGCCCGATTTGACTGGACAAGCGCCCACATCTAGATTAACCCAGTTTTCAGTGAAAGTGGGGTGTGCACTCCCCTGGTATTTTACGGTTTAGTTATTGATTTTTATATATAACCCTAAAAAATCAGAATAAAGGTTTCTAGAAAAACCTGAGGGTTTTTGGCTTACCCACGAGTTGGCTGCACGACTTTTCATTTGCGTGGCTCTCTTGGAGCGTCCCGGACTGGGCCGAGTTGGGAGAGTCCCGTGCCCCGCAAGGGGGGCAGCCCGAGCCCAGAGGGCCCGGCTCAGAGGAGGGCTTGGGACGGCCAAAGGCGTAGGTCAGCATGGAAGCTGACGGGGACCGGGTGAAGCCCTGGGCCTCCTGCACACAGACGCCACACTGCCCCTCAAGGCGAGCCCAATGTGGGCCGTGCTGCATCCGACTCTAAAGGTTGCACAAAAAGCCTTTTTTTCTCAGGAAATTTAAGCATAGGGGACTAAAGGGTCACCTCCAAGTACTGAGACCAGAAATCTGAGATGTGCACACCCGACAAGTTCCAGGGAGTAGGGTAGGGGTCACGTGTCTGGCCGCTATGGTCACGTGGTGCTTGCGCTCTTTCGGGAGCTTCGTATGGTCACTAAAAGTTACATATTAATCTTCGTTTGAAGTGTAACGAAAGAATGAAGATTAATAGGTAACTTTTAGAGCCCAAAGGAAGCTCCCAAGAGAGCGCAAGCACCACGTGATACACCTGCGCGCCGGTCAGAAATTGACGGCGGCGGCGCGCCAGTGTGTTCCCTCTGGCAACAGCGGTGGCATGGAGAAACGCGTTCAATCGGTGGCGTGCCACACTTAGCATGTGGCGGCGGCGTGGGAGTCCTGGGGTCTTCAGCGGCGGCACTGAACGGCTCTGGCGACGCAGCGCGGCGGCACACAGGTCTACCACATGACCAGTGGCGGCTTCTACGAGTGCCAACTACAAATTTGTTTCGAGCCGTAAGTCTGGCTCTAAAACTTTTTTTGCGTTTGTTGTAAATTCGTCTTATGGTAACCTTTTCCCGTCCAGGCTGCTTAAAAAAAAAAAAAATTTTTTTCTTTTGCATTTGGTTTTTAATCTAGTAGCATTCTTTAGTTACTTCACCCAGTTTTCGAGACATGGGATCTAACCTAAAATGCACCGTGCATAAGTGCGGCACACGTATGCACCGCACATACGCAGGCGCTGTGCGTATGTGGACGTCATCCTCGACATCATACTAGACGTTCTTGAGGTTGTCCTAGAGGTAATCCTTAATCACATTAGAGGTCAACCTAGAGGTCGTTCTAGACATCGTCCTAGCAAGCAGATAAACCTGCGCCGCGCATACACAGAGCGGAGTACGCACACAATCACATTTGCGTTTAAGCTACGAAGCAATTATTGGTTTGAGTTGGGCTAGTTGGTACGTGGTTAATGATGGTGGTGAAACAGCTTGAACACTAAACGATTACAGAAAGATAGAAGATTAAACGATTAGAAAGAAACAAAGCAATCACTTAATTTTGAAATGAAGCGTAGCAGTCGCACTAACGTCAATGATTGCGTCATGAACCATTCATAAAATAAAGTGTTTACTCAAAATTCGTGGCGTAGTATTCACAGCGAGCTGCGTCGTGAGTCTCATGATGAATGCTATTGCCATTCATAGACAACCAACAATAGTTGTTTCTGCAGCTAATATTTATTTTTTTTCTAAACAAGTTTTAATTTTTTACGGTGCGAGCTGTAAAGCAAGTTCAATTGAGAATCACTGCACCAGTGGCACTGTAGTAATGTGGAGAGTTGAACCAGTTGGTACATAGACAACATATTAAAATGGGTCACAAGCAGAGAGAAAGAGAAGACGCCAGTCAGCGCTCTGTCCTACGTCTCCTCTTTCTTTCCCTCTGCTTGTGCGTCGTTTTAATATGTTGCCGGTGGCACTGCGCACAACACAATGGAAGTGCACACGTGCCCCTGCGGTCTCTATAAGTGTCGCCTCTCAGATTCTCGATCCTAACTGCTAGTCGGCGTCGTCGTGCGAAAAGAGCTTTGTCTGACGAGTCTGGAGAAGCCTGCACAGTACGGCACGGAGTCCCTTTGCGAGCAAAAGTTTGAAAACTCTAAGAATCGTCTGGAATGCCTCCTTGCCGACTGTTTTACCCTGCCAGCGAGGCAGGAGCAATTTTCTGCCAATAGACCCTTTCAGAAATTCAGTGCCACCTGGTGGCTAAAGTAGCAGTTTAACTTTTGCCATACTAATGGCGAAGATAAACCTGTAGTCTGCGGTATTTCACACGAGTCAGGGGTGGACGAGAATCTGCTCTTCACAGTATGGTTCATTCTCTCTTTCATTTTTTATGGCGACAAAAATATATCTGGTCAGGACAAAGCGGCAACTCACACGAATGCCTCGATAAAAATCTGCACATCAAGGGGCTTTAGAGGCGATTGTGGGCCGCCGACAAATTGACCAGATCCGAGTTAAAAGTGAACGCTTACGCAGCTTTTGTATTCAATGGACCTTTCTGGATGGTAGCACGTGCCCTCAAGTGGTGCACGTGAGGTATTATGGGAACAGCAAGGGTCGCTGCAGCGTTGTCTGCTGCTACCGCCGTGTTGCCTCCAAGGATGTTGCCTACGTTCAAATTGGCTCCCTGTGTACGGAAGACGGCAATCTTTGCAGTGCCCTGTGCTGCACTGCATTGTCCATATGAGGTGAGAAACCCTCAATCACAACACGTCTACCTACAGCCCTTTTTTGGATGGGCCATCCTTCTGGATGGGCCACCATTCTTTTTTAATGGGCCATCGCACGTGGACCATGCACCAAAAGAGCGAGGTATCACTCACTCATGCATGCATCCAACGTTTTTGTTGTTTTTTTTTGTTATGGGAATCAGTTGAGTTTGTTGGTACATGTTATTTTCCTTTGCCAATAAAGAAAACAAAAAACAATGCAGCTCGTACCAACGATCGAAGACCGTTAGTTCGCCTGGGTGCATGAGTGGATTAAGAATCGTGCTGCAGTTTGAGCGGTAGCATGCGCCACTTGTCATGCAAAAGCTCGACTAGGCTAGACTTGGCTTGGCTAAAGAGCGAGACACCCTCGAAGTTCCCATAATGCCCCAGAGCACTCACTCGTGTCACTGGCGTCTCCAGAAAGGTCCATTTATAGCTTGCAAGCGTCACCGTTGCTGGGTACTGGTGGTTATTTCAACTTACAAGTTTCTTCGAACTAATACTTCTGTGGTGTGAAACTCACACAGCAAACCGAACGCTCCCGGCGCATAAAATAATGACATAGCTACGAATGACGTCCGTGCAAGTTATGTACATAGGCCTCGCATCGTCTGCTCACGAGCATCTTCAACTTCTTTCCCCATCTGTAACCAGGAGGCCGCCATCGCTGTGGCACATACGCCATGACGATGGTAGTGATCAAAGTGGCCGAACTTCGGAGAGTCAATTCCCAAGGGCAGTCGGAAGCCTTGGCAAGAGCTTCTGGGGAATGTGCGGTTCAAGGGGCAGCAGAGCGAGGAACTCACCAGGCTGGCCAGCACCCGGGGGTCCCAGCTCCCTTCCCGGCACGGCTCCTCCGAGGTCTCGGCCTTTCCGTGGGCGCCCTTCTGCCGCAGCGCGGCCAAGCCCCTGGGACGCGGACACTGGGCAGCCTCCCCTGGTGGACCAACGGGGGCACCGTCAGCAGTGCCCGCCACGTGCACCACGCACCCTTCCCAGAGCCGTTTATTCACCAATGTTTGTTTGCAAACAAGCTCGCTACCGCCCCCTATCGGCGGACCCCTGCGAGCTTCCGGTTTTCCTCTTCTTTTCCATTTGTCTCGCATCCTTTTGTTATTTGCACTAGTTTCTACAATGCGCGCAGGTTCCCGCAGACGTATTACAGGTACTTCTCCGAAGGCAAATCTTCTTACCCGATCGCTGTGCATTGTTGAACAAATAAATAAACTACCGGAAGTCTACTGGGGCACCAAATGATGTGGCACCCTCGTGGTATCAACTCCCGCTGAACGGGGTGAATACTGGGAGGGCTTGCCATTTTTTTTAACAACCACGAACTGAGATACCAAATGTTTCACCCAGAATGGGTTTTTCGGTGGTGCCTTGGGGGACAGTGGGGCTTGGGGCGCCGCCGGCGTGTACGGGTGGGCCAGGTGGGTTAACATTTTTTTATTGAGCCATCTGCAGGCTGTCACGACAAAGCGGCGTAAACAGAGGGGCCTGGGTGGGTTAACACGCGACTCACTGATACGCCCGCTGTCCCCCATTGCGCCTCCAAAAAGCCCGACCCGTTTCACACCGCTTTTAGTGTTAGTAATTCATGACCCACTTTGGATTTTAACCCCAAGTGTGCAGTGAGGTGTCACTGAACAAAAAGGGCCTCTCGTTAACGTAAGAGCCATTGGCTCTTTCCATGCAATCAACTGCTCAAACTTCCTTGTCTGCCACAATCTCCCAAAATAAAACAGTCTTTCATTCCCTTTTTGTGCCTAGAAAATTACTTTCCTACATTCCAACCACCACCAAAATTCAACACCGCTGAAAGTGTTTACTATGTGGGAACTGCAAACCCGTGCTCTAAATTGCCAGGCTTTTTTGGCTCAGCCTGTTTTTGTATGAAACACAAAAAAAGCCTATTTGTAAGTTTTGTTATTGGATATGAATAGAAAATGAGTAGTCTCTGAGTGCAGTGATCAATTACAGGCATAGCAGAATACAGATTAATGAGCAATGTTTTCACGACACTACTTGTAACCGCGAATTTAAGTGGGCTTGCTCAGAATGCAGTGGCGAAACGAAAACGAATCTAGCGTTATCGCGAGGTCGGCTCTTTCTAGCGAGATTGAGCTATCCGCCGAACAGTATAAACAGCTCCCTTCCTGGCTGCGGCCGATTGAGGGGGGGCTTGGTTCCAACGTCCAGAGATCGCGACCGAGAATGCTCGCACAAAACTACCCGCGGCGTTTAGTGCCTCCCAATTACTCTCAATTTTTAAGTCAGGATCAAGAAATCTTGTTGAAAACTACTGCCCCGTGTCTCTGACATGTGTTGCGTGCAAACTCTTGGAGCATATATTATATAGCTCAATATATAACTTCTTAAGTTCAAAATATTTTTTCTCTCCTTCCCAACATGGTTTCCGTCGTGGTTATTCGTGTGTAACTCAGCTAGCTGAATTTACACATTACCTTTCAAACGCCATTGACAACAAAAAACGAGTAGATTGTATATTCTTGGATTTCTGTAAGGCATTTGATAAGGTGCCACATCATTTGTTATTGAATAAGCTTACATTAATAGGAATTAATGAAAATATTATAAATTGGGTTGCTGTTTACTTATCTCAGCGAGAACAAAGTGTTGTATTAAATGGTCAAAAATCTTCACCTGTACTTGTAACCTCGGGGGTGCCTCAGGGAGGTGTACTGGGACCTTTGTTATTTCTTATATTTATTAACAACATTTGCGAGGGGATACAGTCAAACATCAAGCTATTTGCGGATGATTGTGTATTATACAGAGTTATAGAAAATGATGCAGACGTCTGTATGATGCAAAAAGATTTAGGTATGTTAGAACGCTGTTGCGATCATTGGGAAACGGGCTTGAATATAAAAAAGTGCAAATACATGTGTTTTACTCGATCTATTGTTAGCATGGCTACATATAAGATAAAAAAACTATGAACTTGAGCGGGTAGATAAACACAGGTATTTAGGAGTTAATTTTTCGAATAATCTAAAATGGAATGACCACATAGATAGTACCGTATTTACTTGCAGAATGAACGCACTTTTTTCCGAAAAATCGATGCAAAGTTCATTACGCAGAGTAAAATTTTTGCGTCCCTATTTACTCGCATAATGAACGCATAATGAACGGACCTTTTACCCTGAAAAATCGAAGTAACTTCTTATCTCTTTGTTTTTTTTTTAATTCCTTTGGTTTTTTTTTGCCGCTTTTTGCAAGTTGTTTCATTTGCTCAGGCGTTGCTTGGGCTCTCCGCTTATCTTTCTTATTTCCTTGCGCGCGGCGCGCGACCCCCGTAACCAAACTGCGCTGTGCAAAAGAAAAAAAGCTTTTTCTCTTGTTTAATTCTCAATTCCGTTTTTTTTTTTTTTTTTTTTTTTTTTTTTTTTGCCGCTTTTCGCGAGCTGTTTTGTTTGCTGGCTTCTCCGCTCCTTTCTTACCTCCTAGAGCGCGGCGCGCGACCCCCGTAACCAAACTGCGCTGAGCAAAAAAAGAAAAAAAAGCTCCTCTTTTTTTTCCGTTTTCTCTTAGTTCTGAGTTCTTTTTTTTTTTTTTTTTTTTTGCCGCCTTTTGCAAGCTGTTTCGTTCGTTTAGAGCGCTTCTCCGCTTCTCTTTCTTACCTCCTTGCGCGCGGCGACGCGCGAGCCCAAAGTCCAGACTGCGCTGTGCAAAAAAAAAAAAAAAAAAAAGAAAAAAAAGAAGCTACTCTATGTTTTTTTTTCTTGCTTCCGTTGGATCTTTGCCAATTTTTTTAACGCCTTTTGCAAGGCGTTTTGTTCGCCCACGCTGCCCATGCATTCGCGACCTCGCTGCACCAGGATAAAAAGTGCGTTCATTTCGCGCGCGAGGGGGGAGGCGGTCAAAATTTTGACGTCCGAGTTGGGGGTACGTTTATTACGCGAGTGAAAAAAAAAGTCGAAATTTTGAGAGCAGACTTGGGGGGTGCGTTCATTACGCGAGTGCGTTCATTGTGCGAGTAAATACGGTATTGTAGCAAAGGCAAGTAAGATGTTATTTTTTATTCGGAGGAATTTTAAGAATACATCTCGTAGCGTAAGACAAACATTATATTTTTCTTTTATCAGACCAATTTTGGAGTATGCCTGTGTTATCTGGGATCTGACTCAGTGTTACCTCGCAAATAAGTTAGAGCGAATTCAAAATCAGGCATTAAGGTTTGTCACAGGCGATTATAGTCCGTACTCGAGCTGTACAGAAATGAAGAACAGACTGGATTGGGAAATCTTCTTAGACTTCGGAGAAAGTGTTTGCGGTTAAAATTCTTTCACAGTATATATCACGGGGAAACGCGCATTGAAAAGGGTCTCATTCTCGAACCACAACATATATCTTCAAGGCGGAATCATTCTAAGACTGCGGCAGAGTATCGTTATCGTACTGACTGTTTTTGTTATTCATTTTTTGTTCAAACCGCCCGGGAGTGGAATGCCCTTCCGGAAGAAATGATAGCTATTATCAATAATGACGTCTTTTATGACAGACTGCGGAGAAGCGTGGTCGAGTGAAAATGTAGTACTGGATGATTGTCGATTGCGTTACTGAAAATGCTTTTTGAATGCGTTTTTCTTTTGTTCCCCCCTGCATAATGCCTAACGGCGAAGCAGGTATTTGTGTAAATAAAATAAATAGCATGCCATGAGACACCAAAATGGCTCACGACAGCCCGCAAATTCGCCACTTGCAGGTCCTCGCAAAAGTGTAGGGAACGGTGCTATGAGTAAAGTTAGCAGTCGCCGATGGACATGCGTTCGCGCCAATAATGTTCTCTTTGTTTCGAGTAACCCTAGAACGATCAAGGTGCAGATAAACACAAATCAATTTTTTTTTTCTTTTTGCATCATTTTTTTTTTTTTTGCTCTCCAGGCATTATTATAGTTGACATATTTCTAAACCTCTGCACCAAGAAAGGACTTCAGTATTGCTTCTCTCCCTCTGCGATTTAATTCATAAATCTTCAGTTATTTACCTTGGCAACTCAGGAATGTTCTATTTCCTAAATAGCCGTCACTGGAGTTCATTGGAAAGTATTATGTCCGGTGTATGCTGCCCACGTCCTTTTAATAATACAATAGTATAAAAAAAATTAGTGCACAGACAGTGGAGCCAATTTTTTTAACTATGTGAGGCAGTCAGTGCAAATGCAGATTGCAATTTTATGCTTTGTGGCTTTCGCTGCTTCAGGGGAGGAAGCAAGCTCCAGACTTTTGTAGCAGGTCTGGGAGCAGCTTTGGAGCAGTAGAAGTTGTGCTTTGGAGCAGCTCAGGAGCCACAAAAGTCGAGTCGAGTAAAAGTAAATCTTGTAGATGGTCATCAAGGTCAAACTTGGGGCTATAAGCACAGGAGGCGATTTTCTAAATACAAACATAACGAAAAAGCACCTTCCATAACCAATTCCAAACATACCTTTTCCTTAAATATAATCCAGACCATACCATAAAAAGCAAACAGCAGAATTACAATTTATTAGTGATGGGCTGAACTTCAGCCGAATCTTGAGATTCGGCAAAGCCAAAGTTTTGCCAAACTTTTCTAAAGGTTCGGCAAAGATAGATTGTTGCCAGACTTGAAAGATGTTTTTTCGGCAAAAAAGGTTCTTAGGTTTTTTTGTTTTTTTTTTAATACATATTGACAGTTATTACTAAATAATGTGATATTCTATGAGATAATTGTCATTTTTGTGTGTTTACTGGCAATTTTACAGTGACTTTTTTCAAAAGTGGTGAGGTTGTGAGACAACGAGCTTGGGTAGCAGCCGCAGTCACAACACGCGAGTTTCGGTTTTGTGGCCTCATCAGCGCAAGCATGCAAGTGTGTACATTGTTAAAATAAAGGCGGCAACACTGCATTTTTACTTTCTCTGCGAGTCACTGTTACATGCACAAAAATGAATGCAATGATTGCTAAGCCTTCACCAGAAGAAATAACAATATTTTTGTAAATATGCATATTTTCCAATTTGATTCGCTTTACACCAGCTCTGCAAGGAAGTGTGCGTCACTACTCGCAACGTCTCGTTTTTAATTATTAAAATGCCGGTTTCTGATGTTAGGACACATGCAAATGTTTAAAAAGATGGAAATATCTGTTATACTCGGACGTCGAGCATAGCAAACTCGTCGTTTAGCGCAGTGCACAGATACTGATTGGTCGCAGATCCGAGTTCCTGCTTGCCAGCCAATCAAAGACCCACATTCCGTGCTACGCTATGTTTGTTGCACTCAACGTCGGTGTATAACAGAGCCTTTAGGAATGGCGGATGTGCAACGTCGAGCATGATAGTTCTGTGTTTAGTTTAATGGGGATAGATGAAAACCGCGAAATAATGCTAATTAAAAAGCAATATTATTTTGTTTTGGCACAAGCTACTTGTGAGCCGAAAACAGGATTGCTATAACGGCGAGGAGTGCTTTAAAGCACTTGTATGTTGCAACTACCTCATTGCATCACTGGAAAGATCAAATGAAAATTATATCCAGGATGTACCACATCATTTCTTACTCGTGCAGTGAACTGCATCAATTCCTGGCCGATCTACTGTTCTTGAGGCAGAATATATTGTAGAAAACCACACTCGCAAAGGCTGACAAACACACAGTTACCATGTCGCCTACTCTGCACCTTGCCGCAACCGCTGGTAGTACTACACTGTACGATGGTAACCGCATGGCCCTGTGGCGTTCTCGCACGTGCACCGGTGTTTGCCGAATCTTTACCGAAGTTTCCTTCAGAAGTTTGGCATGTGCCAAACTTTGCCGAATCTAAAGTTCGGCAGATTCGGTCCATCACTACAATTTATCTTAATGGCAGCTATTCCTGGTAGCGGGTCGATTCCTCTTATGGATTTTCAATAGAACAAAGTCAACAAAAGAAGAACAACTTAAGCCTCATGAAAAAAAACAATCTGCATATTTCACAACTGAAATCACAATATCTATAAGTTGAAAACAAAACCATTGCAAGATGCAATAGTATGGTATGAAAAAAGCCCAATACTTACCGACTATATAGTTTTTATTATTAGGAGACACAAATGTTCCAAGTCCATGTTTAGCAGTTCCAGCCGTCAAGTGGTTTGAACCACTGACGGCTGCACCACCACACACAGCCAAAGTCGTGGAAACAAATTAAAGAAAAACGAGTAGCGTTCACCCCCTCAACTCGAAGCCAGAACAAGCGGCTACGTGATCTGGAGCCAGTTACATGCCGCCAATGTTGATCATAGCCACGCGCTGGGGTTGGCAAGGCATTGGACACGGCTTCGGCCCTGCTGCACGCAGCTTGTGAAATGCACTATCAATTCCCCTTTGACCGCTGAGGTGTCGAAGCCCACCAGGGTCTCTCGGGCAGCATGGCCATCTCGCTGGCATCCAAGCTTTCCCACGAACAACGTCCAAGCCAGTCAGTCGCGTCAACAGATAGGCTAAACTTAACAAGTTCATTCCATAGCGAAATATTTGACCAAAGACGACCGCCCCTCGAACAGTCAGGGTTTTTGTTGACACCTGAAGGAGAGGAGGATTCCGTGGGCGGTGCTTCCCTTGCAGCGACCGACGACAATCAGAGCTGGAAAACCCTGATATCCTCCCGATTACCAGCTTGAAACAGACCCCCAATTTTAACGCGTCATTGTTAAGGAGCTCGTAATACGCTCCAATAAAAATTTAAAAAAAAAGAATGTATTACTCAGTTCATTTGTTGGAAATTTAACCCCCCCCCCCCCCCCCCAAAAAAAAAAAACGAATTTCGGAATGTTTCCACAAAAACCCCGATTTCTCCTTGATTATCAGCATGAAAAATAGCACCCGATTTTTACCCCCCGAATATTAAAAAATATAAAACCCGAAAACAAACAACCTTAAGTATGGATTGTCATGTGTCATACCATTCAAGGAAGTTTTGCGGTGTAACGAGCACTGTTCATAACACTGAGGCCGCTAAAGTAGTCGGGCATTGCTAGGAAGACGTAAAATCAACAATCCCATTACGAAAAGAGCACGGGAACCTGCACCGACACAACATTGCATCCCAAATGGTTTGTTGATGGGGGATCTTAGCCACACTCCCTTGCGCATGCATGATGCCCACCACTAGGTGTGAAACGCTTAGTCTGCAAATTGGTGCAAACCTGTGAGAACAGCGTCTTTAGAAGCACTAGGTCGATGGGCGAAAATCAATGAGGCGATACCAGCATTGTCCCTTGGGGCAAGAGAAGCTGCACCCTCTCGTGGTATTGGGCAGGAGGTCCCCCAGTGGTGCACTCCAGCTGCGTGGGAGAAGACAAATGGTTTCTTTTTTTTTATCATAAAAGTCTATGACCATTCAAAGTCCACGCTGTGCGCCAAACAGATGAAAAAGTCCTCGCACGACCAAAGCGTTGCTCTCAACAGCCCATTCGTGCTCGCACCATGAAGGTGACACTTTAATATTGTATATACAGAGTCTACAATGATTGACAAGGCTGGCACCAAGTTGCGTGCCAAATAGAGTGCCTCAACCAAATACCTTGGAGACCAATACTGAAAACTGACCGCAGTGCCCCTGGCAAGCCTGGAGTCACCCCTAACAGACAAACTCCTCGGAATGCATTGACTTCGCCTTTCTCTGCACAAGAGAATTAAGGAAAAAGCGTTGTGACGTTTTTCTGTTAAAAAACTATTTACCATTTCATGAGCGAAGGATGTGTTCTTCCTGTAAAAAATGTTTTCTTGGCTTTCAAGGTGCAGTTTTGTCTTTTTAGCCAAAACATTCTGATGATGTCACAGTTTAAGTAAGGCATGCGAAACATGAATCTATCTATGCACTGTCTTTTTAAATACTTAAACATCTAAAATTCTCAAAACTTAGCTACAGCTCAACTCTAGAGTTTCGATCAATCAGTACATCTTACCTTTGCTGTTGACATTACCGTTTTCATGAATGTCTTGCTCATACCTCTCTTGTCGAAAAGACAATCTGGCTAAGCCTGCCGACACCATCAAATATAAATATAAAAGGCAGCAGAAAACCTATCATAGGATATTCACTACCCCGACTTCAATATGCTGTGTGAAGACAATTGTGCATACAAGATCTGAGGTCATTACCGAAATGAATGTACACGTACACTTAATTGACAAAAACGGAGCTTTAAAGAATACCTGCCACTTCTCAAATATGCAAGAAAAAGAGGTAGCGCAAATAAAAATTAAACTCGTTTCCAGTAATACAATGCGCAGATTCAGTTGACTACCTTTACGCACACTAAATGCCAGCACTCTGAGGACGGTCTCGCTACTCAGTCAGTCTTTCTAATTTTACTTTACTTTCTTTTTGGTTCAGACGCCGCTGTGTTTTCTTCCGTCTGCCTTTCTGTTTGTGCTTTTCTGTCTCTTTTTCTGTGGATCGGGCATTTTATTTTTATTATTGACTTGTTTTATATGTTTTTGACTCTTTCTCAGCCACTTCGTTGCTTACAAACAAGTCGTCCTTCACGTTACACTAATACTCTGGAGTTTGATTCTTTGTATGCTAAAGCATTTGTGCCGCCTGCAAAGTTGTTTTATCTGCAATCACTTTTTGTTTTGGGTCCGAGATGAAGCCCCGAAAATGTCTCTTTTGTTTTCAGTTAGCTCTTTATTCTTACTGCTGCAAAGCTTGTGAAGCATTTGTATGGCCATTCTCTTTGTCACTTTTGTTGTGTTGTGGTTATGTGCATGTGTTTGTGAGCACATCTGCTACTGGCTGGCTTCCACTAGCTAGTAGGCTCTCTAGCAATATCCATTGGGATGACTGGCCCACTGGATATTGCTGATATTGTGATCACCTATTCTGAGAAGGTGAAATGACAAGGTTAGCATGTTGTACATCTCACATCAAAAGTAAGTTTTGAGAACATAGTTCTAATTGATAAAGCCTTCTTTCCAGCTTTCAGACGCGAACCAGTCGTATGTAATACTCTGAATGCCGCTCAGCCTACTTAATGAATAAATAAATGTTGGTTTCTATATGTGAAATAATTTGATTGTCCTTGCGGTTGTGATCGGTAGATATCGCCGTGCAAACACAATGAAGGCGATTAATTGATTCAGCTCTAAGGATAGGAAAATGGGGCTTGCAAACATCTAGAATGTCGCAGAGCCTATACTTTTCTATTGTATTGTCCGCTTGTGAAGACTCCAGATTTGCTAAGGGCGTCACTGTCACTGTTCGCCGCCGCTCCCATAGGTTTTCGAAGGAGTTTCCAGTATTGGCGAAGCTGGATGGATGGATGGATGTTAATGGCTGTATCGTTTGCCTCAAGGATGCTGGGCTGGTGGCTCTCACAAAGTGGGGACAACTCTGCCATCTGCTAGCAGAGTCACCATATTGCCTTCTGCTCATATGTAACCGTTTAAGAGCTGTTTACATAGTTATTGAGTATTATGACTTGTGAAATGACACGGGACAATCTTCAGAACATGTAACGTCATGCATTCCGTTAAGTATGCGTTTGTTTCCAACACCGCGACTGCATATGCTACCCAGTCGAAGAAGCCTCTACATGAGATAATTTGACCCCAACTTGAACAAGTACTTTTAAATCCACCTTTTTCAGTTCGAGAGAATGGATTTAGTACCCTTTTTCTCTTTCTTCTGGCCGAGCAGAGAGGGAATACTGCTTCTTAATATCAACGTGGGGGCCGAAGATAATCCATGATGGGGACAAAAGCGAAGTTTGGGGGAGCCGTATTTAGGTCACAGCGTGTCAAATGCTCTCAATGAGCCAACAGGATGCAGCTAACGTTTTGTGTGTCGAACCAAAAACGAGTTGTGGGAGAAGCCTGGCAAACGCCTTGTTTTCTAGCCACTCAATCTCGAACCCAGCCGCACTTCCAGGTGGCAGCACCAGTTTGGAAAAAGGTGGATTGGGCAATTTCACGAGTACAAGCTGATCCACAGGTCTCAAGCATACAAGGTCAGCACATCGCGGGAGGCAACATGCTGGCCACGGCTGCAAAGGCGAACATGCTCTCCCAAAATATGTCGCCACTCTAGCAAGGCGCAGCTAGCAAGCAACATTGAGGCACTCTGCAAACAAACAATATAACCCTAGTTGAATTTCCTTGCCAAAAAATGGCTTGCACGTGATGTGATAGCATTACGCTGGTAGTCATTCCTACTTGATCTTGGCGAAATATGGTGGTGCCAAGTACAGCATGTACACAAATGCTTTAAGCACACTTCTAAAGGTCAGCAAATTTGCTTTCCCAACGCATTGCAATTTACTACAGAGGTGCAGCTAGGTGGTGGAAGTTGGGAATGAAAACATCAACCAAAGAACTTTCCTCGTTCAAAGGAGAAAAAAAGAGCCTGTTTCGGGCAATTTACTGCGGCACTTCGCAGACAGTCTGTGTGGTCTGCAGAGAGATGTCGGAAGCATCAAGGGCGCACCGGTGTCAAGCTTAGCAGAGGATCTTCCGAATGGTTTGACTACGCTTCCTTCAGTGTGGCACGCTCGCTAAAATACAATTTTCAAAGTGCAATATTTTTTTAAAACAAACCTAATACAAAAACAGGGATTTAAATCTCTCAGGGCCGCTGCTTTTTTTCATGGAGATGATCGGCATTGAAACGTTTTATATACACGAAAATGAAATGAGCCGCCGTGTCACTTGACTTCTGGACAATGGTGTGGGGAGATGGGACAAAGAAGCGATTCCCCTCGTGTCTGGCATTGTGCCATCAGCCGGCAAGCATTAAGCTTTAACCACAGAAAGCGATTCGGCAAGCGAGAGACCAAACAATGGTATTTTCCGTTGCCCCTCACATCGCTCGTAAACGGGCCATGAAAACATGGCCCGTTCTTATGTGCCGCCCGGAAGTGGCTCGGGCCAATGGAACAGAATGTTTCGCAACGTCCCTATTGCTGGACGCGCGTCACTTGTCACTGCTTTTTGTCACAACGTGCATCACTTGCATGTGGTTTCGACAAACCGAGCAAGAGCAGGTCCTGTCGTGTCAAAAAATCGCTCGCATGTGGTTCATAATTTATGGCACCACCTGCGAAATGCCGCTAGGGTGGCTGAAGGGGAAGGTGTGCTCATTGCCTGCATCGATTCAATTCAGCAATCCAGGACGGAAGTAGATGGTGCAGTCATAGAATCTGATCAAAATAAACGCCAAGAACCCCGCGCCTTTTGCCGCATGTACTGGGATCATTTGGTATAGTAGCGTTAAGCAGTACTCACGTGCGTAAGCTGCTGCTGACCGCTTCATAAGTACCATAGCCCGTGAAAAATAAACATGAAAACTGAGCAGTTCGACTCCTAAACAACCTGTTACATGGTGCTGCCCCTTCTTAAGAAAGTATGATGCCCTCGTAGAATATAGACGTGTCTCGGCTAATAACAAGAATATACCGGGGCCCCCTGACTAAAGCGGCTTTCAAAATGAAGCTCGCACAATACTGACCTGCTGTCCAAATCGCTATCTGAGGATACATGTCTTCCAGGTTTGGAGATGGACTTCACCTTTTGGCATAGAGAAGAGAGGAATTTACCCATAAAGTTATGTGGCTGGGCTCTCACTCTGGCGCAGAGCAGTGAAGCTGAATAGAATTGCCCTCGTTCAGATGTCCTCCAACAGTGGAAGTATGTCGTAATTCTTATCAACTTCTAGAGCCTTTCGTAATTTTCTGTCTTTCACTCTGGTATTGAGTGAAAAGAAAAAAAAAAAAAATCAGGCCTTGTGAATGCTTAAAGGGTTATTCACACGAGGGTGAAATTCCTCCCTTTGCTCCCCAGGATGCAAAAAGAGGAATTGATTGATGATTGATTGGATGCACATCACGTGGTAACAATGTCACACTTTGCACGGAGCCGCACTGACGTAGACATCCCAGGCGGATGGGGGAGCTTTTGCTCAAACTGCACAATTCCGAATAGATCTCACGTCTTGGCGTGGGATCTCTTCGCAATTGGTGTGTCTGGTAACTTTACAGATCTTGCTCTGCGGGAATCCGGCGGTGGCATCGCCTAACCTGTGGCTTGCGCTGTTGCGCATGTCATTTACTCGAAGGAGTCTTCAATATTCATTAATGCCGCCCTCCAGACGCTTCTTGTACAACTGGTTTTGGATTCCACATTCTTTGAGTTGCATCCACCCACTCGGGAAGCATCTTCTTTTTTTAACAGGAAGGAGTTTGTTGCCTTCTGCATCGAACAGCGCTGCTGCCGTAACAACCGTTTCATGTACACCTCAATTTTTCTACTCTTGTCAGCATGCACAAAGCCCTGTTGTCGAGAGTGTGACCGCTAAATGCGTCTGACAGCTCAGACATCTCTCTCAGCTCAATCTCGTCAGAGCGCTGGGGTTTGCAAGTGAGAATGGAGGAATGGATGAAAAGGGCACTGCAATAACAAAGAGGAGATTAAAAGTTTGGTGGAAATTATCTAGGGAGAATTGAAGGATGTATGAATAACTAGCAGATCAAGGGGCAAAGGAAAATTGGAATTTTCTCCACTGTGGCTTTGGTCCAAAGTCTCAACCCAGTCTCCCAGTGGGCACAGTGTTGGGGTGGCACTGACAAGGTTTGGCCAGAGGAAAATTGGCGACTCCCTCGCTGGGGCAAAAAAAGGGGTGTTTTCTTTTGTGTTTTCTTTTTTTCCCCAATCCCCCAAAGGTCATCCTGGCAGTATCCCACACCACCTGGTGATAGCTACAAAAGGACGGAAGGGAAGGAATTAGGCGGGGAGGAAAAATCCCACTTTTGGTTTCTAGACTAGGTGGCACAAACTACCACAAACAGCGTCAAGCTGCTTGTGGGTCACTCAAAATAAATAAATAAATAAATAAATGCAGGGTACAGCCATTAGCATCCATCCATCCATCACCGTCGATCGTTATAATGCAGGGGAGGGAGTCCCGCTGATTCTGCTGATCCCTGACGTCACGCACATCCATTTCTGAAGGCATCCCCGGTGTAAATAGCGAGAGGTCAATCAGCCTCCCAGATTCAGCAGCATGATTTGACACTGTGGAGGGGTAACTTATTCAGTGCAATCTGGGAGTGTTAACCTGAGGTCTGTGTCTTGCTCCACGCTGCTTCAATTATATGATCGCACGCCTATACAATGCCTGTCCATGTCAAAACAATTAGGGCTCAGGTAGATGATTAGCTGAGCAGATGTACAACGTTTAGATTCAATCCCAGTGCCACCACCCTTGTCCTGAATCCGTGGATTATTGCCTCAATCTGGTGAAATGAAAGTGAACTAGGCGGAATCGTGCGGTTATAGCTAAGCAAGCGTTCATCAGTCGACAGTCTACCCCAATTCAATGACCGCATTCAGATGGTCCTTATGTTCATGTGAGTCTACACGTCAATAAAAGCTTTGACAGCACAGATGGGTGCGGAAAACAGATCTGGAGCTCACCTTATGAAATACCAAAACAACTTCAATTTCTTCTTTTTATCCTAGACAGCAAATTCCCTAATTTGCTAGAACATCAATGCTGCTGCGCGGATCATGCACAAGTCGCGTTTTTGCCATAATGCGGAGAAGCAAACAACACCCACACCATAACGTCCAGCTTAATATGCCAAACCTGGAAATTAGCACACACCCCCCTCCAGCCCCACCTTGACGCCGCCACCAACTGCCCAAACATTTTTTTTTTTTTTATGAGGTAAGAGCCGCACTTCTGTAGTAAATCGCAAAGCACTACGTTAAGAATGCGATTTCTGCGGGCCGTCTACGCGTTGGTGCATACGCTGTATATATCAGCAGCAAGGTCACCACAATGGCAGTTGGTGTGACGTCAATGCAAGTCACATAATATTCTCGATGGATGCACTCTCTTCTGCTTCCAGAGGATGTAGTGGCCGTTGGACTTCCCACGCGATAGGGGGGGGATCGGTGGCCAAGTGGGCTAGCGCACACCAGCTCGGAGCACGTAGAGCGAAAGCTCGCGCTGCAGAACCCAGGATCCTGGGCTCAATACCCACCCCTGCCTGTTTCGATCTGGATGAGCATCGTACCGGCGTAGGGCCGTGTATCACTACTGCGTGATGCACGTTAAAGACCCCAGGCCAGCGTTGTTCTGCACTGGCCAAAATTCTCATCTCCAGCTGGGAGACTCGTCGCCCGTTGAGGCAGACCAAGTTCTAGGCTGTATAAACATCCACACAACCCATTTTTTTTCTTTCCCGCACGATACGGACCTGTTCCCCTGCGCAGCGCCGCCAGACCCTGGAGTTTCGGCGCCAGCTGCACGCCCAAGTTTTCCTTGTCCCGAATCAAGCACTGACGCTTGGGCGGGGAGTCTCCGCAGTCGGGACCTGCAAGCACAGCCCCCTGCGTCCAGGTCTCGGGTGTGGGAGAGCCAGCCTCTCGCCTCACCGTCACTCCGCTGCTTGCCGTCGTCAAGGGAAGGCCGCTTCACCTTGAACATTTCAGGGTTGACGACACGGGCTCGAGCACGTTCCGAAAGTTTCTTTAAAGAGCAACAAGTACGGGCGTTCAAACAAGTTTCTAGCGGAAACGCCAACAACGAGAGTGCTACAAATCGAGCAGCGCATACTTACCAATGCATATTCGGTGATCTCATCCATGCTGAAGGCCAGTCAAGTCACTGAAGCTTTCTACTTTTAGCACTACAACAACGTGAAAAACGAAATATTTGCAAAAAGGATCAGTTCGAAAAGAACTCGGCGCGAACCAACGTTAAGTACTTTCCACTCCCAGTTCCCAACCGGCGAGTCCGGTAAAAATTCGAAAGCGCCTCCTCGACGCTCGACTGGCTCGAAGCCACTACAGAGAACCCAGAGAAACTATGCAGAGCCGGAAACTATGGAGTCCGCAGCGCCATTTGAATCCCCTGGTATCCGGAGGCTGTACGAAAATCAACATGGCGGCACAGCGAAACCAAAACCGAAACCGTACGGCAGCGCCATTTTGCTTAGAATGATGGGTGGTAGCTTGCGACAAGTAAAACAAATAAATATTGTAACTTTTTTTTTTCCCCTTTTTTGTGTTGCTTTGTAAGGCTTCTGCTACTTTGCGGCTGGTTTTCGCGCTTCAAATTTCAATGCTGGTTAATGTGCGTCAACGTTGATGTGCGTTGAAACCATCGCGCTTCCCGCTCCCGCAAGTGCACGCAAGTGAAGCCACCGGACCAGGGATGGGCAAAATACATGCAAATATGTATCGAAATACAAATACAAAATACTTCGTCAAAAAAGTATTTAATTACATTTCGAAAAAAGCATTTAAATACAAGATAAAAATACAACCAAATGTATTTGGTCTCCTCCAAATAGTACTTTTCCAAATACATTCCTCAAAATTTGCGTCAGCGACTTCAGGGCACCTGCAACGGGTTTCTGGGTATCTCATTTTACTTTTGCATCGCACACTCGGGAGTTAATGTGCGAGGCTCTAGTAACGCAAAAGAAATATAATCACAAAAAAAAATTGTAATCAGCTGGGACGTAATAGGTGAAAAAGTACAGAGCTTCAAGCAGCTTCAAGCCCACAAAATTGTATTTAATTACAATTGTATTTGAAATACTCACGTTTTAGTATTTAAATACACACGTCAAATACATTACCCAATTTGTAATTAAATACAAATGCAAAATACACAAAGTATTTGAAATACGTATTTCAAATACTTGTATTTGAAATACTGCCCATCCCTGCACCGGACGCAACCTCGCTGGGATACGATTTGCGGTTTTGCCAGCGTTTTGCTGCGGTTTTCCAGCGTGCTGTAGACACGTTTTCTACTCGTTCGTCGTCATTCGCCAAAGAAGTTTTTTGAGACTCTGTGTATTGTTGAGACTTGCCGTTGCGAACACGTGAAAAATTTTACGAAAGCGCAGTGGTCGCAGGAAAAAGGCACAACTCGTCGAAAGAAGGGTCTGGCGGCGTGTTCAAAGCTTCCTTGGCACGCCGAAGCGCCGTGTCTCTGTGCCTTCGCGCGCTTGGATACCGACCAAGAATCGACGCCGTGTGGATGTGTTTTGCGAGCCGGACGGACGTCAGGCCCTTTTCTTATTTTTATTCATTTTTTTTTATTCTTCTCCGTCCTTTTTAAAAGTTTCTTTCCCGCGTAATTAGCGTTCTTGTGCCTAGTCTTCATTATTCCCGTAAGCTAATACAACTTTTTTTCGGCACTTCACCTTTTTTTCTTGCGTGACTTTTTTCGCCATTAAGTTAGAATTTTATTTTTATCATCCTACGGCTGCTGTGTCTGCGCACATTACTTTTTCCCATATATCAACGGAAGCATTTGTCAACATTCGTCACTCTTTATATATATATATACAGTGGCGTACACAGGGGGGGGGGGGGGGGGGGGCGAAGAGGCCGCGGCCCCCCCCCCCCCCCCCCCCGAAATTTCCGAGGGGGGGGAGTCGGCGAAGTTAGTGACTCTCGGGTTTAGCAATATCAAACTTCGTGGAGAAGTTGTAAAAAAAAGGTAATAAAAAAGGAAGGGAATATGGCAAAGTAAAAATAATAAAAAAAATGTGTAGTTTTAACGTCTTTTTTCTAATATGACTGGAAAATAATCAATTAACGAATATCTTTCTTTACTTCTACTTTTATTGTTTCGCGAGTGGCCCATGTCCCTCTCGCGGAGCCGCCAGGGCTGGTTTGTCGTCGCCACGGAGCGGCCCCCTTGTCCCCTGTCTTAATTGTTCCTCGAGGACCCCGCTCTGGGTGCGTACCATGCGCTGTGCCTCGCTCGAGCGCAGCGGGGCCCCTCAATGTTTTGTAACCTTTGTTGTTTTTTTTTTTTTTTTTTTTTTTGTTTTTTTTTTTTTAGAAGAAGCGTCGGGTACTGCTCTTGCACCCCGACGAGGGAATTTTCCTTGAAGCGATGTCCGGCTGACGGTCGACAGTTAGGGCGAAGGTTTTTAGGAGTTTTCGGGGGTCTATGCACGTGTACTTTTTTAATTGGATTTTGTATTGTATGTCTAGACGGTGGTTTTAAAAGCGCAAAGGACTAAGAAGAGAAGAAGGGGACAGGACAGAGCGCTTACTTACAACTGTCAAATTTAATAGAGCATTTAGAGAAAGACAAGGTGGAAGCGAAAAAGAAGAAAAGAAAAATGAAATAAAATTAAAGTCACTGCTGCTTTAAGAACATACTTGGTTTTAGAAATCGAAACAAAAATATTTTGACTTCAGCTGAAGGCAAAGTACTTGTCACGTAAAAAAAACTGTCTATACAGCAAAATGAAAAAATAATAAAAAAATTGAATAGTAGGAAAAAAGAAAAAAACATTACGCAGAGCAACCGGCTAAAAAGTCTTGAGGTAAAACACCGCTAGAACTGAAGTTCTTTTTGTGTTTCAAGTCTTTAGGGCATACACCGAAGGAACTGAAGTTCTTTTTGTGTTAGGGTCACTGATGGGGCACTTATACACTTGTCGCCACTGGTGAGGATGACTTGAGCCACGTACAGCTCTCTAATGTTTTTGTCACGGAACCGCTTCAGAACTTTGGTGTTGTTGAATGTTGGTGAGCATTTGCAGTCTCTGACATGCACCGCAAGATGTCCCGATGGTGCTGATTTCAACGTTTGGGCATGTTCTCTTAATCTCGTATTAATACATCGCCCCGACTGACCTACATACACTTTGCCGCAAGTAAATGGTATTTGATATATCACTCCACTTTGACATTCTACATACTTGAGTCGATGTTTTACACTGCATTCTTGCTGTTGATGCTGTTGGCAATTGATCTTAGGGCAGAGCCTTTTTAGTTTGTCCAAAGCTGAAAGCACGACTTGGACTTGAAACTTCGCAGCTGTTCTCTTCAAGTTGTGGGACAAGCGGTGTATATATGGCAGAACAGTCGGTCGGTGTTTCTTGTGTTTTTCAGTGTCATGTTTTTTATTTGAGGTCATCAAGGATTCCGCGACTTCATATATTATCGAACTGGGATATCCCGACGCTTTCAGTCTTTGTACTTGAGCATCAAAGCTTTCCCCCGCTGAGTGTACGCAAGATTTTTTAAGAGCTGTATTGTATGTGTTTGTTTTGTACCTCGTGGCTCCCATTGGTCTAAAAAGAGCGATATCTGATTGGCTCCTCGGATGGCGGGAAAAGTCTTAGAAAAGTGAATATAGGCGCCTAAAGGCGCGGGATTTGCGGTTCAAGGTTCGAGTACAGAAGTTGTCATCGGCAGTTTGAGAACCGCGCGAGATATGGGCACGAGTGTGCGACCTGCTTCCTCAGGAAGAGAGCCAAGTGCAATATGTGAGTGTGTAAACCATTTTACATCGTCCCTTTGTTGCGTTGTGTGACTTCCTTGACTTTCTTTTGTGAGCGGACTTCTGAAACCTTAAAAATCGACACCAACGAACAAATCACGTGAGATTTTTGTTGGTTAGATCAGGTTAAGATAGGGAGTACTTTACGGTGGAGGAGCTTTCCAGTGCTGATCGTCTATCCATCAAGATGTTCCGCGTTTCTACTTATGCATCATTGTTTTATCAGCCCCGATGACTGGAGGCTTTCTGCATTGGAGTCGTGCTTCATAAAATATTTGTTTTTATGATTCTTGTTTTCTGCTTACTCTGGTGCCTTTTTTTGACGTGACTTGTAAATGAAAAAAATAAAATGCAAATGCCTTCCTGGTGGGGAATTTCCGGGGCATCATTTTTATGTATCATAATCATCCCGAAACCAATATGACAACTTTATTTTAATTACTTAATAGAAGAATGCATAGTTATTAGAAAAAAAAAATGAACATGCTTTTATTTTCTCTTGGACTTTCTTTTTATCTTGTCCCCTTTTACTCTCGTTGGTCCGGCCCCCCGCGAAATAAAATCCTGCGTACGCCACTGTATATATATATATATATATATATATATATATATATATAACCCCACCCCTTTCAGCGATTTTGGGTGACAATTAAGTGCGCCCTGTTGAACACTTTGCAAAAAGAATGTTTTGGTCGAGAAAATAGACAAAGTAATTAAACAGCCTAACCAACTCACCAATATCATCTGTTGGGCCAGTTGGTTAAACATGGTCAGATAAAATTAGCGCAAACGACAAGAGAAGAGAAAGGTAAGACAGGACAAAGCGCTACTAAAAAAAAAAGTAGCGCTCTGTCCTGTCTTACCTTTCTCTTGTCGTTTGCGCTAATTTTATCTGATCATGTTTAACCAACTCACCATTGCTTTGGGTGTATGGGGGAGTGAACGCCTCACTACATATAAAATACAGATCATATGGAACCTTTTTCGGAGAAAGATTACAGTCACAAAATGGCATCACATATATACACAAATTGCAGAATATATCCCACTTTCTTAGCCAAATGTATGGGTTATCGTTTTTACATTGCACGACGGTGTAATTTATGAGTAGAAGTAATAATATAAAATAAAGCACTACACCAGCATACTTCGACTACCTGCAAAAGTCTTGCATTTATCTTTCTGGGCAATTAATCCGAAACAGATAGAATGATATAAACTCAGGTAAATTAATAAATAAATTTATACAAACAGGAACTGGAGAACGAACAGAACAGAAGCGCCAACTGCTTCAGCTGCATTGCTAAGCGGCCGATGCACTATGTAACGTCATCGGTAAAGAGTAATAACATAAAACACTGCGGACAACAAACACTCTATATTTATCTAATATTTATCACTTTTTATTAATTCACTGGGCTCCAACTATCGATATATGCGGGCACCCCGGGCGCACAGATGAGATTTGAGGTGCACTCAGAGGGAACTCCAGAGGCGATTACGGGTGTAGCCCGAAACTAGGGTGCCTTCATGTGCGCTTCGCATAGAGTGATGCCAACTGCCTGTT